ACATCCATTTGCAGGTATGAAGATCACACATTTGAGTCATCCATTTGCATTCTAAAGTTGCGATAGGGATAAACAAATGGCAGTTAATAATGCGCATGAATGAACCATGATGCTAATCCTGTTGCTAAGAACAGTCGTCCTTTGGTAAAAAAGGAGATGATGAGGGACACTGCCACTGCCATTGGGAAAGAAGATGCAAGAGAACCCCCACAAACCAGGACACACAACCTGATCCAACTGAGCCCTGCACTTCCCTCCAACCAGAATTAAACCGTGTCCATGACTTCCTGCTATAAGGTGGTTCTAAACTCCCAACTCCAAACTCTACACAGTTTCTCCAAGCCAATAGGACAAGACTTGGACTACCAGACTTCCTCCACTCTTTCAACCCAACATTGCCACCAAACATTCCAGCCCATCCTCCCAGAACCACGAGGATATGCCCCATATCTGGCTCTCGAACTGAGCAGTGCACTAAGCCAGCAATGCAACTGACTTTGCACCCAAACACTCCAGTCTCTTCACCCTTCGACGCACCCCATCCCCCCAAATCTCTCAATCCCCGTTCTTGCTTCCCCCTCTCCTTTCCCAAATTACCTTCAAGTGTTTATTCCTGGTTCCGCGACTTCATCTAGCTGTTGCTGACCACCTCTGGATGGTAGTACAGCATCTCTTGCCATACCTTTTCACGCAACGCCGCCTCCTTCAGATCCTCATCCTCAAAGTCGAACTCAAACGGCGCCGGAGCAGACGGCTCCACAGCAGGATCATGAAGCATGGACAGGTACGGATGCTCCAAAGCCTCTTCCACAGTGATACGCTTGTTCGGGTCAAACACGAGCATCCGCTCAATCAGGTTGATGGCCAGGGGGTTGGCCCTGGGGTAGAGGCGAGAGAGCGAGACTCTGGGAGTGTACGGCAACGAACGGATGTAGCTGCGAGCTTTTTGGCTGGAGATGAAATGAAGGTCGTCCTCGTCAGGCGAACCAATCAGGTTGATGATCAGCTTCAGCTGATGGATGTAATCCTTTCCAGGGAAAAGCGGCTTCCGTCCCAGAAGCTCCGCGAAGATGCAACCAACAGACCACATGTCAATGGCGAAGGTGTACTCGTCGCAGGAAAGCAGCAGCTCGGGAGCACGGTACCACCGAGTCACGACATACTCTGTCATGAAACCCTTCTCGCTTCCCGTGCGCGCGAGACCGAAATCGCAGATCTTGAGGTCACAACTGGCATTGAGGAGGAGGTTGCTGGGCTTGAGATCTCGATGCAGCACATTGGCCGTATGGACATACTTGAGTCCACGAAGAAGCTGGGAAACAAAAATAATAATATGGGAGTTGTAAAATGGGAGCTTCTTTGTCGCCAAATCAACATTTCACATGCAAAAATAGATTTGTAATTCAGGAGCTTCTTGCTGCTTATGTCGCCAAATCATTAAGTTCGAAACTCAAATTGCAAATGACATGCATAAAAGCAGACAGCATGACAGAAATCAATGATAAGCAAGCGACATTGAACTTCAATTAGATCAGATGCTAAAAATCAAACAAATACCTGATAGATAAAGTATTGGCAGTGGTCGTCTGTCAGAGCCTGGGATGACCGGATAATCTGGTGAAGGTCTGTATCCATGAGCTCATACACGACGTACACGTCATTGAAAGTGAACCTGTCCGGAGGAGGCATAATGTCCTTCACTGCAATGATGTTCTCATGGTACAGATGCCGAAGGAGCCTAATCTCACGGAGAGTGCGACGAGCATCAGTCGCATTCTCAAATGCATTGCTGATTTTCTTAATAGCCACTTTCTCCCCTGTATCCGCGTTTCTCGCTGAGCACACGACGCCATAAGCTCCCTTTCCAATGGGCTTGATCGGAGTGTACTTGGCGTCTATCTCAAACAGCGTTCGCCACAGCATGAACTGGTGCTTCCCCGGTGGACAAGTCCCCACCGGGGGTTCCACCTTTGTGGCCATCTTACTGCTACTGCTTTGGCTCGCCAGTTTGTCTAGCTTTACTGAACCCCAGTGAAAAAAAAATAGTAACCTTTGCTTCAACGAGACCGGAAGAGGAAGAAATTTGACAACTCGCCGGCAATCACCAACAGATCAACTACCACAGCCAGACAACAGCCAGCTCCCAGCTAGACACGCTCAATCTAGCTGAGTTACAGAAATGTAGATAGAGCATCAAATGGACTCGGTGGAAGGTTGACAGGGTAGGGGGCGGTGGGTTGGGTACAGTAGGCGCAAGTTTGGAATGACCGGGATGAGGGGAGTGTGGACATGGCGCGTAAGGTACGCGGAACTCCGAGAGCGAAATGTGGGGGTGGGAATGAAGGCCCCCACCCCCATCCAAGCAGCATCTGGCGCACTCACACTCACCTCTCAACTCAACCAACTGTTTGCGCAGGGGTGAGGACTGGGGGGGAAATATCCGCCTACGCGCGCGGGGTGTGATGTGACGGGTGGAGGGTGGGGGGGGGAACAATGGGGGCAACAAGGAACCTCACGCTCCCCACCCACAATCTCAACGAACCCAACCACTTCATTTGCCCAGCAACCCCACCCACAAACCACACCGATTTTCGTGTGGCGGCTGAAACACGATCTTCTCCGTTCGGGGAAAAACGTGACCGAATCGACGGCAACCACTCCCTGCACAAGGTTACCGAGACAGGGCGACGAGGTTTGGTCTTTCGTAGACCTAGCACAATGACGACACAGGGAAACCACACTAGTGGAATTGAAAGGTTAGCTTACTGTAGCTCTCTATTGAGAGTAAGCAAACAAAGTAAATTCCAATTCAGAACAAAACCAGCCCCACACTCGGAACCCCTGATTGAACCACTTACTAAATAATCAGGTCTAGTTTTGCCAACTCATCAGGCTTCATTATTGAGACCAATTAGAGCATTTTCATATTGCTGGATCAAACAGAATGTGGGAAGGAAAAAGTGTTTTCTTTAGGCCAATTGCTCGGCGCCATCGGCGATAAGCTGCCTAATCTCGTCATCAGCTGCCCTGTCAAGTGCAGTCCTGCCGTCCATATCCTTCACATTGCCGTTTGCACCAGCACGAAGCAACTCTTGGATCTTTGGCCTATCACCCTCAGAAGCGGCCATCATGAGGAGAAGGTCCACAGGGTGAATGCCTGTGTTCAGGAGCTTCTCCATCTTATCGTACGTGCCCTCCACTGCCAGCATACCCATGTAGTTGTAGTACTGCCATGGAAACACAAATGCATGAGGAGACGAATGACAGAACTCAGATTACAGGAGCATGGAGTTTGGCACTGCCTGAGAGACTATGAGACGTAAATTTGTCGCGTCAATCAGCTAACCTGAAGCTTCACTTTTCCCTCACTCTCTACACCCTTGGGTCCATGGCCACGCTTACCCACAATTCTACCTCAGACATTTCCTCCCTAATCGTGTCCACTCTTCAGAGGTCCTAATTCTCCCATAAAGTGTTCTCTCTCACTCCAGCTTATTGCCTTGCATTCAGATTTTTTTTTGCTTGGAAGGACAGATGACTGACTAAACTGTAGCAAAGATTCTTCATTCCACTTTCAAATCACGAGCCTTATTTGTTATGAAAAAAATGGAGACAAAGGGCACGCTTACGTGTTCAACGTCGTCTCTGTCGAAATCGTCCCGTCCTTGACTGCCGTAGATACCCGACGACTCCGCATCGAGGCCGTTCTTCCCGAATTTGAACCACGCGGAGACTCTCGATCCAGCGGCAACGTTGGCGCCCAGGCGCTGCTTCAGCGCGGCCGAACGCACTGCAGATATGGAAAGAGAAGGAAGGATACAAAAACAAACATAGAACCTTGTGAACCAACGTGATCTAACTATGACCAATACCATCCCCTCTCTCACATCCAAAACCGCTTCCCGAATTCCCTGCACGCGGAGCGGCACTTGAGGAAGGTAAGCATTTGGAGTGTGCACGGAGCTGGAAGACTGCGTACCGAAAGAAGATTGCCTGAACGACTGGACACGTGCGTTTGTCGAAGCTAGTCTCAGCGAGGCGAGGGTCGCAGAGACGTGGGAGATGGCAGTGCTGGACGACATCCTGTATATTCAGGGAAACAGAACAGCTGAGACGTTCAAGTTGAGGAAAATCTCCCGAAAATGAAGGATGCCGCACTTATGTCGCTTGCTCCAAAAGCCTAATGTCCAGCAGCTTGATCAAAGTCCTTGACGAGAGTTTGTGGACATGGAGTTCCGTAGAGAGTTAGTGCTGCAGAGCAGACAGTTCCCGCAGCTGGGTCTCTTGGTTCCGCCGCCAGTGTACTGTAATGTGCGCACATTACACTGTGGACGCGTTGCGCAATCACCAGCGAAGCGAGCCACAAGCTTGGCGCGGTCTGTGGACTGGAGCGGAGCGGAGCCAGAAGACCCTCTCTCAGGGGGGCGCGCAAACACCCCATCCCCGTGGTGTGGGATTGTGTTCCGCAACGAAGCAAAAGGTAATGACGACCACGAACCAGTCAGAGCCACGTGGTACAAAATCCACGTCGGAACTCCCAATGTTTCATGAATGTTATGGATCAGTCGGTGCGGTGCTTCATTACAAGACGAAGGGCTTCACGCAGTGTATATATTCCATAAATTGCTGATATTAGGATGTCAGCTATTTGTTTTCTGTTGTTGATTGGGTATTTGTTTTTGTTTTGAACAATCATTGACATACGAAAAATGGTTCTGACATGAAGTCGGAGCCGGTTGTAACGAAAACTACTGTCATTACGGCTGGTGATTCTGCCTATGGTGGCAGACCCAGCAGCATTCTAGTGTGCCAAACTGAACTACAGAAGAATGTGGAGCTACGTACTTAGTTTCAACATAGCTACCTTGGTCTAGAATGTCACAGGATGACTATACAATTGCGCGACAGTATGGCTCTGCACTCGCAGTACTGACCCGACACTGAACCCGTTCTGGTCGCGTTGACCTAAAACGCCTGTAATCTGTCACAGGGTCACAGAAATGGACGGCTTTGATGATAATCCGTTTGCCACCGGCGAAGACGCTCAGCCGTTCGTTGCTGGAGGCGGGAAGAAGCCTGCAGGCTCGCGAGTACCCGTCAACCCGCTCTCGTTGCCACCCGAGACTCTTGTACCCGTTAAGAAGCACATCGGCACCAGCTCTAGTACCAGGGTCACGGACACGAGAAGTACCACGAGCAGCAGCACTGCAGATTCTTCGCGTTCCTCGGCAATCCCTGAAGATTGGCTTGATTCCTGGACCGGACTGAGCTCATCCGCTTCAGCCTCCTCTTCAGTCACATCCACAGCCTCTGCTGCGAGCAGAAGCACAACCAGCACTTTCGCTACAAGCACATCGCCTTTTGCTGCTGCAGACGCCTTTGGTTCTTCCGATTCTAGTTCAACAAGTTTTTCCGACGGAATACGAGCTCATGCATTGTCACCTAGCACAACTGGCGGACTCGGTACAGGCGCATTCATTGGTGGAACCGAGCCTCACTTACAGTCACAAATTGATCCTTTGGCAGCGGCACAGCTAGCCATGGGTTTTCTTCGAGCGGTGCACGGGGCTTCTGGCGTTGGGGGAGCGATGGGAACTGCTGTAGCCGGACAAACAGGAGGATCAGCAACGGCACATCCTTCCATGTCAGCAGCAGGTGGCCCAGTTTCCACGTCAGCAGCAAAGGTTCCTATTGCTGCCTCAGCAGCAGCAACAGCAGCAGCAGAAGCAGCAGCACCAGCAGCAACAGCAGCAGGAGCAGGGACAAAGAGAGACGGGACAGAAACCACTGCAGATCCGTTCGCATTTCTAGACAACATTCCTCTTGGGGTTACCAGTAGCTCTCCTTCAGAAGACACAAGTACCAGCCATTTCGAGCAAAACCAGCAGTCCCAACAGCAATTCCAGAAGCAGAAGGACGACGTTTTTGGATTTGATTCATCGCCGTTTGTGGCATCCTCGTCACCATTATTCGGCTTTGATGCTCCCAACTTGCCTCCAGACCCTGACCTTGCATCAGACCCGTTCTGGACCTCGATATCGTCACAGCCTCCCTCAGCCTCGTCACAACACCCCTCGTTATTGTCACACGACCCCTTTAATATAACTCCAAACAGTACCTTCCTCCACTCTGGAAGGACTAACTCTGCGCCACCTCCTCTGGTGGACCTTCTGGGAGACCCTCTGGTTGAACCCACAGGCTCTTCCGCTGCTGCTGCTTCCGCTGCTACTGCTGGTGCTGTGGGTGCTGCAACTGCAGGCGCTGCTACTGCTGTCGGTGCAGCAGCCAAAGGCCCTGTAGCCAGCACCCAAGCGAGTGGTGCCTCTGCTGCAGAAGGGACGGCTCATGACTTGACCTTCCTCGAACGTTTCTCAGCTTCCCCTGTCGCATCCAGGGAAGAATATTCTGGTTCTATTGACGTTGCTGGTGCTACTACTGGTGGTGCCGGTGCTGGTGTTGCTGGTGGCAGTGCTGGTGAGGCTGGTGGTTTTGATTGGTTTGGGGACTTTTCGGATCTTGGTCTGCCTGCAGTTGTGGTCCATGCTTCTGCTGCTGCTGCTCCTGCTTCGGCTACTGAGGCACCTGCTGCAGCTGCTACTCCTGGTGTTTCTGCTGCTGCTGCAGAGCCTCTCTTTCCCTCTTTCCAGACTGCTTATGACTCAACCCCGTTGCAGGAATCTCAGCAGGAGGGGAAATGGCAGGAGAAGAGGGGGGAGAAGAGGGAGGCAAAGGGAGAGGCAAAGGGAGGGGTGGGAAGAAATGAGCTGAGGGGCCAAGACAAAATCAATGACACTGACACCAGCAAGGCTGGTGGTGATGACGTCACCAGCAGCCCTGTGCTGACATCATCATCGTCAGGGTATATCTCCTCTCTTCCCCCTGTAGAGTACTACGGCCCTGCAGGGAAGCTTCCCAGAACCATCTTTGATGCGCCCACGCGAATGCCTGTTGACCCAAACCGGCCGGTTCCGCTCGTGGTGTGCCCCAAGCCTAAGGGAGAGGCTCGGGCGGAGGTTCGGCCAGGAGAAGGAAGGGGGAGGGAGGGCGGAAAGGCATCTCCGTCTGCTGCAATGTCTGCTCCTGGGACCTCCGGTTTTGCCTCCGGTTTTACCACTCCTCCCTTGCCTTACTCCTCCTCTCAATCCTCATCCTCGTCCTTATTGTCCTCCTCCCCGCCTTTATCCTCGTTTTTGGCTGTTCCGCAATCGTCATCAGTATCTGCGTCTCTTTCCGCATCTTCTGACTTATCACCCGTGTCGTCCACGTCGTCGCTACTGCCACAATCGTCGTCGTCCTCCTTGCCATCGCCATCACCAGCAGCAGCAGCAGCAGCAGCGGAAGTTGCGGAAGCAGCAGCAGCAGCAGCAGCTGAAGCGAATTTGACTGGGCCAGATGCGGGTGGCAAGGGTTGTCTGCTTGTGGCAGTGGGGAGTGTGGCGGTGTGTGTGACTGATGACGGCCTGAGGGCATGGGACATGCGGCAGGCCATGCTGCCTGAAGCAGCAGAGGGAAAAGCGAAAGTAGGAGCAGCAGGAGCAGTAGGAGCAGCAGGAGCTGCCAAAGCAGGAGCAACAGGAGCAGGAGCTGCAGGGGGGTTTGGCACAGCAGTGGCAGCTGCAGCTGATTCAGAAGGCGCAGCAGTACCAAAGGATACGACTGAATGTTCACAATTGAAGAGGCAATCAAAGCCCCCTTCCCGCCTGGTTTCTGACGCAGCCCCGTTTCTCTTTGTGCCTTTCAGAGGCCTGGCAGCCCGAGCCAAGAGCATAGCCTCGGACGACAGGCTCGGCGTGGTGTTCACAGGGCACAAGGACGGGCGCGTGCTAGTATGGAGGGTGCTACTAACAGGATGGGGAGCAAAGGGAACAAAGGGAGGCACAGGAGGCACAGGAGAAGGCACAGGAAGAGGTGCAGGAGTGAAGGCAGCTGGAGAAGCAAAGGAGTTCAAAAGGGGGTTGGGAATCGGGTTGCGTGATCCTCGAGTGCAGGTGGCACTGGTGGCGGACTGGCAGGCCCATATAGCCACTGTGACTGCTCTGGTCGTCACTCCCTATGGTTAGTATCCATCCCCTCCCTATGGTGCTGCATATGTATTCAAGAGTTAGTAGCACGGCAGGTGCAGGAGCGAAGGGAGTCAAGAGGGGGTTGGGAATCAGGTTGTGTGATCCTGGAGTGCAGGTGGCACTGGTGGCGGACTGGCAGGCCCATACAGCCACTGTGACTGCTCTCGTCGCCACTCCCTATGGTTAGTATCCATCCCCTTCCTAAGGTGCTGCATATGTATTCATAAGTTAGTAGCACGGCAGGTGCAGGAGCGAAGGGAGTCAAGAGGGGGTTGGGAATCAGGTTGTGTGATCCTGGAGTGCAGGTGGCTCTGGTGGCGGACTGGCAGGCCCATACAGCCACTGTGACTGCTCTTGTCGTCACTCCCTATGGTTAGTATCCATCCCCTCCCTAAGGTGCTGCATATGTATTCATAAGTTAGTAGCACGGCAGGTGCAGGAGCGAAGGGTGTCAAGAGGGGGTTGGGAATCAGGTTGTGTGATCCTGGAGTGCAGGTGGCTCTGGTGGCGGACTGGCAGGCCCATACAGCCACTGTGACTACTCTAGTCATTACTCTATTGTGCGTGCACACTCAGACCGCGGTGGTATTGGCATGCTGCGTTCCAGGCAGGTTGGCAATGGCATGGCATGGATGCTCTCTCTCGGGAGTTGCATGATCCTCTTTCCTGTCCTGTCCTTACCCACGCACCTTTCGCCTTGGCAGGCGAGTTGTCCCTATTCTTCTGGTGATCATGTTGTCACTCAAAATGTGTTGTGTGCCATAGTAACGAGGTGACTTTTGAGTCGACTCAAAAGTCACCTATTCGTCTGGTGATCATGTCGTGACTCAAAATTCTCTGGCACATGCCCGTCCCGTCCGCACCTGCCTCATTACGCCCCTTGTCTTCCCACCCACATGGCAGGCGAGCTGTGGTTGTCTGTGAGTATGGCTCATTCTGAGGTTCAATAGAGCCCCTTACAGGAGCCATGACTTTGCGTGGCAGCAGCAGCTTTTAGCAACTGTTTGCTAAAAGCTGCTGCTGCCACGCAAAGTCATGTCTCCTGTATGGGGCTCTATTGGACGAGCTGTGGTCGTCTGTGATTCTGGCATATTTTGAGGTTCTCAAGTGATGCCTATTCCTGCTTCATGCTACCCACCCCTCCTCCCCCTCCCCTTCCCTATGGCATGGGCAGGCGAGCTGTGGTCAGCTGGTGATCGTGGAATCATCAAGGCATGGACCCGCCTCTCCCTCACCACCGAGGTTCATCGAGCCATGCACCAACTAGAGGAGGGCGTAGAGGAGGGGAGGGATGGGGGGAGGTATAGGCCAATAGCATCTGATCTGCAGCAGCAGCAGAATGCTGACGTGACAGGTGCGGCTGTGGCGGTCCGCATCAGCCCTGCCTGCGTGGAGCTTCGGCAGCACCGAGGCTCGTCAGGCTCGGCAGTGGGCGAGCAGGCTCGGAACGACGTGGCGGAATCCAGCAATCCGAGAGGATACAGTGGAAGTAGTACCAGCTATGAAAATCGCACTGCTGCTGATCCTGCTACTGGCAATGCTGCTGCCGGTGCCGCTGCTGGTGCTGCTGGTGGTGCTGGTGCTGGTGCTGGTGCTGGTGCTGGTGCTGCTGGTGGTGCTGGTGGTGCTGGTGGTGCTGGTGGTGGTGCTGGCAATAACGCTGGTACACCACCCAGGGCACTATCACCTGTATCTGAGAGCATGCAAGCTTTACCACCGCTGTCTGTTGTTTCAACCGCACGAGGAGCTGTGAGGGTGATGGTGGCAGATGCGGCTACTGGTTGGGTGTGGACGGCTGGGCCTGCCTCTGCTTGCATCTGGTAAGCCAAGCTTTATCCCACCCCTTCACTCATTCAACCATTCACCCAGGGCACTACCACCTGTACCTGAGAGCATTCCACCTTTGCCGCCGCCTATGGTTTCAACCGCACGAGGAGCTGTGAGGGTGATGGTGGCAGATGCGGCTACTGGTTGGGTGTGGACGGCCGGGCCTGCCTCTGCCTGCATCTGGTAAGCCAAGCTTCGTTCCACCCCTTGACCATCTATGCCTGGAAACATACGGGTAGTTGTTAGCAGATTAGAGTAGTGCTGCTGCTTTCCGTCCCAATGGCGCGAGGAATTGTAAGGGTGATGGTAGCAGATGCGACTGCTGGCTGGGTGTGGTGTGGAGTCCACACTGTGGACGGCTGGCCCTGCGCCTGCATGCGTCTGGTGAGCCAAGCTTCATTCAATCACGCCCTTATGCCTTGCCAGCATCATAGGGTGGGGAGCAGCTTCACTGAGTGTCCGCTGGATGGTAACGCTACTGGCTGGGTGTGGTGTGGACGGCTGACCCTGCGTCTACGTGCGTCTGGTGAGCCAAGCTTCATTCAATTTTGGCCATCATGGGTGGGGTAGGGTGGGGTGCGGTTTCATTGTGTGTCATTTGGAAACGCGTGTCAATAAAGCTAAGCTTCATTCACCTTCGTACTTCTCGTCAGCATCATCGGATGCTTTTGCCCAATGCGACTTGCATGCTCAGCCCTGTGCCATTGTAGCAAGGTGAGTTTTTTTTGCAAACTGAGTGTAATTTGTAAATTCAAATCACCTTGTTCACCTGCTTCTCTCAGTCGATCTTACTTCTCCCTACACACACTGATCTCTCAACACTGTTCTCTTACACCTCTGCACCCTTTTTAACCCCTCCATACACCCCTCCTCTTTTGAAGGGATGCAAGAAAAAAGGAGCTCATTCGAGCTCTCTCCTCCCTCTCAGACCCGAGCGCATCAGAAGAACCTCCCAGGAGCTTTCCTCCCCGCGGTAACTCAGTAGCAGCAAGCAGCAATGACGTCAGCATCATCAGCAGCAGCACCATTAGCAGCAGCAGCACATTTAGCACTGCCACTGGCGGTGGGGGTAATAATACTAGAGACAGGCGTATGGACGGTGCTTGGAAACTCTTAGCTAAGTCCCGGGAAGTGCTTGGAAAAGCTAAGGGGGCAGTGACCGATGCTGTAAGAGCTGCAGCAGCAGCAGCAGGGAGAGGAGAGGAGTACTTAAGTGGCAGTGGTGGTATTGACGATCTGGATACAAGTGGTGGCGGTGGTAGCACCACCACCGTTTCCTCTCCATCCCCAGCACCAGCAGTAAGAGTCTCAGGGGGCTCGTTGAGAAAGCTCCAAGCGGCAACTGCTGTGGGTGATGGTTCCGTCTGGTTTGGGTTCAGGTCCGGCGCGCTGGTTCGGATCGACAGGTTCGGGGCGAGAATGCAGGAGGTGGGGTTGGATGCGGGAGTGTGCTGTCTCTGTGTTGTGGGGTTGAGGCTTTGGGTGGGGATGGCGGATGGGGGGATAGTAGTGCTTGGGGCGAGGAATGGAAGGAGATTAGGTGGGTGGCCTGGTGTGCAAAGGCTGAGTCGTAAGCAGCAGCTGCAGCTGCAGCAATATCAGCAGCAGCAGTTTCAGCAACAGCAACAACAGCAGCAGCAGCAGCAGCAGCAGTTTCAGCAGTATCAGCAGCAACAGCAACAGCAGCAGCAGCAGCAGCAGCAGCAGTTTCAGCAGTACCAGCAGCAGGAGCAGGACCAGAAGGAAAGGTTCAGAGGAGAATTGCTGTCAGTAAATGGTCCAGATGGTTTCGGCTGTCCTGAGAACATCAGCTATGGGGAAAGCTATGGGGGAACCAGTAGAGGAATAAGCGCGGAAAGCAGTGAGGGGAGCAGCGGTATCACGCGCATGAGTGGTAGCCAGGGTATCTCTGGTCTCCCAACCATTCGCCAGCTTGTACCTTTCACTCTAGGACTTGTCATCCCTGGTGGCAGTATTAGCAGCAGTAGTAGCGGCAGTGGTGCCGCCGCTGACAGTAGCAGCTACAGTACCTCCACAACAACGGTGGGCCAGTTTGTCCTATCCGTCGCAAAAAATGGCGAAGTTTCAGCTTGGCCCTCCACCCTCCCCTCGCCGCCCCTGGAATCCGCACTACACGCCGCCCTCGCCGCCCACTCCCAGGCATTCACTAAAAGACGAAAGCTGCAAGTGGCAACTGGAACATGGAACGTGGGGGAGGAGAAACCCGACGGGGAGACTGTCCAGGCTTGGCTGGGGGAGGTGGCTAGAGGGGCGGATGTGGTTGCAGTGGGGCTGCAAGAGGTTGAGATGGGTGCAAGGGCCATTGCCCTTGCTGCAGCGAAGGAATCGGTCGGGATGGGTTTGCAGGAGAAAGAGAGCGGTGCTGCGCAGGAGTGGACTGCGGTTATTCGGAAGGCCCTTGGTGCTGCTGGTTCTGCTGCTGGGGGTGGTTCTTCTGCTGGTTCTGCTGGTGCTTCTGCTGGTGGTTCTTCTGGTCTTACTGTTTCCTCTGACCCTTCCTCTCTCTCTGCCTCCTCCTCTTCCTCCTCTTCTGCTGCTGCCTGTGCGGATGATGGTTTTGTGCGAATCGCGTCGCGACAGTTGGCCGGCATGCTGCTGACTGTGTGGTAAGACGGGCGGCATTTGGGTGGTCATTCATTTATTTATTTTATATGAATTCCATTCATGTCATTTGTTGAGACCTATGCTTGTTAGTTCACACATGAATTCACGTAATCCTAAAGCCTAATTTTCTCACTCACCTCTAACCTCTTTGCCTTCCTCTCTCCAACAGGTTGCGCGAGTCTCTCCTTCCTAACATATCTGACGTTGAGACAGATGGATGACACTTATATGAGGCCCCTCAATTATCTTCTCTCTGCCTTCCCACCGCATGTCACTATCCCTACCTCATTGTCGCTCTTCATATGTTACTCCCTACTCTCCTCTCTGTTTCTCTCGTTCAGGGTGCGTGAGTCTCTCCTGTCAGATGTAGAATGAGGATCGGTGAACTTGAGGCACAATGAGAGAAGAACAATATATCCTTAGTAGGAAGATGGTACAAGCCTGAAAGGCTAGAGCAATGTCCTTTCCAAGGATGAGTTCTAGAGAAGTGGGAAGCCACATTTATGTGGCTGAACTCTTGAGGCTAGCTGCAGCACCTCAAAGCTGAGGGCAGGGCTAGCCAACCTTGCCAAGCTAGCAATTGAGGCCACATGTTGCACATGTGGGCCAAGCTGGAACAACAGCCTACATGGCAGCATGTGGCACACCATAGGAGCCAACAAGGTGAGTATGGGATGGGTGGACAGATGGCAATGCCAACTGTGACCACACTTCACTGTGGGTGAGTGTGGTGGAGTGTGGGAGTGTCATGTTCGGCATAATGAGAAGAGAAGGTACTGCCGATGAGAGTTGAACCCGCGACCACTAAGACCAAAGGTACCCACTGGGACATTCTTGCTTCCACAACATCAGACATATCTATTTTTGAGTCGACTCAAAAATCGGGGTGCGTGAGTCTCTCCTTTCAGACATATCTATTTTTGAGTCGACTCAAAAATCGGGGTGCGTGAGTCTCTCCCGTCAGACATATCTGACGTGGAGTGGAGACACGACTCGTCATCCCACTCTGCCATCCTTACCTCAATGTCCCTCTGTTACTCCCTACTCTCCCTCTGTTTCTCTCTCCAACAGGGTGCGAGAGTCACTCCTTCCGGACATATCCAACGTGGAGACCGGAGCCGTGGCACTTATGAGGCGCCTCCAAAATCTTCTCTCTGCCTTCCTACCTCATCCTGCCCTACCCCACCGTTTCTTTCTCTCATTCAGGGTGCGAGAGTCTCTCCTTCCGGATATATCTGACGTTGAGACGGGAGCCGTGGCGTGCGGTTTCGGCCGAGCGCTTGGCAACAAGGTGAGGCGTTAAGTCTTCTTGCGCATGACAATATGCGGCCGCGTCTGTGCAATCGTCAACTGCCACCTGGCAGCGCACGACAGTGCACGATATATCAATTTTATCCCATGTGATCCCTTGTTACCCCATATTAATGCACACTGCGCAATCATCAACTGCCACCTGGCGGCGCACGCCAACGCAGACTTCATCCCTAGTTATTCCATATTGTTCCATATCATTCCATCTTATCCCATATTATTCCATATTGTTCCATATCATTCCATCTTATCCCATATTATTCCATATTGTTCCATATCATTCCATCTTATCCCATATTACTCCATATCATTGCACACTTACCGACCAGGGAGGGGTGGGCGTGCGCATGACAATATGCGGGCGCGTCTGCGCAATCATCAACTGCCACCTGGCAGCACACGACAACGCGACAGCTAAGCGCAACGAGGACTGGCATCGCATTTACACGAGCATGGAGTTTGGACGATCTATGGGTACCGTGGGCACTGCTGCCACCAATGCAGCTAAAGCCGCTGGAGGTAGGGTTGGGGGGGAGCGGGCGGGGCCAACATGACTTCCAAGCGCAACGAGGCATGGCATCTACACGAGCATGGAGTTTGGACGTTCCATGGGGACTGTGGGCACTGCTGCCACCAATGCAGCTAAAGCCGCTGGAGGTCAGATGAGGCTGGGGAAGGGAGAGGGTGGGAGAAAGGAGTGAGGGTGTATGGTGAGGTGGGTGCAGGGGGGATTGGCATCGGATTCACACAAGAATGGAGTTTGGACGATCTATGGGGACTGCTGCCAGCAACGCTGCCAAGGCTCCTGGAGGTACAAAGGGGGACGGACGGACTGGTGTGTTGGGGTTGGTGGGTGCAAGGGGGACTGGCATGGCATTGCGTTTACACGAGCATAGAGTTTGGGAGATCCATGGGGACTGGTGGTACTGCTGCGACTCGTGCAGCTAAAGCCGCTGGAGGTAGGGTTAGGGTTGAGGTTAAGGGAGGGAAGAGGGTGGGCGGGTGGGTGTATCTCGAAACTGAATCAGTCTACGAAGTGACTTGAGTCTTCCCAAAAGCGTGGGTGTGTGTAGCTTGAAGTTGAAGTTGGCTCGTGAGTTGACTCAGAAGTCACTTCTAATATATATTAAAAAAAAAACAAAACGTCGATCTGCCTTTTTTTTCATCTCCCCAAGCACCGTGTCTTCTCCCCACCCAACCCTAAACCCGAAACCCCTACCACCACCCCTTGTCGTTTCAGCTGGCTTCCAATCGGCTGTTCAAGGTTTTGTGAAGGCTGCAGGGAGGGGCGTGGGGGGGGCGGCAGGGGCGGCAGGCTTTGTCCCCATCTCCAGCACTCAAGGCACCGACGTGTCGGGCTCTGATTGGCCAAACGCTGCAGCTGGTATCAACAGCAGCTCCAGCATTGGAAGCGTTGATTCATATGCTGAGGTGCGTTTTGCGCCGATGCAAGGCATCACCACTGCTAACAGCACGACTGGCGTTAGAAACAGTGATTCTTCATGTTCTGAGGTGCTGCCTCCTGCCTTGGCTTCTTTCAGTGTCCCTGGAGAGCAAAATAAGCAACTTAAGCCACGAAAGTATGTCATAGAAGAGGAGCAAGAGACCTCCGAAGAAGCTTCCTTTATGAAAGCACATGGCCTTTCCTTGGATGCCACAGAGAAAGCTCCGACCGCATTGAACCATTCCCAGCCCTCTTGGGGTTCAGATGAAAAGCTGTCTCATTACAAGCCTGCTGCACCTGACAGTTCTTCTCACTCTTGTCGTTTCTCACACCCGGAGAAGACATCACCCTACGGAGACCGTGCTGCAGCTGCTGCTGCTCCTGCCGCTACTGCTGCTGCTGCGCGCTGCTGTTGTTGCGTGTGCGCTTGCCTGCCTCTGCTTCTCCTTGGCGCCCTTTCCTTTGGGTGGCCTGCAACTGCCCTTGCTGCTGTTGCTTCCACAGTTGCTGCTGCGGTGACTGCTGCAGCTGTGCTCGTTTCACCTGCCTCTGTAAGTCTGATTTAAATAAATAAATAAAAAAATACAGACGTTTTCAGTGTGCAGTGGTGTAGATGGAAGGTATGCAGCGCTGTAACCACGAGGCAGTACCCGCGCTGCTGCTGCTGCCGCCACCGCCGCCGTGTGACCAGCTGAAAGCATGTGACTGGCTTAGGTCAGTAGCTACTGACCTCCCCTCCTCTCCCCTTCCCCTCCCCCTCCCCCTTCGACAGCCCTCCTCGCCTCGCCCGGACCTAGCTCAGAGCGATCTGCTCATTTGGATGGGCGATTTGAACTACCGCCTCGACGGGTGTTCAGTTCATATGACTGCAAGGGGCAAATGAAGGCCTCTCACCACCTGCCTCCCTGCCCCACCCCACTTCCCCCTTCCAAAGACCCTTGCATCTCGCCCTGACCTAACTCAGAGCGATCTGCTCATCTGGATGGGCGACTTGAACTACCGCCTCGACGTTCAGTTCATACAACTGCAAGGGGCAAATTAAGGCCTCTCACCACCTGCCTCCCTGCCCCACCCCACTTCCCCCTTCCACAGACCCCTGCATCTCGCCCTGACCTATCTCAGAGCGATCTGCTCATTTGGATGGGCGATTTGAACTACCGCCTTGACGGGGTGACTTGCTGAGAGGAGAGATGAAGGCACGTGACCAGCTCCTTTCCTCCCTTCTCTCCCTGCCCTCCCTGCCCTCCCTCTCCTCCTCCCTCCCCATACCCACAGCCCCCCACTTCTCGCCCTGACCTGTCTCAGAGCGACCTGCTCATTTGGATGGGCGACTTGAATTACCGCCTCGACGGGTGTTCATACGACGAGGCATGCAGCGCCATGGCAAGGAGGCAGTACCCGCTGCTGCTGCTGCTGCTGCTGCTGCTGCTGCTGCTGCTGCTGCTGCTGCTGCTTCTGCTGCTGCTGCTGCTGCTGCTGCTGCTGCTGCTGCTGCTGCTGCTGCTGCTGCTTCTGCTGTGTGGCCAGCTGAAAAGGGAGATGAAGGCCCGAGACCAACTGCTTTCCTCCTCACCCTCTCCTCCCCTCCCCCTTCCCTCCCACAGCCGCCCTCATCCCGCCCTGACCTGGCTCAGAGCGACCTCCTCATCTGGATGGGCGATTTGAACTACCGCTTCGACGGGGTGCCTCACTGAGAGGAGAGTTGAAGGCCCATGACCAGCTGCTCACCTCCCCTGCCCTGCCCACCCCCCTCCCTCCCGCAGCCCCCCGCTGCTCGCCCTGACCTGGCTCAGAGCGATCTGCTCATCTGGATAGCCGATGTGAACTAGCGCCATCATGGGATGGAGGGATGTAAGCCTCTTTTCCCCCTTCCCCCCTCTCGCTTCCTCCCGTCCCCTCCCCTTTCCCCTCCCCCAGCCCTCCTCCCCTCGCCCTGACCTAACTCAGAGCGACCTGCTCATTTGGATGGGCGACTTGAACTACCGCCTCGACGGGTGTTCATACGACGAGGCATGCAGCGCCATTGCAAGGAGGCGGTACCCGCTGCTGCTGGAGTGTGATCAGCTGAGGGCGGAGATGAAGGCAGGGAGGGCGTTTGTGGGCATGCAGGAGGGAAAGGTTGACTTTGCCCCGACCTACAAGTTTGATCGTGGGACGTTCAACCCCCTGGGTGAGTGTTTTTTCTGCTTGTTGAAAGGGGAGATGAAGGCCGGGAGGGAGTTTGTGGGTATGCAGGAGGGGGTGGTTGACTTTACACCGACCTACAAGTTCGACCGTGGGACGTTCAACCCTCTCGGTGGGTGTCTGTTCTGGTTTCTCCTGGTGTTTTCCCTCCCTTCTTCTCAGACCCCTCTAATCCCTCCAATTTCCATCCATCCCATGCCAATCGTCCCTCCCCATCCCTCCCAGTGTATGATTTCCGGTGAGAAGCGAAGGGTCCCTGCCTGGTTGGGTGCCTGCCTCCCTGCCTGTTCCTCTCATCTCTCTGCTCTACTGCTCCCTCCCATTTTCTCATCCATCCCATGCCAATCGTCCCTCCCCATCCCTCCCAGCGTATGATTCCGGTGAGAAGCGAAGGGTCCCTGCCTGGTGCGACCGCATCCTCTTTAGAGACAGCTTCACTAGCAGCAGCGGCGCATCCCAGAGTGGTGAAACAAGCAGGATCGATTCGTCAGGCCCGATACGGGATGGTAGCGGTGGCAACACTGGTGTGGCCAAGGGGAGAACCTCTCTCTCCCACCCTGTTTCAGTCGAAGTTCTACGGTGCGTTCTCTCTCTCCTGGCTCTCACTCTCACTCTCACTCTCGCTCTCTCTCCATCTCTATGTTTCTCGCTGATGCTCATGCTGCTCCCAGCGCCTGCCTTGATGCTGTTCTCTTCTCTTTCTCCCCTCCCATACCCGTCCCCCACCCCACCCCCAGCTACGCATCCTGCATGGCGGCCTTTCTGAGCGACCACAAGCCCGACCTGTCATCTTTTGCGTCGACTCAAAACCCCTCATCTCCCTCATGAGAGTCATTATCCCCTGCCCTCATGCTGTCCTGTCCCCTGTTTCTCCATCTTCCCACATTTCCCCACCACCCCACCCCCAGCTACACATCCTGCATGGCGGCCTTTCAGAGCGATCACAAGCCCGTCACTTCCCTTATGCAAGTCACAGTTGCCTGCCCTGACGCTGCTGCTCAGAGATCCCTGGTTACCCGCCTCCTCGCTTCTCCACTCCTCTCCACCCCTCTCTCCTCCACTAGCACCACTAGCTCCGCCACCCCCACCCCTGCCACTGACCTCCTCTCTTTAGCTCCTGGAGGTAACCTCTCCCCTGCTGTCTCTTCCTTTGAAACTCCCCCTCTTGCCTCTCCTCTAGCCTCCCCTCTCTCCTCCCCTCTTGAGGCGCCACAAGAATCATATCCCCCTCTCAGCTCGCTGCTACGGCAAATGGCAGCATCCCAACGCTCCTCTCTCCTTCCATCGAGCACTTTTGTGAGAATAGACCTGGCTTCGGGAAGAGCTTCGGTCATGGTGAGCAATAAGGGTGAGAAGAGCACAGGGCATCCGATGGGGTTTAGAGTGGTCTGCGAGGGTGAGGGTGGGTTGAAGGAGGAGGAGGTGGTGGAGGGACGGAAGGACGGGGAGAAGAGGATGGGAGGATCTGGTACTGGAAATGACATTGGGGTGACTACAGGTGGAGATGTGATTACAATGGAAGAAGGGTTGAGATGCGATTGGCCTATTTGGCTGCAGGTGCAACCTGGTTCAGGTGTTATCCCGCCTGGGGAATCCGCTACAGTGGAATTCACCCTTAGACACTCAGAAGGCGTAGCAGCGGCGGAGCAAAGCAAAGAAGGCATGAAGCCTGGTAGTGGGGTCGGCACGCCGCTACATGACACAACAGGTCCCTCCAATGGCTGTGTCCTTGTAATGGGAGTGACCACATGGGGACCCACAGCGTTGACTCTGAGGACGCATAGATTCGGCCTGGTTATTCCGCAGTTTGTTTAGGTTTATCTCGTACACATTGCTTGCCTCTTTCTGGCTATGAGGGGGATATGTAGCTTGCCAAGCTAATTAGCTTCATCCATGTCTTCATTTTCAGACTTTGAAGTGTACTACTCTATCTTCCCTCAAACTATCTGCTACATGCACAATATTACTACTACACTCTTTGTTACCATTGGGGATTGCCATTCGAACCAATGAAACACACAGACTTCCTGGGGGAATGCTCAGCGCGACAAAACGTTCCTTGGATAACTTGTAGAAGAGTGCTGTGCTGCTCATTGCCGCCACCACATGTACGGTAGTTAAGTACCGTGCCAGCCACCAAACCAGCAATTCCACCAAGGCTCCAAAAAAATTGCAATATGCTGCTGCTGCAATAGAGCTCAAGCAACAGTATCAAAACAGCAAGGCCCTTGTTAGTGCCCTGCACCTAAACCAGCAATGCCCATCCTTTCACGGTATTCAGTTCTCTTTTCCTCCCCTACATCTCAGTAATTTCCATTCTACATGTTACGCTTCCTTTCTTCGGCCCGTCTACATCTTCCCCTTGGCGATCTTGGACCATTCAGTGTGGTAGTTGCCGTCAACGTCCACACGCTCGTACGTGTGCGCGCCAAAGTAGTCTCGCTGCGCTTGCACCAGGTTGGCAGGCAGCCGGGCACGGCGGTAGCTGTCGAAGTAAGCCAGGCTGCAAACAGAGGGGAGTTGTATGGGGATTGAGGGCAAAGGGGGAAGTGGGTAAGTTAGACCGACTGCAACCCAACACCATCCTCCTGCCTATCCACCACCCCATCCAAAAAGAACCAGCGCAAGGTTCCGATCATACGCCTGCTTGATCCGATCCAGAAACACCGCCCGGATGATACACCCACCCACCCTTCCTTCCCATACGCTCTCCCTTCCTTTGACTCTCTTACTCTGTCCTTTCTCTTCCTCATCCTGCCAGTTTCTCCCCTCACCTGGTGCTCATGCCCGGGGCGGTAATCCCAGCCTGGATCGCCAGGGTGACCACACGCCGCCACGCCTGCTGCCGCTCCACCACCTCCTTGGCAAACTCCGAATCCACCAGCAGATTCGCCAGCGCAGGGTTCCGGTCATACGCCTGCTTGATGCGATCCAAAAACACCGCCCGGATGATACACCCGCCCTTCCAGATCCTCGCCAGCTCTCCCAGGTTCAACCCCCAGCCCTGCTCCGTGCTCTTCGCGCGGATCAGATTCATCCCCTGCGCATAACTGCAGACCTTGGACGCGTACAGAGCCTTCCGAACATCTTCCACAAGCTGGGCTTTATCCATTCCTGAGACAGCCGCTGCCCCGTCCGAAAGCCCGGCTGCGGCGAAGACCGCTGAGGCTGCCACCCGCTCGTCTTTCAGGCCGGAGATGTAGCGTGAGTCGAGAGATGCAGCGATGGTGGGGGCGGCGATCGAGAGCTCTGCTGCCTGCTGGACCGTCCACTTGCCCGTGCCCTTCATGCCGGTCTTGTCGAGGATTGCGTCGACCAGGAACTTGTTTTCGCCTGGAGCCGCGCGGTCGTCCTTGACTGCGAAGATGTCGGCAGTGATCTCCACCAGGAAGCTCTCGAGCTCGTTCTTGTTCCAGCTGGTGAACACGGTGTGAAGCTCCTCGTTTGAAAGCCCACCCACGTTCTTCAGGATGTCATAGCTGAAAGAAGCAGATGGGCAAGGGGAGATGGGGAGGAGGGGGGAGGGAGTGAGCATAGGAGAGTGACCAGGAAGCTCTTGAGCTCGTTCTTGTCCCAGCTGGTGAACACCGAGTGGATCTCCTCACTTGAGAGGCCACCTACACTCTTCAGAATGTCATAGCTGGAATGTGAGGGCGAAGCGGGAAAGGGTTGAAGGGAGAAACGGGAAAAGCGGGGAAGGGAGGATCGCGTGGACTGGGAACTTGGCTTTGTCTGGTGCTGCGAGGTCTCACAACAACTATCTCCGCACTCCCCGAACCGCAGCTCCCCAACGTCGGCACAATCCCATCAAGGAGCCAACGCTATCCAAACCTCGAAATCCCAACACCTGGTGATTAAATCCTTTGTTCACCATTTGAAATGAGCTCCATGCCGTACTCATTCCATCTTGCACAAAGTCTGTCACGCACTCCCCCAAACTATACCCGAAATTTCCAGCTTTCCATGTTGCCGCATTTGACCCTGCGCCCAAATTTAGGACACTTCCCTATCTCTAAAGCCACTGATCATTCCACGTGAAAATTCCGACCCCACCCAAGCCCATCCTATCCCAGCCGACCAGTCCTAACCCCAAAAACTCACGCTTCCGAGATAAGCTGCATGTCGCCGTACTCAATCCCATTGTGCACCATCTTCACGAAGTTCCCCGCGCCACCTTTGCCCACGAAAGTAACACACGGCCCGTCGTCCACCTGAGCCGCCACCTTCTTTACCACGTCCTCCACTATCGCGTACGCCTCCTTAGACCCGCCCGGCATGAGCGACGGCCCGAACCGAGCGCCCTCCTCGCCGCCTGACACGCCCATGCCCAGGTAGAGGAGACCCTTGGCCTTCGCCTCAGCCTCTCGACGCTCCGTGTTCTCGTACCTGATGGTTGATAACACCGGAGAGAAGGGAAGAAGGGAAAAGGAAAGCGAGGTGAACCAACGGGCCTAGTTAGTTCAAGAGCTTCTGACAATTTGTTTCATGAATTCAAATCCTGCAAACCTTTTTTAAACGAATGCGAAGTGGTAGTTTTGAGCGGGATTCTCGAAACCCCTGGCCATTCACTCCTACTGTCATCGACTAAAGAGAACGTACTGACAACGCTACCACTCCTCGCGCTATGTCGCGCCGTCATCGGAGCAGTCCGTCGGGACTCAACAGGAAAGAGACATGTTCAAAGAAAGGTCGGCCAACAATCGTAATTTCCTCACCATTCGTTCCCGCCATCGATGATGACGTCACCCGGCTCCAAGTACTCCGAGAGCACCTTGATCGTGTCATCCACGGGCTTCCCGGCCTTCACCAGAATGATGATCGATCTGGGCCGTTGGATCGACTCCACGAAGTCCTTCACGTCGTGGAAGCCGCGCAGAGGCAGGTCGCCCTCCGCCTTGGCGCGAGCGACGGTGTCGTCCACCTTGCTGGCCGTGCGGTTGTACACGGAGATGGGGAAGCCCTTCTCGGCAATGTTCAGAGCGAGGTTCTGCAGGCAGGCAAAGAAGACTGACGAAATACATTAGATACTGACATGTCGTTCATCTTGGTTGCTGTGCGGGTTTTACACGAAAATGGAGAGATTTTTCTCCGCAATGATTCGCAGGCAGGGAGAAAAAAATCGAAGGCTATGCGTAAATCTTGCAAATCTGCTTGGCAAAATAATCAAATGAAAAACGTCTCGCGGATATTCAAACAGGGCTCATTATTAAAAAAAAAAAGGGAAATGCCATGACAAATGTCCATTCCCAGCAACCTTACCTGTCCCATCACCGCCAAACCAGCGAGGCCGATCCGAGAAAGGCCAGTGGAAGACGCCATTCTGCAGGGGAAGTATTGAAATAGGACACGGATGAGATTGACGGGAAGAGACAACGATAAGTAGCACCAATCACTGCTCAACTGCACTTGAAGTTGCGTACGCCAGTTGTTTGGCCGAAAAACATCAGCAATATCTCAACCATTGTCAACCATGATGATTCATCTTCGTTACTCTGTTATAGTTAAGTCCTGCAGAAACATACGAATGCAACACCGTTATCCGTTATGACTTACTTGAAACTCTGAGCTGCGTCTGCGACAGTCGCCCGAACAATGCTGCTAGATCGTTGACGCTTTTCTTGGAAAACTTCTGCAGCGGTACATTATGTGAATTAACAGAAATTGGTGCAACGAACAATACCTCTGCCGTCCGAATCACTAATCATAATGTAGGATTCGAAGATTCGAGAAGTAATCACTACGAGGTAGGTGAATGGATAGAGACGAGCGGGAAGCATCACGAACGCACCTTGTTTGTGCGTGGATGACAATGGGAGACCAGATTGCGAGAAACTTGCAGCAAGCTTCTTCCACGCAAGTTTGTTCTGAATGCCTGATTGACTCTTCCGAACCGAGTTAGCTGATCGAGTAAGAGACGCAGCAGCGGTCAACGAACTCGTGACTGCGAGCTCAGCAGCCATGGAATAAAAATGTAAAAATGACCAGAAGAATTAGAAGGCCAAGAATCAGGCAAATCGCCTGGCGAAGGTGGCAGACAGAGCTGAGGGAGGTGAGGGTGAGGGAGAATGGAGCCACTGAAAGAACCTCTTGGGAGGTTCTGGAATCCTGGAACGTTGGAAGCTGGGAGGAAAAATGAGGGCTCAAGGTTGGTTCGTCCGAAATAGCTGTGAGCGACGTAGTCACGTGCGAAATATCCGGGACCAGGATGGTTGTTGTCAAAACTTTCGAAAGGCGTTTCACTTCAGGTATTACAGCTGTACCGTAGTGAATTTGTCCAAAACTAGTCTTTCGATCTGATTTCCAGGCTTAATTTGAAGAATTGCAAGGTTTCCGCCTGCGTTGCTTCTGAAGTACGAAATGACTTTCCGGAACTCGAGCTACTTGAGGAAACTGGGGTAGCATAATTCTTCCAGAGCAGCTAGGGTTGCTGCTGCGTAAAAAAAAACCATCCCAAGTGCCCAAAAAGGCAACCTGCATCTCCGAAAAGCGGGGATCAGACAGCTTTTCACTGGCCCGTCCACATCAGCCAATGGTAACATATCCACTCACCTTCACCCGATGGACCCCGACTACGTGTCAAGTTCCATAAGATTTTTCATTCGCCCAGTCAGAGCTCCCAAGCCACGTCGAAGGTCAGCCCAGCTGGGCTCTGCTCACAAATTCCGCAAACAACGTTTTGCGCACCCGCAGATAGCTGCCCCTTCTGGCGCGCAGAGGCCATGGATTTGCCGCAAAGATCGGTGTTTTGAAAGGGGAAAAGCCGCCCAGCATACATACACTACCTGCTGGGGGAATGGGCTGGTCGCCGCTTCGTTTCCGCAACTCTTGCCTTTTCCCGCCTGTGCCTATCCTGGCTAGCATGTTGCAATGTACAAGTGATTGATTCAGACTAGTTTACTTGCATTGTTGCCTGATGGCTGATCCATCAGTCGCCATGGCATCTCTTGCTCCTCCCTGCTTGCCTCCTGTCGCATGCTGCAGCCAACGTAGGCCCGCCGCGTTGACAACGTGTTGTACGTTTCGTTACTGAGAACACGTTGAACACAAACGTTGTCTCCTCCGTACGTTGAGCACTCCTGTCGCATCCGAACCCGTCATGGCCTCGCCCGGCCGCCTCTGGCTCGGCTCTTGGGCTCGCTTCCTATTGGGGCAGCGCCTCGCGCCATATGTTCCCACACCTCCGCACGTGGTTCGGGAGATGCTTCGGCTGGCTCGTGCCGGACCTGACGACGTGGTTTGCGACCTGGGGTGCGGCGATGGGAGATTGCTGGTAGAAGCCGCGCTAAGACATGGGTCGAGAGGGTTCGGCGTGGATTTAAATGCGGAGCTTCTACGGGCAGCTGAAGAAAACATTCAACGGCACGGATTGGCTGACCGAATCGCAGTTTCTTGCCAGGTAGCATCGTGAAAAGGGTGTGTTTGGATAGGAAAAGAAGGGGAAAGGAGGCGAAAGGAAGGTGGGTAGGGGAAGGGGGAGATGAGATGGGTGAGGGGAGAGGAGATGGGTGCGGGGAGAAAAACGGGAGGTTAGAGGGGAAATGGCTGGTCAGGTGGCACAAGGTCTCGTTGATAACGTAAGGAATTTTAAGTGCCTTCGCGAGAAAGGTGGCTTGGGAAGTTAAGTACTGATCAGAACCTATCCGCCCTCTATCCCTGCAGGATGCACTGACGGTGGACCTTCGCGAAGCAACAGTGGTAACCCTATACCTCAGCGAATTCGGTAACCAGCAGCTGGTTCTTCGCCTGCAGTCGCAGCTGCCCCCGCACAGCCGCGTAGTCTCCTTCTGCTGGAAGTTTCCTGAGAAGTTTAGGCCAGTTGAGGAGAGGAGAATAGATGGCATTCCGCTTTACCTGTACAAGTTTAGCTAACAGGGGTGGGGATACGTAATGTACAAAGGCTAGGTAAGATCAGGAGGGAAGTCGTAGGGAAGAGCAAGAAAGTATTGCTAACAGGAGGGTGATAGGATGTTGCCACAGCCATGTGAGTGTGAGCTCTGGGTGGAGGGTGTTTTGCCATGATTTGGTGGCACGGATTGTGCTGCAGACATGGCTGCTGGAGAAATATGGAAGTTCCGCATTAGCCTTAAACCCTGACGCAATTGATGAGGTATTTGCAGATTTCCTAGGTTAAGTGTTTTCACAGAGCAGTGAAGCAACGCAGTGCACTAATTGACGTTGGATGAGGGAATGCTTGATTCTAGAATGCGCATGGAGCAGCAGTCAGCAGTGGGATGGCTGCACGCGCACTGAAATCCCCATGGCCCTCATCTCATCAAACAGTAGCTTCACAGCATACGGCATGCACACCTGTGGGAGGAAGGGGGGCCAGCGAAAGGGGGAAAGGATGGAAGGAAAACATGCATACATTACATGAGAAATGGTATGCACTTCAACCCCATAGCCCTCAGCTCATCCAACCGAAGCTTCATGACATCACTTTTAAGAATCCTCAGCTGTGTGCGTGGCCACTATACCAGCACATACCGTATGTGTTTTTCAAACCAGCTTCACGATATAGGCCATGCACACATGCCCCACGCTGCTTCACGATATAGGCCATGCACACATGCCCCACGCTGCTTCACGATATAGGCCATGCACACATGCCCCACGCTGCTTCACGATATAGGCCATGCACACATGCCCCACGCTGCTTCACGATATAGGCCATGCACACATGCCCCACGCTGCTTCACGATATAGGCCATGCACACATGCCCCACGCTGCTTCACGATATAGGCCATGCACACATGCCCCACGCTGCTTCACGATATAGGCCATGCACACATGCCCCACGCTGCTTCACGATATAGGCCATGCACACATGCCCCACGCTGCTTCACGATATAGGCCATGCACACATGCCCCACGCTGCTTCACGATATAGGCCATGCACACATGCCCCACGCTGCTTCACGATATAGGCCATGCACACATGCCCCACGCTGCTTCACGATATAGGCCATGCACACATGCCCCACGCTGCTTCACGATATAGGCCATGCACACATGCCCCATGCTGCTTCACGATATAGGCCATGCACACATGCCCCACGCTGCTTCACGATATAGGCCATGCACACATGCCGCACATTCCCTGTGGCATGGCTTACCTCTGTGGTGTTTGTGCTGCTTCCACACGACTGGCACCCAGGGCCATGGCGATCACTCCCCTCTCCTCCAGGTTACCTTTGCACGCATGCACACATACCGTTACATCACAAACATACCTCTGTGGTGTTCCTGCTGCTTCCACACGACTGGCACCCAGGGCCATGGCGATCACTCCCCTCTCCTCCAAAGCCACCGAAACCACCAGCAGCAGCATAACCATCAAAACCGCTGCCACCACCACCACCTCCCCCAGGTGCACCTCCCCCAGAGCCACCCGCCGCAGTGGCGATGAGGCGGCAGGCAGAGCAGACAGTAACGGCGGTGGCGTCTGAGAGGAGCGAGAGGCGCTCAGAGAGGGAGTGCGCTGCCCCGTGAGCCACCATGCAGTCTCTCTCCATCTCCCCCACCCGCATGCCCCCCTGCTGCGCCCTGCCCTTGGTGGGCTGTCGGGTAGTCATCTGCAAGGGGTTGGAAGGGATTGTGTGGGGTTGGATGCGGTGAAAGAGAAGGGAAAAGGGGGTCAGGAGAGAAAAAAAGCAGCCAAAGCAGCGGACAGCGACAGCGGTGTCGTCTGAGAGGAGCGAGAGGCGCTCAGAGAGGGAGTGCGCTGCCCCGTGCGCCACCAGGCAGTCCCTCTCCATCTCCCCCACCCGGATGCCCCCCTGCTGCGCCCTGCCCTTGGTGGGCTGTCGGGTAGTCATCTGCAAGGGGTTGGAAGGGATTGTGTGGGGTTGGATGCGGTGAAAGAGAAGGGAAAAGGGGGTCAGGAGAGAAAAAAAGCAGCCAAAGCAACGGACAGCGACAGCGGTGTCGTCTGAGAGGAGCGAGAGGCGCTCAGAGAGGGAGTGCGCTGCCCCGTGCGCCACCAGGCAGTCCCTCTCCATCTCCCCCACCCGCATGCCCCCCTGCTGCGCCCTGCCCTTGGTGGGCTGGCGCGTGGTCATCTGCAACGAGAGGTGCATCATGGAAGTGAAGGGATAGTGAGGGATGGGATGCGGTGAGAGTGGGTAGACGCATGCTCCCTGCCCCGTGAGCCACCATGCAGTCTCTCTCCATCTCCCCCACCCGCATGCCCCCATGCTGCGCCCTGCCTTTAGTCGGCTGCCTGGTGTTCATCTGTTGGGTGTTGGGAGGGATAATGAGGGATGGGATGCGGTGGAAGGGACGGGAGGGTGGGTAGATGCATGATGCATGCCACACACACCATTGCACCACACACACCACTGCACCACACACCACACTACTGCACCACACATCACTACATAGTACCGCACAACACCACATAGTACCGCACATCACCGGGGCTCACCTGTTTGGTCCCACTCGCCCGTGTGGCTCTCTTGTCAGCAGCAAGGTGCTTCAGACGCAGGTAGTGACTGGGTCCCACAAACACCCTCCCCTCCACTATTTTAGGAGCCCTCCCACACACACCGCACCGTATGACATTGCACCACACAGCACCGCACAGCACCGCTCGTCTCTGCGCATCACTACACCTCACCTGCTTGGTCCCAATGGCCCGTGTGGCTCTTTTGTCGGCTGCCAGGTGCTTCAGACGCAGGTAGTGAGTGGGGCCGACAAACACCCTCCCCTCCATCTCTTGTCCTGTCACCCCACAGTACGCAATGTCTTTGCCCAAGTCAAGAGGAGAGTAGCCGCAACTGGAAGGAGGGATGGGTGAGGAGGGTAGAAAAAGGGTTGGTCTCAATAGCCTGTGTGGCTCGCTTGTCGGATGCCAGGTGCTTCAGACGCAGGTAGTGAGTGGGGCCCACAAACACTCTCCCTTCCATATCCCGCCCCGTCACTCCGCAGTGAGCAGCGTGCCCGCCCACATCGAGAGTTGAATAGCCGCAACTGGTGGTAGAGAGAGACAGGGTTGACTTTTGAGTCGACTCAAAAGTCAACTCAGCGTGCCTGCCCAAATCGAAAGTTGAATAGCCGCAACTGGTGGTAGAGAGAGACAGGGTTGACTTTTGAGTCGACTCAAAAGTCAACTCAGCGTGCCTGCCCACATCGAGAGTTGAATAGCCGCAACTGGTGGTAGAGAGAGACAGGGTTGACTTTTGAGTCGACTCAAAAGTCAACTCAGCGTGCCTGCCCACATCGAGAGTTGAATAGCCGCAACTGGTGGTAGAGAGAGACAGGGTTGACTTTTGAGTCGACTCAAAAGTCAACTCAGCGTGCCTGCCCACATCGAGAGTTGAATAGCCGCAACTGGTGGTAGAGAGAGACGGGGAAGAGGAGAGGACAGGGGCGCTATCAGGACAGAAGATAGGAGACATCTGATGCTAACATCTGATGCTAACATCTGATGCTAACATCTGATGCTAACATCTGATGCTAACATCTGATGCTAACATCTGATGCTAACATGTGATGCTAACATGTGATGCTAACATGTGATGCTAACATGTGATGCTAACATGTGATGCTAACATGTGATGCTAACATGTGATGCTAACATGTGATGCATGTGAGGATCTTTCTCACTGGTATTGGTGGTAGGGATGGGTGGAAGGGGGAGGTATCATGAGGAGCGTGGCAGTGGGAAAGGGTGGGGATGGGGTGGAAAGGGTGGGGATGGGGTGGAAAGGGTGGGGATGGGGTGGAAAGGGTGGGGATGGGGTGGAAAGGTGTGGGGATGGGGTGGAAATATTGTACTCATTGGCAGAAAAGGGGTGAATTGTGAACAGCGAGCAGCCGCTGCTGTGCTTCACTCAGCAGGTTCGAGCCTTAGAGGTGTCAGAGGAGCAAGTGTAGAAGGAGGAGAGTGTGTAAGCAGCCAGAGAAGGAAGGGAAGCAGCCCGAGAAGGAGGGGAAGCAGCCAGAGAAGGAGGGGAAGCAGCCAGAGAAGGAGGGGAAGCAGCCAGAGAAGGAGGGGAAGCAGCCAGAGAAGGAGGGGAAGCAGCCAGAGAAGAAGGGGACGGATGTACCTGCGCAGCCGCTGCTGTGCTTCGGACAGAAGGTCCGACCCCCAAAGGTCCGAGGAGAAGGAGGAGATGCTCTTATTGCCGCTTGTCTCTTGCACGGGGGAGCATGCCACCTGACAAGAGACAAGCATGGATGAACAACAGACGACGGAGGGTGGAGGGATCCGGTAGGTATTGCTTCAAAAATCGACTCTGATAAAACACCGAGTGCGCAGCATGAGAGTCTTGTGGGAACCCATTTGAGTCAACGAAAAAATAGCAACAGGGTGCACGAACAGAGCAAGAAAAGATTGTGAAACCAGCGTATGTTTTTTGAGAATTCTCAAAAAACATACGGGTCTGTGCTGTCTGTACCTTGGCGAAGAGTGCTTCCATGACTTGCCCCAGTGTCATGCGGGAGGGCGCAGCAGCTAACCGCCACAAGGGCAACACGAACCATCTGTGCATTGCGGTGCGATGCGGTGGAATGCGGTGCATTGCAATGAGGGCTGGTGCTGTCCGTACGTACCTTGGCGAAGAGTGCTTCCATGACTTGCCCCAGTGCCATGCGGGAGGGCAGCGCGTGTGTTGATCACCGGACCCAGTACCGCCCCTACCAGTGTTCCCACTGCTGTGGGTGTGGTGTAGTGCAGTGCAGCTCGGTGCGGTGCAGCGCGGAGATGACCGTACCTTAGCAAAGAGTGCTTCCATGACTTGTCCCAGTGTCATGCGGGAGGGCAGCGCGTGTGGGTTGATCACCAGATCAGGCACCACCCCTTGCAGTGCCTGTCCCACTGGTGTAGGTGCGGTGCAATGCAGTGCAAGGCAGTATATTGTGGTGGAGCATGGTGCAGTGCAGGATGGTGCTGTACATACCTTGGCGAACAGTGCTTCCATGACTTGCCCCAGCGTCATGCAGGAGGGCAGCGCGTGTGGGTTGATCACCAGATCAGGTACCACCCCTAGCGGGGCTCCCACTGCTGGGTGCGGTGCAGTCCGGTGCAATGCGGTGCATTGTGGTGCATTGCGGTGCGAGCTGGTGCTGTACATACCTTAGCGAACAGTGCTTCCATGACTTGCCCCAGTGTCATGCGGGAGGGCAGCGCGTGTGGGTTGATCACCAGATCAGGCACCACTCCTAGTGGGGCTCCCACTGCTGCAGCGCCAGCAGCAGTTGAATTTGCATTTGCAGGAGCACCAGCACCAGCAGCGGCAGCACTGGCAGCACCAGCAGCAGCACCGCCAGAAGCACCAGGGGCTTTAAAAGAGGAACTGATTCTGGCAACGGCATCGAACCAGGGCAGGTCGTGGGAGGGCAGCACGCGGCCAATCACTCCCTTCTGCCCGTGCCGGCTCGTCAGCTTGTCCCCCACCTCTGGTCGGAGCGTGGCCCTCAGACGCACCTTGGGAGGGAAGAGAGAAGGGAAGGGAGGGGGAAGAGACCGTGGCAGTGTCTCTCAGAGACGCCAGCACACTAACGTGGCCCAATAACTCCCGTCTGGCCGTGCCGACTCGTGAGCTTGTCCCCCACCTCTGGTCGGAGGGTGGCCCTCAAACGCACCTAGGGACAGGAGAAAGTGGAAGAAAGTGGGTGGGGTGGGGGGAAGGAGATGAGAGGAGAAAATTTTGCAAAGAGCAGATTGAATCACAGCATGAAACGATGGCAAAAACAAGGGCGTGACTGCCATCAAGGGTGTGACTGCCATCAAGGGCGTGACTGCCATCAAGGGCATGACTGCCATCAAGGGCGTGACTGCCATCAAGGGCTGTGATTGAGACTGCCACCTATATGGGAGTGATTTTTGAGAATTCTCAAAAATCACCCTGTGATTGAGACTGCCACCTACATGGGAGGGATTTTTGAGAATTCTCAAAAATCACCCTGTGATTGAGACTAGGGATGAGCAAATGGCGAACTCGAACACGTTTGGGTTCGAGTTCGCCCGAACAACAACTTTCGCCGAACCGAACTGTGTTCGGTTCGGCGAACAACTTAGGCTTCAGGACATGTTCGCCGTTCGCCCTTGGGGGCGAACATTTGTTATGTGTGGGCGAACTCGAACATGTTCGACCCGAACATGTTCGAGTTCGCCCAGGGCCACTTTCATTATAGTCACAACAGCTTAACACGGAACCTGGAGGGTTGGGAAGATAGATAGGGGGGTGGAGGGTGTGTATATAATCATGCAACGCACACTAGCATACGACACCATCATGTAGTGCTTATATAAAAGTCAAGTCACTGCTAAATTATCTCCTATCCTACGCATGCACACCACTGCTACTACCAACAACAGCATGCTCCGCGTCTGAGGTGTCGCCAGCACCCACCCCCACCTGCTCCTCCTCCCCCTCCTCCTCCTCCCACTCGTCGTCCTCCTCCTCCCCCTCGCCTTCAATGGCGAACTCTGGTGGTGCCTCGCCCTTGGCACGGCGGCCCTCGCCTATCCTCTGTCCAGGGTGTGAGGTGTACCATGATCTGAGAATCATGGAAGCTCGCGTCCTCTGAGAGGCTAGGCGGTGCCGCTTCCAGGATATGAGGTTGCGGCCGAGGGAGAAGACGCGTTCGCTCGACGCGGACGTGGCAGGGATGGCAAGATAATCCCGGGCCATGCGCCTCAGCGTCTGCATGTTGGTGGCGCTGCGCCAATACTCCAACGCTGACACGTCGCACCGCACCCTCTCTGACAAGTACCTGCCAACCTCGTCATCCTGCACCATCCCACCCCTCCCCGCCTCCTGGCTCGCCGACAGACGCGCCGCAAGGCGTCGGCGACTAGGGAGAAACTCGGCGTCCTCGTCGTCATCCGCCTCCTCTCCCTCCTCCTCCGTCACTGGGGCAAGTGGGGTCGACTGAGGGGCAATCGCTGCAGCCCGGGCCTGGTACTCGGCCACGCGTTCGCGAACCAGCTGGATCACCTCGCCTGACGAGGGACGAGGCCTCGCCCTCCGCTCTGTGTCGGGATGCAGCGTCTCCCAGTGCGCGTCGTCGAACCACGCCGCCTTCATGGACGGGTCCAGGAAGGTGGCGATCCACAGCTCGTTGCTTGACATCAACTCATACTTCTTCAAGAGACCCAGCGCCGCCTCAATCATCGGCTTCAGCGTAGCCGATGGCCCCTTGGCCAGGCGCGACTCCATAGCGTCGATCAAGCCGTTGTAGTACGGCAGGACCATCGACACTGTAGGGTACGCCGCTCCCTCTGCGGCCTTGGAGACTTTGGCGAATGGGCTGAGGAAGGTCTTGACAGAATGCAGAGTGTCCCAGTCTGCGTCCGTCAGGCGCAAGGTGTCCATCTTCGCCTTGTCAGCCTTCGACACGCCCTGTCGGGTAGAACGTATGGGTGGGCGACGGATAGAATGGAATGGAAAGTGGGGTGGTTGAGGTTGTTGGAGGTCCGGAAAGTTGAGTCAAGCATGGCCAACAGTGGTGCAAGGGCCGGAAGAATACACGCCGACCGACATACCAACACATAAAACAGCATACACAACACCTGGCGCACACACACACACCTGTGTCTGGGCAAAGTAGACAGAGATGGGTTCCTGCAGAACCCCGGCTCGCTCGACCATGTCGTGTGTCGACCCCCAGCGTGTGGGACTGTCCTGCACCAGCTTCAACGGTGGCTTCGGTTTGGCGGGGTTGCCCTGCGCGTTCAGAGTCCGCTGAAGGCCCAAGAACTTCCCCGAGCGCTGCGGCGAGTATCCTATCCACGACGCCATCTCTCTCAGAATCTTCAGCAACTTGCGGATGGCGGTCACAGCGAGTGCCGCCTTCACCGCAAGGTTGATCACGTGTGCCAGGCATCTGCGCACGTCACAAAACATTCATGGCGGAGAGAAAGGGAAGTGTGAGTACACAACACATTGGCCCACCCGCCTGTACTACAACCACAACATGTTCACATCACATGAACACTCCCTTTCGTACCGGAAGTGCATGCGCGAGTTGAAGAAGCACTGGCCACCACCCTCCTCCGACATCCACCTGAAAGCGGCAGTGTTGCTAGAGGCGTTGTCTGAGGTGAACCCAAGACAACGCGTCTCCAACCCCCACTGCACCACCGTGTCCTCAACCACCCTCGCCATCTGCTTGCCCGTGTGCCGCCCGTGAATTTCCCGGAATTCAAACACCATTGTGCGCAGCTGGTAACCCTCGTCGATCCAGTGACCCGTTACCACCAGCCACGCCCTGTTGTTGGGTGACGTCCACATGTCGATGGTGAACGACACCCTGCACCCCAGCTCCCCCTCCTTCGCCAGCATCTCCGCGATGGCTGACTGAAGAGCAGCAGCCGCATAGACCACTGTGTCGCGGGAAACCGTCCAGCGCGAGGGGATGAAGTTTTTTTGCGCGCAGTTGCGGTTCAACAGGATGAGTAGCTCACGAAACTGGAGAGGGGAAGAGACAAGGGGGGAGAGGGTAGTACACGTCAGGGGGATGCGATAAAGGTAATATAGCACTGCACTGGGCCACACGCAAACAGTCAAAACACAAAGTGACAGACACGTCCACTAACCGCATACTTGCGAAATCAAGCATGGGATGGGATGGGGCACTTACAGCCTCGGCCTCGACGATGCGGAAGGGGAGGTCGCAGGTGACCACCAGCTTCGTGATCGCCTGCCGTAGCTGCACCGAGGTCAGTTTTGCTGTCATCCACCGCTCGATCCCTCCTGACCCATCACCTCCACCAGTTGCCATCGCTTTCCCCTTGGCGAGCTGCGGCCAAGTCTTGGCATGTGGCCACTGATAGACGTAGCCATCCGGCACTCCCTTGTAGCCCCCTCGGGGAAACGTCTCCCCAGGCAAGTGAACCGACGGGGTGTGGTAACGGTGATGCCACACATGCATGTGCGCAGTGTGGAAGCTCGCAAAGTGCCGCTCGCCCGGGGTTGTTGTGGATTGCTTCCACGAAATCCTATCTGTGCAAATCTTGCACTGACGCTTATCGTCTGCCCCTAACGGTCCGAACATCATAACTTGCCACCCCGGCCTCCTATTACCCTTGCTAGTCCCCTTACTACTCTCGGACCCTCCGTCCTCGTCTAGGAACTCGGGTGGAATCACACCCTCGCCCAAGGGCTCCCCAGTGAACGTGCAGGGATACGCCCGCTCTCTCAACTTATTCGCTTTCTTCCTCTGCTTCGGCTCCCTAATGGTCACGGCCTTTCCCCCTCCCACCTTAACCCCCACGCTCCCCCCCCCTTCACGCACATGCTGTGATCCCGCCTCTGTCGCCGCCCTTCCACCACCCTCTCCCACCTCCTCCTCCCGCCCCTCTGGCTCCAACCCATCCATCTCGTGGTCTTCATCATCATCATCTCCCCCCTCCCCACCGCCATGCGTCTCTGGGTCCCACGCCGCCTCGCTGTCATCCCCGCTCCCCTCAGTGTTCTCCTCCTTCTCGCCCTCACCATCCTCCTCCTCATCCTCCTCCTCACTGCCGCTCTCCGGCTGTGTCGGCGTCTGCCCCGAAGGAGGGGGCCGAGGGCCGTCGTAACGGAAAGAGCGACGAGAGGTCGGCGCCGGTACGGTAAGCAACCCCCGAACGAAGATCGCGCCGGCTCCACCCGGTCCATCCCCTACTCGCCCCTGCATAGGTCGTGGTGGAGATCCCGGTGCGCTGCCCTGAGCCATGCCTGCACCTCGGCCTATGGATCCACCACCCCTGGACGCCATCACTCCGCCCTCGACCCTAAACCCTAAAACCCCCTAAGGCAACGTGAGCGTTGGATGGTGCCGCACCGCACGTCCCTAATGCCCGATCCGAATCCTAGAGCGAATGGTACGCCCTACTTGAGCCCTTCCCGGGAGATGCTCGCTTTCCCTCCCTAGTAAAAATAAACTCCCTACACAACGTTAAACCCTATGCTTAGTTCTTCTATCTAATCTAATGTGAGTTCGTTTACACTCCAATTATTAACGTGCACTTGCTTGCACTTAGAAGAAGGAGGCTAGGGCGGCTGTGTGAGGGAGCACTAAAGCGGCTAAACAACTTCTGAGTTTGAGCTCACGAAATGAGCTCAAACTCAAATTGGCCGCGACCTAAATCTGGTCGCGGCCAATTTTGACGCGAACACTTTTGGTGTTCGCGTCGAAGCCAAGCCGAACACGAACATGTTCGTGTTTGGCTTGGAGAGGCCAACTCCAAAGTCGAACGCCGAACATGTTCGGCCGAACCTCGAACATGTTCGGCCCGAACGAATTGGCCAAAAAAAAAGGCCTGTTCGGTTCGCCTCGAACATGTTCGAGGCGAACCGAACAGGCGTTCGGCATTTTGCTCATCCCTAATTGAGACTGCCACCTATATGGGAGGGATTTTTGAGAATTCTCAAAAATCACCCTGTGATTGAGACTGCCACCTATATGGGAGTGATTTTTGAGAATTCTCAAAAATCACCCTGTGATTGAGACTGCCACCTATATGGGAGGGATTTTTGAGAATTCTCAAAAATCACCCTGTGATTGAGACTGCCACCTATATGGGAGGGATTTTTGAGAATTCTCAAAAATCACCCTGTGATTGAGACTGCCACCTATATGGGAGGGATTTTTGAGAATTCTCAAAAATCACCCTATGATTGAGACTGCCACCTATATGGGAGGGATTTTTGAGAATTCTCAAAAATCACCCTGTGATTGAGACTGCCACCTATATGGGAGTGATTTTTGAGAATTCTAAAAAATCACCCTGTGATTGAGACTGCCACCTAGGGATGAGCAAGGTGGCGAACACCTGTTCGGTTCGCCTCGAACGTGTTCGAGGCGAACCGAACAGGTATTTTTTTTTGGCTTAAAATGTTCGCCGAACAGTGTTCGATGTTCGCCCGAACACGTTCGTGTTCGGGCCGCCGCTGCAATTTGCCCGTGACGAACACGAACACTGTTCGAGGTTCGCCCGAACACGCCTTCACAGGCGAACGGCGAACACCATTTTTTGCTCAAAGTGTTCGCCGAACCGAACTGTGTTCGGTTCGGGAAAAGATGATGTTCGAGCGAACTCGAACCCAAACGTGTTCGAGTTCGCCATTTGCTCATCCCTACTGCCACCTATATGGGAGGGATTTTTGAGAATTCTCAAAAATCACCCTGTGATTGAGACTGCCACCTATATGGGAGGGATTTTTGAGAATTCTAAAAAATCACCCCGTGATTGAGACTGCCACCTATATGGGAGGGATTGTTGAGAATTCTCAAAAATCACCCTGTGATTGAGACTGCCACCTATATGGGAGTGATTATTGAGAATTCTAAAAAATCACCCTGTGATTGAGACTGCCACCTAAATGGGAGTGATTTTTGAGAATTCTCAAAAATCACCCTGTGATTGAGACTGCCACCTATATGGGAGTGATTTTTTAGAATTCTCAAAAATCACCCTGTGATTGAGACTGCCACACACCATGACTGCCATGTCGCATGGCGTGACTGGTCCGTGTCCATGCGAGCAGCGTCCACTATTCCGCCTCCCCCTTCCACCCAGAGACTGACTGTCACAACCCCAGACTCGCGTGAGAGGGTGAGACTCACCCTCCCCAGCCGCGTGCCATGACTGTCCGTGTCCATGCGAGCAGCATCCACTATGCCACCTCCCCCCTCCACCTGAGACACCATGAGATTACGCACTTTTTCCTCCTCCCCTGTGGCAGTCAGGCAGGGCGGCTGGAGGGGAGAGGATGGGAGAGAAGGGTGGGATGCGGGGTGAGGAGGCGACATGCAAGCAGCGCCCACTACGCCGCCTCCCCCTTCTACCTGAGACACCATGAGACTACGAACCTGGGACACCATGAACCTGGGTTCGTCCTTCCCCTTTCCCCCTTCCCCCATCCCCCTTCCCCCCATTCCCCTTCCCCCATCCCCCTTCCCCCATCCCCCTTACCCCATCCCCCTTCCCCCATCCCCCTTCCCCCATCCCCCTTCCCCCATCCCCCTTCCCCCATCCCCCTTCCCCCTGGCAAGCGGTTCGTAGTCTCATGAGAAGGAAGAGGCGGGGCGGTTGGAAAGAGGGAGCGAGAAGGAGTGGAGAGGGGAAGTCCAATCGAACCCCATTTAGAGGCCATGGTTCAATACGTGTGCCACTGTAACGAGGTGACTTTTGAGTCGACTCAAAAGTCACTTCGTAGTCTCATGAGAAGGAAGAGGCGGGGCGGTTGGAAAGAGGGAGCGAGAAGGAGTGGAGAGGGGAAGGGTAGAAGCGGGGAGTGGAAAGAGGAGAGACGGTGTTAATGCAGTGGAGAGCTGGAAAACTGCTTGTTCCTTGACATTGTTTTGGCTCTAGACATGACCCTAATATGCACGACTTTGGACTCTAGATATGCATTCACCCTAGCAAAATGCCTTTGCACCCACCCCAGCAAAATGCCTTTGCACCCACCCCAGCAAAATGCCTTTGCACCCACCCCAGCAAAATGCCTTTGCACCCACCACAGCAAAATGCCTTTGCACTCACCCCAGCAAAATGCCTTTGCACTCACCCCAGCAAAATGCCTTTGCACTCACCCCAGCAAAATGCCTTTGCACTCACCTCAGCAAAAACGTTTACTCACCCCAGCCGCCACGTGGCCAATCAGAATAGCTCTCTCCCTCCCTCCAAACACACCTCGATCCGCCACACTCCTCCCCCACACCCCCGCGCTTCCTCCCCCTACGCCCGAGCTACAGTAAACCCTAATCCCTGCCGCCTTCTTTCCCGTTGCCCCCTCCACTGCGCCTGTCCCTCCTGCCCCTGCTCCCCCAACCTCCTCCCCTGTCCCCCCTGCCGCTGCTCCCCCAACCTTCTCCCCTGTCCCCCCTGCCGCTGCTCCCCCAACCTCCTCCCCTGTCCTCCCTGCCGCTGCTCCCCCAACCTCCTCTCCTGTCCCACCTCCCCCATTACCCATCCCCCCTCCCCCATTACCCATCCCCCTTCCCCCATCGCCCATCCCCCCTCCCCCGTCACCTGCTCCCCCAACCGCCTCTCCTGTTGCCCCTCCCCCATCGCCCATCCCCTCTCTCCCAGCGCCTGTTCCCCCCCCAACCACTTCCCCCGGCCACAGCAACGGGTGGCCCACTTTTGGAAGCCCATTCTCTTCCAGATGATCATATTGCGACCATCTCTTAGGCCGCTCCTGCCGCTCCCTCCGCTCCCCATGATGATCTCCTCGGCCCCCTCTCCTTCCGCCTCTGCCTTCCCGGAATTCTCCGTCTCCTCTTCCCCTCCCCCTCCCCCTGCCCCTGCCCCTGCCCCTGCCTCTTTCGCTCCCCCCAAAGCTTCTCCCCTCTTCATCTGCCCCATCTCCTCCCCCACCTCCTCCCCCATCTCCCCCCCATCCGCCTCCCCCTTCTCCCCCCCATCGGTTCCCCCCATCTCTATCTCCCCTGAACCCACGCTCTCCCCCCCCTCCACCTTCCCCTTCTCCACCTTCCCCCCAACCGCCTCCCCCTCCTCCCCCCCATCCACCTCCCCCCAATCCGCCTCCCCCCCATCCACTCCCCCCTCCTCCATCTCCCCCTCCCCCGTCACCCTGCTCCCTGTCTCCCCACGAATCGTTTCCCCTCCCCCTTCCCCTTCCCCTCCCGCGACCCCTCCCCCTTCCTCCCCTCCCCCTCCACCCCCTTTCCCCCCCTCCTCCCTCATCTCCCCCGTCCTCTCTACCTCTCCACCCATCTTCACCTCCTCTTCCGCCTCCCCACCCATCCCCACCACCCCCTCCTCCTCCCCACCCGTCCTCTCCATCTCTTGTGTTCCCACCAGCCGCATCACCCTCACTCTGCCCTCTCTCCTTACCCCAACCTCCCCCGCCCCACCCTCCTCCCCCTCCCCCTCCTCCTCCCTCTCCTCCTCCTTTCTCTCCCCCTCCTCCTCCCCATCCCCCCTCTCCACCACCTCCTCCCCACCCCCCTCCTGCCTCACTCCCACCAACACCAGCGGCAGCATCGCCCGTACCACCCCAACCACCCCCACCATCACCAGCACCATCAGCACCCTCAGCCGTACCACCCCAACCACTCCCACCACCACCAGCGGTAGCATCACCACCCCAACCACTCCCACCACCACCAGCGGCAGCATCACCACCCCAACCACTCCCACCACCACCAGCGGCAGCATCACCACCCCAACCACCCCCACAACCACCAGCACCATCAGCACCATCACCCCTACCACCCCAACCACTCCCACCACCACCAGCAGCAGCATCAGCACCACCCCAACCACTCCCACCCTCACCAGCAGCACTACCACCAGCAGCAGCATCACCCGCAGCAGCAGCACCACCCCAACCACCCGCACCATCACCAGCGGCAGCACCATCACCCCAACCACTCCCACGAGCACCACCATTACGAGCAGCACCATCACTGCCCCAACCACCCCCACCCTCACCAGCAGCACCACCACCAGCTGCAGCACCTGCACCACCCCAACCACCCCCACCACCAGCACTACCACCACCTACGGCATCACCCGTACCACCCCAACCTCCCCCACCTCCTCCTCCTCCCCTTCCTTCCCTTCCTCCCCCTCCTTCCTCTCCTCCCCCTCCCCCCCATCCTCCCTCTCCTTCCCCTCGCCCCCCTCCCCCACTGCCATTCAACTCACCACCCTCGTCACCCTCCTTATCATTTGCACCCCACCCCCCTGCTTGTGTTGCTGCTGCTCCTCCTCCCTCTCTTCCACTATTCTCCTCCTCACCACCCCGACCCCCTCCTCCGCCCACCCTGCCATTTAACCCTCCACAATCGTCCCCTTCCTTGTCACTTGCACCCCAGCCCACTGCTTCTGCTGTTGCTGCTCCTCCCTCTCTTCCTCTATCCTCCTCCTCTCCACCCTCCTCACCCCAACCACCCCCACCACCAGCATCAGCAGCATTAGCAGCACCATTCCCCCACCCACCACCACGACCAGCAACACCAGCAGTATCACCACCATCGTCACCAGCAGCACCCCACCCTCCCCCTCCTCCCCCTTCTCCACTGCCACTCAACCCACCACCACGACCAGCAACACCAGCAGTATCCGCACCAAAGTCACCAGCAGCACCACCATTATCAGCGCCAATAGCACCAGCAGCAAGACCCCAACCTCCCTCTCCTTCCCCTCCGACCCCTCCTTCACTGTTATTCATCCCGCCACCCGCGTCCCTCTCCTTGTCACTTGCACCCCACCCCCCTGCTTCTTCTTCTGCTACTGCCATTGCTGCTGCTCCTCCTCCTACTCTTCCTGTATCCTCCTCATTACCCCATCCACCACCCTCACCAGTACCACCACCCCCACCATCACCCTCACCACTCCCACCACCACCCTCACCATCACCCTCACCACTCCCACCCGCATTACCACCCCAACCATCCCCACCATCCCTACGAGCAGCAGTATCAGCAGCGCCACTCCCCCACTCGTCATCACGACCAACAGCATTACTGTTATCCACACCAGCGGCAGCAACAGCACCATCACCATCACCACCCTCACCATCACCATTACCACCACCCCACGCACCATCCCCATCCTCCCCACCATCAGCAGCACCAGCACGACCAACACCATCACTGTTATCCGCAGCAGCAGCAGCAGCAGCAGCAGCACCATGACCCTCACCCCATCCACCAACCCCACCCTCCGCCCTCTCACTTCCGCCCCACCCACCATTCCCACCCCCCTCCTTCTCACTCCTCTCACCCCACCCTGCTGCTGCTGCTTCTTCTCTTCCTCCTTCTCCTGCTGACCCTGACCCTCCTTGCTCCCCCCATCCACCCGTCGCTTGATTCACTGCCACGTCATCATCTTGCTTGGCCGCCACATCCTCATCATCTTGCCACGTGGCATCCTTCTCGTCAGCCTGCGCCATCGCCACGTCAGCATTATCATCATCTTGCGTAAGATCTATCGGCTCCGCCTTAGCTCGCAGAGGTCGTCCCTCGCCTTTTCTCCCTCTCTTTCCTCTACTCTGCCTATCACCATCACCAGCAAAGGCACTACCATCACCACCATTGGCACCACCACTAGCACCAGCACCACCAACATCATCATCACTATCAGTAAGACCATCCGCATCCCACCCCGCACGCCCAGCCTTCCCTGCAGCCGCCTTTCGAGGCGCCTCAGAAGTCGCACCACCAGCACCAGCAGCAACACTGGCACCACCAGCACCAGCACCAGCAGCACTGGCACCACCAGCACCAGCACCAGCAGCACTGGCACCACCAGCACCAGCAGCACTGGCACCACCAGCACCAGCACCAGCAGCACTGGCACCACCAGCACCAGCAGCAGCAGTGCCACCAGCAGAAGCACCGGCACCAGCAGCACCAGCATCATTATCGCTATCAGTAAGACCATCCGCGTCCCATCCCGCACGCCCAGCTTTTCCTGAAGCAGCAGCTAATCCCGCTCCTTCCCCTCCTCCCTCTCCTCCCATTCCTCCCCCTCCTTCCCCTTCCCCTCCGCCTCCTCCCCCTCCTCCCCATCCTCCCGTTCCTCCTCCTGTACCCGCCTCACCTGTCCCCCCATCCCCTCCCCATCCAGTGTCCCCATCTCCCCCTCCCCCTCCCCCTCCCCAACCTCCCCCCACCTCTCCCCCTCCCCCTCCCCAGCCTCCCCCCGCGTCCCACCCTCCCCCTCCCCAAGCCTCGGCCCCCCCGTCTCCACCTCCCCCCCAACCCCCCTCTCCGCCCCCTCCTTCCCCATTCCCTCTCCCCCACCCCCCACCACCTCCCCCTTCCACTCTCTTCCCTCCCCACCCATCCGCACCCCCCTCTTCTACCTCCATCTCCCCCACACCAATTCCCAAACCAGCAGGCTCGGCTGCCCCGGGCCAAGCTGCACCCGACCCCCCGTCCAGGCTCGGCTTGCCGAACCTCCAGGTCACTTCCACCTTGCCCCGACCAGCCTTGCCCTGCCACGTTTAGCGAGTAAGAAAGAGAGTTTAGATGACAAGAATTGGGTAGGTAGGGTGACTGATTCTGCTCTTCCACGAAGCATCTTGAGACGTCTCAGAAATTGCCCTTCTGAGGCACATCTGCTCGTTTCAAACCTCCTTCGCCTCAGAGGCGTCACCACCATTGGCACCACCACGTCTATCTATACAGCTCAGCTCACCTCCTCTTCCACGAAGCTTCTGAAGGTGGTGCTGCCGAACAGCCCTCTGTCAACTGACGCCTGGTTGATGATCAATGCATCCTCCTGATGGGGGGAGAGGGGAGGGGATAGGGTTAGACAGCAACAGACAACAATGACATTTGAGGCGCCTCAAAAAACGTTCTCTGAAGGTGGTGCTGCCAAACAGCCCTCCGTCGACTAACGCCTGGTTGATGATCAACACGTCCTCCTGATTGGTGGGAAGGGAGGGAGGGTAAAGGGGAGAAGGGAAGAGAGGAGAGGATTGAGAAGGAACAACGAAGGCATTCATTGAAGCACCCAAACAGCCCAGCAGTGCAGTGCAGCAGCAGAGGGAGAAACGTACCCCCATCACACCCACTCGAACCCACCCGCACAGCATCAAACCAAGTTAAATCCCGCAGCACCGCACCGTACCTGGTTGTATCCAGCGCTCATCACGGCGACAATGGCATTCTGCCCATTGGGGAAGTCTGAAAGGCCACTGGCGAGCTCAGCAATTCTGGAGGCAACAAGCGGCCGCTGCGGGTAATGAAGAGTGAAGAGCGTGCGATCGGAGCGATGGGGGAGGTTGTACGCTGGCACGCCCATGGCCTGTAGGAGATGGGGTGGGAAGAGTGGAGACGGGTAGGGAGGAAAGGGAGACGTCAGGCAGACACACACACAGGCACCCCCGCGCTGTGGGTAGTGCAGAGGGAAGAGCGTGCGGTCAGAGCGATGGGGGAGGTTGTATGCTGGCACACCCATGGCCTGTGGGAGGAGCAGGGAGGAGGAGAAGGGGGAAAGAGGAAATAGGAAAAGCGGAATGGGGAGGGGGGGTTGGGGGCAGTGCAGTGCAGAACAAACCCATTGTGATTCACAAAAGGAAAAGTCGATGCAATCGCGTCAAACGTAAGCAAAGGATGGATATTTAACTAACTTTTAATCAAACCCTAAGATTAAGGAAGTGCCTCTTTCTGACACACCTGTTTGAACATGTGAGCAGCACCAGTGCTGCGAGAGACGCCATTGTGATTCACAAAAGGCAGAGCCGACGCAATGACTCCAAACACCAGCTCCGGATGAATCTCCGCGCGAAAGTAACGAGCAGACGCGAGAAGGTGAGCAGATGCGTTAAGGTCTCAAACATACCTGCTTGAACATGTGGGCTGCACCAGTGCTGCGAGAGACGCCATTGTGATTCACAAAAGGCAGAGCCGACGCAATCACTCCAAACACCAGCTCCGGATGAATCTCCACGTGGGAGTAGCGAGCAGATGCATCCCAACCAGGCGAGTCTTGAAGAAAGGATGACAGAGACAGAGTAGAGTCTGGGGATTGCTGCCTAGCACTCCGTGCTGCTCCGTTTTCATCCCATGGGCTTGACACGACGAGTCCCAGGCTGTGCTGTTCAGCAGCAAGGAGCGGTTCTGCTGGAACAGGGTTGCAGTTAGCCGCCTCCTCTGCTGCATCTACGTACTCTACTGCTCCTGCTGCGAGCATGCCCTGCCATGCCTGCTCCCACGTGTGGCTGTTGCTGCTGCTGCTGCTGCTGCTGCTGCTGCTGCTGCTGCTGCTGCTGGTACTGTGCGGCAGGTCGATGGGTGGCTGTTGCAGCAGCAAGGGGCGGAGGATGCGACCAGGGGAGGAGGCGAGGTGCAGGGCGTGCAGGGCGGGGTGAAAGGCCATGCCCAGCTGACAGGGAGAAGGAGAGGGTGGGGGGAAGTGGAAAATACGAGTTAATGCACAGGGAGGATGTGACCAGTGGAGGAGGCGAGGTGCAGGGCGGGGTGAAAGGCCATGCCCAGCTGACAGGGAGAAGTGGCAGAGTTGGGGGAAGGAGGCAGGGGGGAAGGATGGGAGGAGGGGAAATGGGAAAACACATGAGTCAAATGCATGGTGACCACGTTGAGATGGGAGGAGGCGAGGTCCAGGGAGTGCAAGGCGGGGTGATAGGCCATGCCGAGCTGACAGGGGGTGCAGGGGAGTGAGATGACACGGTGAAGTAGGGTGAAATGCGGTGAATAAAAAAGGGAAAGGTGAAAAGCGGTAACAAGAGAAGAAGGGGAGAGACCAGTGAGTAGTAGAAGGTTAGGTTTAGAAGCAGTCATACGGTAGTAGCTGGATTATACAAGGAAAGAAACAAGGGAAGTGGGCAGAAAGGGAATAGACACACTTCTCTGTATCTCTTGGCGCCCTTTTGTCTTTTCCTCCTCAGCTGCCTAGTCAGCTCTGCCAGGTCAGCATGCCACCCGACTGGCCGCCCATTCACCCACACTCCTCCTCCTCCTCCTCCTCCTCCTCCTCCTCCTCCTCCTCCTCCTCTTCCTCCTCCTCCTCCTCCTCCCTCACCCTTATTTCTCCTCCTTGCTCCTCCTCCTTCACCCTTGTTCCTCTCTGTTAAATGCTCCAGTAAGACCATGCCACGTGTCTGCAGCTCCTTCACCAGCCACCAATCACCAAACGACACGTCACCTCTCACATCCGATCCTGTATGGCCCTCCTTGGATCCATCCATCCCCACACCTTTCTCCTCACGCCCCTTCCGCTCCCCCTCTCGGTTTCCCTCTCCGTTCCCCTCTCGGTTCTCCGAAGCAAAAAGCTTGTCAGCACCGTCAACAATATCATCCAAAGCCCAAACGTCCTCATCATCACCACTCTCAACCGCTCTGGCATGAGTATCACCACCACCACAAGCACCAGCGTTGGTCCCTGCCCTTCCTTGCTGTCCCCCTCCCTCATTCCCTCCTCCCCCATCTGCCTTCCCTGCTCCTCCCCCTTGCCCGCCCACGCCCTCTCCTTCCTCTTCTTCTGCCTTTTTCTCTTCCTCCTCCTCTCCCCCTTCCCCAGAGACGCAGGTAGCAAGGGCAAGGTTGAGGGAGAAACCTATCGCCTCGGACTTGGGGGTTTCCAACGGGCAGATGCGACCAAAGAATGTCGCATGGCTGGGATGGGGTGGGGGAGAAGGGGGTGAGGAGAGGGGGGCGGAAAGGGGAATTACAGAGGGGGGTTCTTTAGAGACGCAGGTAGCAAGGGCTAGGTTGAGGGAGAAACCTATCGCCTCGGACTTGGGGGTTTCAAGCGCGCAAATGCGGTCAAAAGAAGTCGCATGGCTGGAATAAGGGGGGAAGCGGGGGTGGGGTTTGGGAGGTGGGGGGGAGGGGGGGCATACGTGGAGAGGGTGCATTCAAGAAGCAGCTCACATCTGCTGGGCAGCAGCAGAGGTGTTGGCTCGATGAGAAGGCACCTCCATCCTCCTCAGGTGTGACAGTGCCGCTGCCGCACACAGCCAACAGTCTTCAGGACTCAGTTGGAGGAGCAAGAGACTCACATTTGTCTAGCAGCAGCAGAGCTTTTGGCTCTGTGAGAAGGCACCTCCATCTGCCTCAGGTGTGACAGTGCCGCAGCAGACAGCCAACAATCCTTGAGATGAGAGGTTTTCGCAAGTGCATTCAAGAAACAAGCAACTCACATCTGTCTTGCAGCAGCAGAGGTGTTGGATCGATGGGAAGGCACCTCCATCCTCCTGAGCTGTGACAGTGCCGCCGCAGCAGACAGCCGGTTGAGTGGCTCACTCGCATGCAGACTGCTGCTGCTCGTCCCATACCACCCTCCGCCGAACCTGCCCTGGCTGCCGCTGCCGAACCTGCCGCCTTTGGCTCGGCCGTAGCTCCCGGGCCGGTGCCAGTTTCCAGTTGCTAGAGCCGGCTGGAAGCAAGGGGAGGGATAGGAAACAGAGTAAGCGAGAGGGTGAGCTAGTGGGCGGGTGAGTGAGTGAGCGAGTGAGTGAGTGAGTGAGCGAGTGAGTGAGTGAATGAGTGAGAAAGCGTGAGTGAGGGACAGAGTGATTAAAGTGAGTGGCACTGCAGTGCAGTCCCTTCAGATACCCCAGTAGCCGCTCCCTCCCCGCATTGGCATTGCAAGTACAGTCTGATTTTGATCCCTCAACTGCACGATTAACCCTTGAAACTGAATATTCTGTTACCTGTTTGACTTTTGAGGCGCCTCAAAAGTCGACCCTTGAAACTTTTGTTACCTGTATGACTCCACCAACTTTGGCTAACCCCCTCTTTCACTAACCCTCTCTTCGTCGATTATTGAGTCGACTCAAAAGTCAACTTCTCACACCAACTTTGGCTGACTGACTGACCCCCTCTGTGACTAACCCCCTCTTTGGCTGAACCCCTCTTTGTCTGACCCTGCTTTCACTTACCTGCTTGCAATTTTTGAGGCGCCTCAAAAGGCGCCTCAAAAACTTTGGCTGAAACCCTCTTTGTCTGACCCTGCTTTCACTCACCTGCTTGCACTCACCTGCTTTCACTCACCTGCTTTCACTCACCTGCTTTCACTCACCTGCTTTCACTCACCTGCTTTCACTCCCTGTTGACAAAAGCGCGGTACGGCAGCCGCTTCAGATACCCCAGCAACCCCTCCCTCCTCTCCCAACATGCACATGCACTGTCTGAACTGAACAGCGGTGTTCCATTCCATCCAATCTGCCCCCTTTCACTCACCTCCAACCGCAGTGATATGCAGTCTTTGTTCACAAATACGCGGTACGGCAGCCGCTTCAAATACCCCAACACCACCTCCCTCCTCTCCTCCCCCACTGCTGCTGCCACAGTCACCCCCCTCCCCTCCCTCCCCCACCCCATCCTCGTGCTGCTGACTGTACCACTGCTGACGTGGCTCCTGAGAGACCTGCTGACGTGGCGGGTGACCTCACGCTCGATCCACCAGCACAGGCTGTCCAGCCCTGCGACGAACTGGTCCTCCAGAAGCTTCCCGGAGGTTTCCACTTTGAGGTGCGTCAGGCTGCGAGGGTCATCCTGTGAGAGTTGATTCAAAGGAATTCAATGCGCTTAGTTAAAAGTTGAGATGGAATTAACTCAACAATGTAAATGGAAAAGGTGAAGCAGGTAGATGAGATTCCGAAGATAAGAACGAGTTAGAACTGCTGAATCTGGGTCGAATCTATTTTTCTATGTGAAGCATGTGGATGAGATCTGGATGAGATTTTTGAATAATCAATCAAAAGTGGCACAATCAGAGACAACTGCGCCTTGGCAGAGAGAAAGAGGTGCGGTTTCAGTCTGACCAGGTGCATCAACGCACAAAGTGATTAGAGCAACCTCAGAACTCACCGGAGGGGTATATCCAAGACAGGTGGAGCAGAGCCTTCGAGCCATGTAAGCAACAAACTGTGCCTTGGCAGGGAGAGAGGCGGGGCCGGAGGCGACATGTGGCAGCATGTCATTGGCCAGAAGCTCCCATGCAGAGAGCCTGTTGTTGTGAGTCAGAGACTCCAGAGAAGCAAGCGCAGCCTGGGAAAGGGTCGGTAGGGGATCAGTCAGTGAAAGGACCCGCCAGAGGGAAGAGAGACAGAGCAGGAGGCGACATGTGGCAGCATGTCATTGGCCGGGAGGTCCAATGCAGAGAGCTTGTTGTTGTGAGTCAGAGACTCCAGAGAAGCAAGCGCAGCCTGGGAAAGGGTCGGTAGGGGATCAGTCAGAGAAAGGACCCGCCAGAGGGAAGAGAGACAGAGCAGGAGGCGACATGTGGCAGCATGTCATTGGCCGGGAGGTCCAATGCAGAGAGCTTGTTGTTGTGAGTCAGAGACTCCAGAGAAGCAAGCGCAGCCTGGGAAAGGGTCGGTAGGGGATCAGTCAGAGAAAGGACCCGCCAGAGGGAAGAGAGACAGAGCAGGAGGCGACATGTGGCAGCATGTCATTGGCCGGGAGGTCCAATGCAGAGAGCTTGTTGTTGTGAGTCAGAGACTCGAGAGCGGCAAGAGGCGCCTTAGGGGGGTTAGAAGCGAGGGTTGGGGGAGAGGGGAGGAGGGATAATTCGAGGGAAAGGATGAGAGGTCAGAGGAGACTAAACCATGCAGCGCGGGCAAGACCATTCACAGTCAGCACCTATTAGAGTCCCACCTGTGATTGATGCATCAGTAAAGCATTCTTTCGTGTCTCACCTGTTGGTTGCTACTCCGGTTCTCTTCACACGTGTGCTGCAGCAGCTGCAGCACCTCCTGCTGCCGCCTCATCAGTGCTTGCGCTTCCTCTCCTCCTTCCATCCCTCCTTCCATCCCTCCTTCGCGCTTCCCTCCTTCCCTCTTTCCTCCCTCCTTCTCACCTTCTCCTCCCATTCCCCCATCAGCATCATCAGTAGAATCCCCACCACCACCACCAGCAACGGCAGCAGCAGCTGCTACACCATCAGCATCATCATCACTGTCATCTATGACAATGACATTCGCTGCTCTCTTGTGTCTCTTGGCCTTGAACCACGCACCCCTCTCCCCCTCCTCCTCTCCCTCCTGCTTTCCCTCCTCTCCCTCACCACCCTCCTCCTCTTCTCCTAATCCCGCCTTTCTTTCCATCCCTCTCCCCACACTATCGGCCCCCTTCCCTCCCCTCTCTTCCCCTGCCCCCACCATGCCCTCACTTTCTTTCAGTGGGTGCCCGAGAATCATTTCAAATATTTCCTTATCTGACCGAACTCCCAGGGCACGAAGGAAGAGGAAGAGATTAACCGGGCAGCTGAAATATGGGAGATGGATTTGAAGGATGCGGGAAGCGCTTGCGCTGGTTGCTGACGTGGCAGCTGCTGCAGCTGACATGGCAGTTGCAGGTGCTGAGCTGGCATGAGGTGGAACAAGAGCTGAACAGGTCATCCTCATCATCCTGCCAGCAAGCAAGACATTAGGAAGAAACTGGATGATTAGAGGAATGCAGGATGTATCGTACGTATGGGTTGAGTGGGATACCCGACCCGATAGATAGTCAGGACTCAGAAATACAAAAAAGGAATACAAAAAAGGAATACAAAAAAGGAATACAAAAACAACGATTGTTTATTATGCTTTCCAGCGCAAGATGGGAGAAGGGAAGGCTGGTGGATGGGGAAAGACATGCACAAACAGACCTTTACTTGTCAGGGCTTTCAAACATACGCGTACACACAACTTGAAAACCTTTACTTCACAAACATACCTTGTTTTTGCCCGTGGCCCTGCCTTGAGCCCTCCCATATCGTCCTCAGTAGAGACAACGGACGCCACCCACTCGTCCCTCCACGCTCCCGCCCCTTCTGCTGCCCCGCCGCCCATCGAGGCAGCTCTGGCAGCAGCAGAAGCGGACAGGGGAGGTGCAGGCTCGACGAGGATGGTGTTGGGTGCTTGCACGAGGTGGGGAATGACCACCTGTGGGTGTACAGGGGGAGCAGAGGTGGGGAGAAGGAATGATAGAGAGACAAGGCCGGAAGGGGGAGGTGCCGGCTCGACTCGACTAGGATGGTGTTGGGTGCTCGCACGAGCTGGGGAATGACCACCTGTTGGAAAGGGGAAGAGGGCAGGGAAAAGGGATGAAAGGGGAGGTGCCGGCTCGACTAGGATGGTGTTGGGTGCTCGCACGAGCTGGGGAATGACCACCTGTGGTGTGGGTGCATGCATGGATAGGGGATAGAGAGAGAGAGGGCAGACGGGAAGAGGGCAGATTGGGGAGGTGCAGGCTCAACGAGGATGGTGTTGGGTGCTTGCACGAGCTGGGGAATGACCACCTGTGGGTGAAAAGGTGGGAAGAGAGGGGTGAGGGTATGAGCATAAGCTGTATGGGAGATCGAATGAGGCCAAAATGGGAAAGATGCAGGCTCGACCAGAATTGTGTGTTGGGTGCGGTGCTCCTCACCTTCTCGCCTTCTCACCTTCTCCATCCCCTTAACAAAAAGTATCCTCCGCGGTCCTTGGGACACTCCTCCTATTGCTGAGTTGTATAGGTGATCGAATGAGGAGGAAAGGGGAAAGATGCAGGCTCGACCAGGATTGTGTGTTGGGTGCTGTGCTCCTCACCTTCTCCATCCCCTTCACAATGAAGTATGCCCCGCGGTCCTTGAGACACTCCTCCCCCTATTGAGTCACAAAAAACCCTCACCTCCTCTATCTATCCTGCGCCAACCTTCCCTTCACCATCCCTCTCCCTCCTCACCTTCTCCATCCCCTTCACAATGAAGTTTCCCCCGCTGTCCTTGGGACACTCCTCCGAGTGGAATAAGAAATCTGACCTCACCTCACCTCACCTCACCTCACCTCACCTCACCTCACCTCACCTCACCTCACCTCACCTCACCTCACCTCCCTTTCTCACCTTCTCCATGCCCTTCACAATGAAGTATCCCCCTCTGTCCTTCGGACACTCCTCCTTGCGCCACATGCCCTTCTCTGATAGGCCATTGAGGTGGCACGCATCAGACCTCAGCATCACAGGGACCGCCCCCAGATGCACCTCCCTCTCCACCCACTCCCTCACCACCCTCTCCTCCGCACTCTCCTCTGTACTGCCCTCCTCTTCCTTCTCCCCCTCCCCCTCCTCCTCCTCCCTTTTCACCTTAACCTTCTCCTTCGCTCCTGCTTTCCTCCAGGTCCATTGCAGGCCTTCATACCCCAGGTCAACATCATCATCCGCACCACCAGCACCACCACCAGCAGCACCATCAGCATCAGCTCCTGCAATACCAGCAGCGCCAGCAGCAGCAGAATCATCGTCATCCTCCTCGTCCTCCCACCGAACAAATCGTTTGCCGGTCTTGAGTGACCCTTTCTGCTCCGCCTGCTTCCTCCTCTGCTCTCTCCTCTGCTGCTTCTGCTGCCTGATAGCCGCCTGTCGCACCGCCTCTGGGGAGGGCCGTTCGTACCGACCGCTCTCCACCACTTCAAACACCTGTGACGGGGAGCGCATATGGAAGCATGAGTAAACAAACTGCTTGTGAGGCCCCTCTTAAGCTGCCTGTGAGGCCCCTGTACGGCAAAGTCAGCTTATCAAGAGAGTAATGGTCGTGCCCACCTCACTTCCAATCAAACCCCTGTGAGTAAAAGGTACGATACGATCCAGCTCTCTGGTGTGTGTCAAATTCCAAGCCTGACAAACCCAAGCTTGACAAACCCAAGCCTGACAAACTCAAGCCTGACAAACCCAAGCTTGACAAACCCAAGCCTGACAAACCCAAGCCTGACAAACCCAAGCCTGACAAACCCAAGCCTGACAAACCCAAGCCTGACAAACCCAAGCCTGACTAGGGAAAAGCGGAGCCTGACAAAGACATAGAGGGCAAAGCATTCCTATTCAAATATCCCCCAGCGCTGCACCTGGCTGGCTGCATTGGTGTTACTTTCGAGAATTCTCAAAAGTAACACCAATAAAAGCGGAGCCTGACAAAGACATAGAGGAACAATCATGACTTTTGAGGCAACTTTTGAGTCGACTCAAAAGCGGAGCCTGACCAAGACATAGAGGAACAATCATTCCTATTCAAATAACCCCCAGCACTGCACATGGCTGGCTGCGCCCTGAACCGCATTGCACCGCTTTCTCCACCCTCTTCGCCTGGATGCGCACAAATCTCCGCAAATCCCCACTCTACCCCCCATGCTCACGCAATGCTTGTCTAGAAAACAGCAAAACAGGAGCCCGGCTCAACCTCCTCCCCTCAACCTACTGCACCTTCCCGACAGCGCCCCCAACCGCACTGTACCCATCCATGAGACGCTTCTCTTCTCTCCATCCCCCTTCCTCACCTGAATGTGCAGCGATCCTCTCAGATCCCCACTGTACGTCCGATGCTCACGTTCCTCCCAACCTTCTGTACCTTCCTAACAGCGCCCCCAACCGCACTGCACCATCTTCTCCTCACCTGAATGCGCAGCGATCCTCTCAGATCCCCACTGTACGTCCAATGCTCACGTTCCTCCCAACCTTCTGTACCTTCCTGACAGCGCCCCCAACCGCACTGCACCATCTTCTCCTCACCTGAATGCGCAGCGATCCTCTCAGATCCCCACTGTACGTCCGATGCTCACGTTCCTCCCAGCCTTCTGTACCTTCCTGACAGCGCCCCCAACCGCACTGCACCATCTTCTCCTCACCTGAATGCGCAGCGATCCTCTCAGATCCCCACTGTACGTCCGATGCTCACGCCGCGCCTGGCTAGGAAATAGTGAGGAAGATTCTTTCACTTCCGGGTGTGAAAACCTGGGCCCTGGATTACTGTCAAACGAAGCTCCGTTCGAAAAGCCTCTGTCAGGATGCAACCCCCCCACTCCTTCCTCCGTTTCCTTTTCCTTCCCTTTCCTTCCGCTCTTTTTCAAGTCTTTCCTCCGCTTCCTCCCAGTCTTCCCTACCCTATCCCCATCCTCGTCATCCTCCTCTTCCGCCATCTTCACATCCCCATCCTCGTTGTAGTCTGCTTCGTTACCAGCCAGCGAGCTCGTCCCTGGTGCAGCAGCAGCAGCAGCAGTATCACCCAGAGTCTCTGTCCCGAAAGGATGAACAAGGGGGCGGGTGAAGACTGGGCCTTGGAGGAAAATACGGACGCCCACTCCCACTACCCGCGACGTCACACTTTCCAAATTGTGGTTGCGCGGGTTGGCGGGGGTGACTGTGTCGCTGACTTTCAAAGGGATGTGTATCTGCAAACGGAGAAGGTTCAAACAGCAGTACAGGCAGGGGACGGAAGAAACTAATGTGAATTGGCGCGAATTGGCAAGGGTTACCGTGTCGCTGACCTTCAAAGGGATGTAAATCTCCAGGGAAGGGTGGAGAGGGGGAGAGGGGGAGTTGAAGCAGCAGGACAGAGGAACAAAGGGGACAGACGGAACTAGCAGACGGGTTGAAACAGGGTTGGCAGGAGTCAATGTAGCGCTGCGAACTGCCAACTACGAGTTGACCCAGTGGTCACAACACTACAAGGCAGTGTCAAAGGGAGCGGTCTGGTGTCCCACCACTTGCACTCCTTCCTTCAATCGCTTCCTGCGCCGACTCCCCCGCATCGTGGCCGGCCACACACGTCGCAGGAAGCGATTGAAGGAGTGCAGGTGGTGGGAAACCAACCCGCTCCCTCTGACTGCAGCAATCGCCACGCCTTGGAATGACAACACCACTTTGACTGCGCTGGCTAGTGAGTCAACCCACAAAGTGTCTCACCTGAACAGGTCTGTGGCTGGCCACGATGCGAGGGATTCGGCGCATGAAGCGGTTGAAGGAGTCGATGTGATGGGACACCAGACACACTTCCTGTGACTGCGTTGACAAATAAGTCAACTCAACAAGACTCACCTGAACCGGCCTGTGACCAGCCACGATGCAAGGGAGGCGGCGCAGGAAGCGGTTGAAGGAGTCGATGTGGTGGGACACAAGCCCGCTTCCCTTGACTGCAGCTATCGCCACGTCTTGGAATGACAACACGGCTGGTGGCTTCTCCTGCTGCTTCTGCATCTGCTGCAGGAAATCTTCTGGTGCTGGTGCTGGTGCTGGTGGTGCTGGTGCTGGTGCTGGTGCTGGTGCTGGTGCTGGTGATGCTCCTGCCTCTCCCTCCGCCTCTGCCTCGTCCCCCTGCCCCTGCTGCATCTCTTGCTCCTCCTGCATCGCTTCTTGCGCCATCTCCTCTTGCTGCGTCTCAGTCCTTTTTTATTATTATTTTTATTAGCTGGAGTTTGCTTCAAAGAGCTGTGTTGGATATGGAGGGGTGAGAAGCAGGAGATATGTGGTGGTGCGGGATGACAAGCGGAGACGCGTGAAGATATGCAAAAAGAACATATGTACAAGATATACGAGGAGGGATGAGACGCAGCGGGTATGTGGTGGTGCGGGACGACATGCGGACAGCTGGATTTGACGTGTGAAAGGACGAGGAGGGACGAGAAGCAGGGGATAGGTGGTGATACATGAACTACAGAACGCGCGCCGCTAAGGCTCTAATTAAAGAATGGTGCATAACGGCAGGACGACTAACCATGTACGGAGAGTTACCGCACAGCTAGTTCCTCGTAAGACTGAATATGCCGCGATAAGAACGATAGAACAGGGAGGACAAAAAACCGACTGTGTACTTCAGGAGAAAATTTTGCGTGTCGCAGATTGTCAGGTGTTTGAACAATATTAATTTCAGCCACTGATGAAAAAAGGGCGCGCGAAATCGGGAAACGAATATTCTCGGCTGGAGAAGCACATCAGAGTAAGCACATCGTACAGAATTACAGAAAATGGCTCTGAAAGCAGTGCACAAAAGAAAGGCGCTGAAATTGGTTTCAGGGAGCTGTCATGGCCTGACTTCAATGCGGTTTGGTGAGATGCTGTGCGTGGAAAAGCGGTTTCCTTACAACCCAACAATTTGTCAGGTCTGGAAAATGGCTGCGGAGAGGGAGATTGTCAGATGTCCTTCGGCATTCTCAAGGTTCGCTGCATGTGGGGTGGGCGAGAGCATGCGGCGCAATTGTGACGGATTGTCCGTGCGAGAAGTTGATGCGACGTCGTATCACCGGTTTGTCCGTCGGAATTGTCCGGCTGTTACACTGAAAATTTTCGGAGAGCACGAACGCTGGCGAACCCCTTTCCGCGTAGCTGTAACCCCAGGATTTTCTGTTCCACTAGTGTCGGTGCTGGGAAACTCCAAAACTCTGAAGGATGCCCCCAATAGTGACCTGCAGCCTATCAAGTTGATTCGCGTGGTGGATGAGAAGAACCACGAACGCTCACCACTTGTTCGCGAAACGATTTCGTGCACACAACGATTGGTCAACTCTTTTCCATCGAGGTTCTAGATGGGCAGGAACTGATCCCAAGGCTATAAAACTGAACTTTTCCAAACTGATCCCGAGGTTGCCTGTACTTTTCAAAATTACCTCTCTCTAGTAGCTTCTCCTAGTCCATCTCTCATTGTCGGAATACCCTTTTTAGATACCAGATAGTTCTCAAAACACCGGCGCATCATGTCAGTCGGCTTTTAAATCACTAATCATCTAAACTTATCTAATCTGGGTGTGCATGACCCGACTGGGTCATCGCTAACTGACCTAAATTTGCAGCAGTATCAGCATTAGCAAAGTCTAAATCCGTGCATGGCCTCCGCGCCGAACGGCGGGACCGGCGGAGGCGTAGAGGCGGTCCAGTACGACGCGGGCACGGGCATTTACACCGTTAAGAACAAACCGTGGCCAGGTGCGTGGCGATTTTTTAGAGTTCTTCGGGAATTTCGGTCCGGTACGACGCGAGCATAGGTCGCGAGCACAGCAAGATGCGACTCAAGCACGGGAACGTAAACCGTCAGCAACAAGCTAGTCATGCAGCAGAAGTTTCGTGTCACTGGCACCATTCTCTTATAACCTCGGAATTTCATCCCTCCCTCCTCCTGCCCTTCCTTCCCCCTCTACCATCCTTGCTCCCGTCACATTGCAACAGTGGGAACTCGCTACACGGTGCACTGTCTGATTGGCTCTGGCTCATACGGAGATGTCTGCAAGGCCACTGACAATGAGACGGGCGAAACTGTTGCGCTCAAGGTGACTATAGCGGAATTGCTGTGCTGTCACATGCTGGCCAAGATAGTTTTTCCATATTCATTAGAATCGTTGCATTCCTCCCTCCTGTTAATCCAATTCCCTCTCCGTGTATTTGTGTGTGCATGTGTGTGCGTGTGTGTGCCTGTGATGTGATGTGATGTGATGTGGTGCAAACAGCGCATCGCGGATGTGCTGTGCTGCCCCATGCTGGCCAAGAGAGTGCTTCGAGAGGTCTGCATCATGCGCCGCCTCTCACACCCATACGTCATCCGATGTACGTAAAAACAAGGCAGATGTGAGGAGAACAACACGCCTCCAAGTGTATTAGCCCACCTCCTTTCCTCCTGCCTGCCCTTTTTCCCTCGGCCCCTTCATTATCCTCCTGTGTATGTACGACCCCTCCACTTCACCCCCCTCCTCACCTCCCCTCTCCCACCTCCCTTTTCCCAGTGGCGGACGTGTTCACTCGCAAGTCCACTGAGGTGCCGGGCGGATTCGACCTCTACATCGCCACGGAGTATGCCTCAGGGTAAGCCCTTCACTTCACACTGCCAGTATGCCTCCTCAGGGTAAGCCCTTCACTTCACACTGCCAGTATGCCTCCTCAGGGTAAGCCCTTCACTTCACACTGCCAGTATGCCTCAGGGTAAGCCCTTCACTTCACACTGCCAGTATGCCTCGTCCCTCAGAGGAAGCCCACCCCAGCCTAGCCTAGCCTGCCCACCTCCCTCTCAGTGGCGGACGTGTTTACTCGCAAGGCAACTGAGGTACCGGGCGGCTTTGACCTACATAGCCACAGAGTATGCCTCAGGGTAAGTAGTCCCTGTGATGCAGAGTGGTGCTGTACGGTTCAGAGGCGGATCATGGCTGCAGAGCAGAGTATGCCTCTCAGGGTGAGCCCTGTGCTGTGGTGACTGTTCGTGAGGCACTTCAAAAACTGGCCTATACCTCTCCAACCCAGGGATAAAATATGTTCCTCAGGTCAGGATAAGCCATAGTCCTAGACCTATGGCATTCGAACCGACTCAGAGGTCGATCCCGTCCTTTTCCCCTCCCTCTCCCCTGCCGTTCCTCTCTGCCTCCCCTCCCCCTGGTGGCGATCCGTATCAGTTCAAGCAGCCACTAACACCAGAGGATGTGAGGCGCTGATATGGCTTTTGGTCAACTCAAAAGTCTCCCCTGTCTCCTTTTCCCTTCCCATCCCTTCCAATTCCTAGTGGCGATCTCTATCGGTTTAAGCAGCCGCTAACACCAGAGGATGTGAGGCGGCTGATATGGCAGCTGCTGGTGGCAACTCGCTATCTGCACTCCTGCCATGTCTGGCACAGGTGGGTGGGTGCGTTTGAGTGGGTGAGGCCTCCCAGAGTAGATCTCTCAAAGGTATTGGTTCAAGCAGAGCAGCCACTAACACCAGAGGACGTGTAGAGGCTGATATGGCAGCTGCTGGTGGCAACTCGCTACCTGCACTCCTGCCACGTCTGGCACAGGTGGGTGAATGAAATGCGATCCCTGGAGTAAATTTACTGCTAGTCACCCGTCAGCCATCCCCAACTCCCCCCCAACCCAACTCCCACCCCAGCTCTCACGTCTGACGCCCTAATGCCCGTCCTTCACTCCCCCGCTTCCCGCCTTCCGCTCTCCCCTCAGAGACATCAAGTCTGAGAACACGCTGCTCCACGCCAACACCACCCTCTCTCCCTTACTGCCTCTTGTAATGCCCGTCCTTCACTCCCCCGCTTCCCGTCTTCCGCTCTCCCCTCAGAGATATCAAGTCAGAGAACACGCTGCTCCACGCCAACACCACACTCAAACTCTGCGACTTTGGCCTCTCTAGATCCGCCCTCGGGGTGAGTGCGTCCTCTTCTCCCTGCATCCCCACGGGCACATGACCCTCTCCTTCTGCTCTCACACGCCCCCTTCCTCTTATGTATCGTGTCTCCTCCTCCACGCCAACACCACACTCAAACTCTAAGACTTTGGCCTCTCTAGATCCGCCCTCGGGGTGAGTGCGTCCTCCTCTTCTCTTCCTGTCCTTGCCTCCTCAACGCTCACTTGCCCCACTCCTACTGGTCAGCCCCCCACTTCGTCTCCTCTATCGTCCACTCCCTCTCCCCCCACTCTGTCTTATCCCACGCTCGCTTCCCCGCACTCTCGTTTTACTCCCCTCCCTTGCTCCAACCCCCCATGAAACGGGTTCAGTCAGGGCAGCCGATGCAGCCGCGCAGTGGGCCGTGCTGGATGAGTCTATTCCTGAGGCGGACTGAAACCTAACCCCCTCCTCTCCCTCCTCCTCCTACCCCCTGTGCATCCTCCGAACACACTCCCGTTGCAGTCAGGGCAGCCAATGCAGCCGCGCAGTGCACCGGACGAGAAGGGGGCAGCGGCGGGGAGGAAGCAGCACGTGCTGCAGAGGCAGTTCACCAAGATGGTCGTCACCCCCAGCTACCGCGCCCCTGAGGTGGTCATGTCGCGAGGCCAGTACACATCGGCAATCGATATGTGAGTTGTGTTAGAATCATGTGCCGTGTACAGTCTAGTTTAGTCTAGTCAAGCTGGAGCTGCAGAGGCAGTTCACCAAGATGGTCGTCACCCCCAGCTACTGCGCTCCTGAGGTGGTCATGTCGCGAGGCCAGTACACATCAGCCATCGACATGTGAGTCCCCTTTCCTGTCTCCCCCCTCCTCCTCTTTCTTCCTTTCTCCCCATCCTCCGTTCTCCTCTTCTCCCCCTTCTCTTTCTTCTCTCCCTTTCCTCTTACTACTCACAATTCATCTCTCCCTGTGTGAATCAACATTTTGATTGAAGGCGCTTCATAACTTATCAATCTCCTGCTTCTCCCCCTCTCCCTCCCCTCCCTTATCCCCGCGCCACTGTACCGTTCATCCCTCCCTGCATTCACCGGGGTGCCACTCACCTGGCTCGCTCGCGCGTGCACGGACCTCTCCTCTCTTCATCCCGATTCAGCTGGTCGCTCGGCTGTATATTCTGGGTAAGCTTTTCGGCCCAAGAGAGCTCTTTTTAGAACTCCTTGCAGAACTCCTTTCTCCAGTGAGCACTGGAGGAGTACTATTCTTCTAGAAGAGCAGATTCTATGTGGATGCACTTGTATAGGCTTCGAGGCTCACTGAATCCCTTCAGACGTCTACAGAGGCTTGTCGAAGCACTTTTTCCCCCTTCCCCCCACTTCCCCCCGGAACAAACAAAAGACCTTCTTCCTCCTTCCTCCCTCCACCTTCACCCCCTCCTCCTCCTGCTCCTCCTTCCCCCTCCCTTCCTCAGGAGCTCCTAATGCGAGCCATGCGCCCCCATCGACCAGGGCCCCCATCAAGACCACTGTTTGGCATCAGGTGAGACTCTGTTGCCATCAGGTGTGCCTCTGTTGCCAACAGATGGTCCTGTGTGGCCGTCAGGTGGATCTCTGTTGCCATCAGGTGAACCTCTGTTGGACAACAAGTGGCCTCTTGCTGACCACCTCGACACGAAAAGCTATGTCATCGGTCCTTCTATGTCGCTGTTGCCCCTCTACATCGACACTTCCTTTTCCTTTTTACTCCTTCCGAGTATGCTACGAACACACAAGGGCAAGCCGGTGACACCAGAGAATGGCTCATGTGGTGAGTGATTCACACTGAAGCATACTTGCATGCGAAGGTGCATGAAATGATGAAATCGAATGCATGATGTAAAAGATTGAGATGGCAGAAAGATATCTCTTTGTCATTTCAATCTTTTACATCATGCATTCGATTCCATCATTTCATCCACCTTCGCATGCAAGTATGCTTGGGTGTGAATCACTCACTACATGAGCCGATTCCCCACGGGAGAAGTACGTGGATGACGAGTCCCCACTAGCCGACCACTCTCCTCTTACACTTCCTTACACAACAATTCCTTACACTTCCTTCCCTTCCACAACAATTTGCTCCCTTGAATCACAGGGGCGAGCCAGTGACACCGGAGACAGGGGAGAAGAATGTAGACGACAACGAGTCGCCACTAGCCACGTGAAAGAAGGAGTGTTTTGAGACGTCTCAAGACAGGGGAGAAGAATGTAGATGACAATGAGTCGCCACTAGCCGACCAGCTCGACGAGATATTCGATGTCATCGGCACGCCCTGCTGGAAGGACATTGAGAGCGTCCCCAGCGATGCCTGGCGGGTGTACCCCAAGAGACTTTTCTGTACTGATTCCTTTCTGTTATTTCCTGTTCTGTTTTGGTTTGCTCGACAGGGGCGAGCCAGTGACCCCAGAGACAAGGGAGAAGTATGTGGATGACAATGAATCTCCCCTAGCCGACCACTCTCCTCTTATGTTCTAGTCCCTTACACTTCCCTCCCTCCACAACAATCTGCTCCCTTCATCACAGGGGCGAGCCGGTGACACCAGAGACAGGGGAGATGTATGTAGACGACAACGAGTCGCCACTAGCCGATCAACTGGACGTGATCTTCGATGTCGTCGGCACTCCCTGCTGGAAGGACATTGAGAGCGTTCCCAGCGATGCCGGGCGGGCGGGCGTTCCTCAAGAGACCTTGCTGTGAAATTCCACTCTGTTCTGTTTTGTTCCCTTTTCGTGTGTGAATTCCTAACCCCTGCATCACAGGGGCGAGCCAGTCACCCCGGAGACAGGGGAGAAGTACGTAGATGACAATGAATCACCCTTATCGGACCAGCTCGACGTGATATTCGATGTCATCGGCACGCCCTGCTGGAAGGACATTGAGAGCGTTCCCAGCGATGCCTGGCGGGCGTTCCTCAAGAGGCTGCCGGGGCGGGCGGGCAATCTGGCCAATCAAATGGCGCCATGTGGCGATCCCGAGGCCGCGGATCTGCTCCATCGCATGCTGGCGTTTGATCCCTCCAGGCGGTGCACTGCAGAGGAGGCACTCGCTCACACTTATGTACGTGTAGTGTCGTGCATAGATGAGTGTGCCCTGCCGCTTTTCTCTCCTCACACACCAAACCCAATTCGTAAATCTTAAAGCCCGAGGCTGCCGATCTGCGCTATCGCATGCTGGCGTTTGATCCGTCCAGGCGCTGCTGCACTGCGGAGGAGGCTCGTGCTCACACTTATGTAAGTGTTATTGTGTTTTGATGCCTCTTATTTGTAGAAGCCAGACAGATTCCCCTGGCGCTTTGATAGTCAACCCACAAGCTGCCTTGGCTTTGGCCTTGGCTTTCTCGTCTCTGTCTAGTCCACCCCTCCCTCCAAACCTCCATCCGTCTGATTCTGACCCCCCAACCTTTCCAGTTCCGCAGCCTCGAGAAGCCCATGGAGCTGCCACCCATGGAGGCAGAGATACTGAGAAGCAGAGGGCCCTTGAGAGTTGACTCAAGACCCATATTGTGTTTCCCAACCAGCTACCGCTCTCCATCTGACCCTCGACCCCTCCCAGTTCCGCAGTCTCGAGAAGCCCATGGAGTTGCCACCCATGGAGGCAGAGGAAACGCCCGTGTCTCTGCCGCAGGACCACCACTTCTGGCAAATAACTGACCCTGCTATCGCCCTGGGGCTGCTGGAGGTGCGTATGTGAGTGGGAATATGAGTGAGTGGGTGACTGTGTGCATGCGTGGCAGAGGAAACGCCAGTGTCTGCCACAGGACCACCACTTCTGGAAGATCACTGATCCTGGTAGAGCCCTCGGGCTGCTAGAGGTGTGCGGGTGTGTGCGTGGATACATGAGTGAGTGGGTGGCTGTGTGGGCATGTGTGTCAGAGGAAACGCCCGTGTCTCTGCCACAGGACCACCACTTCTGGCAGATCACCGACCCTGCCATTGCCCTGGGGTTGCTAGAGGTGCGTAGGTGTATGGGTGGGTGTAAGAGTGAGTGGGTGACTGTGTGGGCATGTGTGCTAGAGGAAAAGCCCGTGTCTCTGCCTCAGGACCACCACCTCTGGCAAATCATTAACCCTGCTATCGCGCTGGGACTGCTGGAGGTGTGTGCTGGGTGTGAGTGTGTGTAATTTGAATGAGTGGGTGGCTGTGTGGGCATGTGTGTTAGAGGAAACGCCCGTGTCTCTGCCTCAGGACCACCGCTTCTGGCAAATCACCGACCCTGCCATTGCCCTACTTCTCCTTCTGTCTCCTCTTGTTCTCCCAATCTTCCTCTCCCTGGTCACAAAGGGAGCAGCAGGCAGCATACGAGCCGGATGGGGGGAAGAGGAATTCGGAATGGCGTTTTATCCTCCTCGTGTTGCCCCTTTATCTCCCTCTCTCCTGCTTTTCCCCCCCTGATTCCTCTGGTCACAGAGGGAGCTGGAGCAGGCAGCATACGAGCCTGATGGGGGAAAGAGGAAGCTGGAATGGCTGCTCGAGAGAGAAGCAGAGGGGCAGCAGGTAAGGGCAAAGCACTTCAGGGTTAACAAAGGGGATGTAAGCAACAATGGGAACGGGGTAGTATATAGAGGGAGTTGGAGCAGGCAGCATATGAGCCGGATGGGGGAAAGAGGAAGCTGGAGTGGCTGCTCGAGAGAGAAGCAGAGGGGGAGCAGGTGAGGGGGGCAGCAGGTAAGGAGGGCAGCAGGTAAGGAGGGCAGCAGGTAAGGAGGGCAGCAGGTAAGGAGGGCAGCAGGTAAGGAGGGCAGCAGGTAAGGGGGGCAGCAGGTAAGGAGGGCAGCAGGTAAGGGGGGCAGCAGGTAAGGGGGGCAGCAGCAGGTAAGGGGGGCATTGGGTTAGGGCGAATCTCTTTTTGAAGGTAACCATGTCAGCACAAGGTTGCAAGTCGACTGGGTTGGGCAAAGGTTCATCACTTGCCCACCCAGTTTGCACGAAGGTGCAAACACACGCATCTCCACTTCTTCCCCATTTGCGCATCCCCCTCGCCAAGTTCAGAACTTCAGTCGCAATACAATGATCTGCACGCTCCTAGGCTCACATGCCTTGGCCTTTCTTCACTCTCCTCCCCCTCCCGCTCCCTTCAATCTGCTCCCTGACCTCACTCCCCCCCCACCAGGTTCAGAACTTCATTCGCAACTCAATGCTTCGCACGCTCCTCGGCCCTCATGCCTTGGCCAATCGCCTCGCGACATCTGTCGGGGCACGAGTGGGGCGTGGCCAGCAGCAGCAGCAGCAGCAATTGCGTCAGCAGGAGCCACAGCAACAGCTGCAACAGCAGGGGCAACAACAGCAAGGGCAAGGGCAACAGCAACTGCAGCCGCAGCTCCAGAGTCAACTTCAGCAGCAGCAGGAGCACTCGCAGCAGCAGCAGCAGCAGCAGCAGCAACAACAGATGGTAGCAGCAGGGGTGCAGCCAGGTATGTCTGGGGGAGGTTCAATTGGGGGGGTTGCTACTGGAGGGGTTGCTACTGGGGGAGGTGATATTAGAGCTGTTGGACTGGAGGCCACTGGAGGGGCAGGTAGTATACAGCAGCAGCAGCAGCAGGATCAGCAGCAGCAACTCCTCCTGTTATTGCTTCAGCAGCAGCAGCAACAACAACAACAGCAGCTGCAACAGCAACAGCGGCAACAACAACAGCAGCAGCAGCAGCAGCAACAACAACAACAACAGCTGCAACTGCAACAGCAGCAGCGGCAGCAACAACAGCAGCAGCAGCAGCAGTTAATAGAACAGCAGCTGCTACAGCAGATGCAAACTGCAATCGCCTCTTCAACTGCTACAGCCGCTACAGCAGGTGCAGCCGCTACAGCCAGTGCAGCCACTACAGCCATCCCTGCAGCAGCCAACTCAGTTGACCTGATTGCTAAAGTGCAACGCCAAGCCTTAAGGCTTCTTTCTGCTTCAGACCCTTCCCTCATCCCCTCCCTCCTCTCCTCCTCCTCCTCTGCCTCCTCCGCCTCTGCTCCTCCCCCCCGCCTCTCAAGCTCCCTAACTGCTGCTCTGCAGAGGAAATCGCGAATGGCTGCGACTGCTGCTGCTGCTGGCACTTCTGCTGCTTCTGCTGCTGCTGGCACTTCTGCTGCTTCTGCTGCTGCAACCGGTTCTGCTGTTACTGCTGCTGTTGAAAATTCCTGTGCTGCAAGTGATGGTGCTGCTGCTGGTGCTGCGGCTGCTGCTACCACTGTTACTGCTACTGCTACTGTCACTGCTGTTGGTGGTGCTGCTGCTGCCAATGATACTGCTGCTGCTGCTGCTGCTGCAGGCAGCACGAGGGGTGTGGGCGACAATGCAAGCGGTGCCTCAGATTTGACCTCTTCATCCCAAGCCATGACTGCCCTTCTAGAAGCGTACATGAGGCAGAAACAGCAGCAGCAGCAGCAGCAGGTACAGTTTGCGCCCAATCCCGCCGCTGCTGTTCACCAGCTGCAGGAGTCGCTCAGGAGAAAACAACAGAAGGCAGCACCCTCTCAGGTGCCACAGCAGCAGCAGGTGCAGGATCCAAGGCGGAGACTGCGGCAGCAGGGGCAGGGGCAGGGGCAGCAGCAGCAGCAGGAGCCATCTCTTTGCCTTGGTGTGGAAAACAGTCCTCAAAACATTCCCCCAAATGTAGCTCAAAACAATGTGGAAAATAATGCACAGAACAGTGCACAGGACTTGCAACTCAACGCTTCGTCTAAACTGAGTCAGGATGGTACTCAAGACCCCCAAGGCATTCAGGGTCTTCAAGACCCCCAAGGCATTCCCGGACTGGCAGAAGTGATGATGCCGCCCCGAACCATGATGAGGCTGCAGCAGCAGGGGGGGATGCACATGCAGCAGCAGTTGCAGCAGCAGTTGTTTCAGCAACAGGAGTTGCAATTGCAGCAGCAACAGTTGCAAATACAACAGCAACAGCAAGAGCTTTTGCAGCTGCAGCAGCAGGAACAGGAACAGGAAGGGCTTGAGAATCAAGGGGAGGAGGAGCAGCGGCATAAGCAGTTTCAGTATCAGCAGCAGTCGCAGCACTTCAGCTTTTTCCCAAGGACGAATTCCCCTTTTCAAGACCGAGGGGCAGGGGTATCGTCGGAATCTAGCCCCTCGTCCTTAGGATCAAAAAGAGGCGGGCGAATGGATATAATGGCCTCTGTGGCTGCAGCTGCGGTTCGGGCGGTCGATTCGGAGGCTGCAGCCCGGTCCATGTCAGGTACAGGTTCGGACGATTGCACAGGTGGAGTGGAAGTTCGGCAGGACACACCAGGTTCGGACAATTTGAGTTTGAACGCGTTTAGTGGGAGGATACGGTCCCGTTCTCCTTTGGGGACTGAAGCTGAGATGCCACAAGCAAAAAGGATTGCGAGAAGTGGCTTTAGCGAAGACGGTCAAGTGTGAAAAAAAGCTGAGTCGACTTAGAAAATAGCCAGGTGCATGAGCGAAGATGGTCAATTGTGGAACTAGGAAGGAAAATGAGGATATCACAAGACAACAAGATTGGTGTCAGTTGTGGTGTGTGAAAGATGTTTCTCTAACAAACTGAAGCACTAACACAAGCTGCAGGGACACCTTTTTGCTCACATTGTTGTTCCTTCTGATTTCACATGATCACCTTGCCAAAAAGGTCTGAATTGCAGCAAGCCTGGCCAAATGTTAGTTCTAGACAACTCTCCTTACAAATCTTTATCGGCATGGCCTACAGCGCATTATTTCTATATCGGATCAGCAGCGCCAGGATCCAGTCCAACTGACGAGTGGTAGTTCCAATGGGCTGATCAGCTCCAATGGTCATTTTGTTCCTGTGCGAATTTCAAGCAAATGCTGCCGATGTTACACCAGCAGCATGTGTTCGAAGGCTTCTTCCGTGTTTTGTGGACCGTTTGCGTTGCGTTCTCGTTTAGTAGTTCGCAGAAATCATGACTAGAGCTCTGGCTCTGGCTTCATCTCGTCCCTGCCTCGAGTGCTCTCAGCGGCCGAAGATTAGTGGCGCATCTGCATGGTTCAGCCGTCCGATCTGATCGGAGCGGCTTCTCGTGGTCATGATTAGCTTCTCGTGAGAGATCGAAGGATCTTACGTGGGACGGTTGCGGGACGAGTGATGAGAGTCCCTCCAGTTCTTTTCCTGCCAATCGCATTTCGCGAATTCGACCAACTCACACGATCTCATTCCCAACCAGAGCGAATTCCGAGGCATCTCAGAGCTCAGTAAAGCGTATATTCACCCAATTTTACTATAATCCACGCCAGCAGCAGCGAGCAACCATGCGACGGCCACCGCCGATTCGGCGTAGACACCTCAAGCCTTGATTCAACAGATTCCATATTCAGCCACGCTTCTTCTCATTTCTGTTCACACCAGCAGCAGCGAGCAGCCATGCGACGGCCACCGCCAATTCAGCGTCGAGGGGCCTTCCAGGCACCAGGCGTCTCCGCGAAACTCTCTCTCTCCTCTTCATTCGTCACCACTGGCGGCGGCAGCGGCAGTGGTCTTAGTGGCATTGGCAGCTTTTTACCTTCCTTTTTGTCATGGAACCGTGATCGAGCCACGGCAGGAGCAACCACAAGCGGCAGTGGTGTCAGTAGTGGCAGCAGCAGGGACACGACGGGGGTATCTACAACCGGATGGCCGAATTTGAAGGGTACAGCACGGTTTTCACCTGTTCGCGGCTGGTTGTTCTCAGCTTCTAGCAGCAATCGCGGGTCTGAGAGCTCTCCGGGTTGGCTGGAGCGGGTGATTGGTGGTCTGCTGTTGGGCTTGCTAGCCTTGCTTCTGGTGGCCTCCGTGACTCTTCTGCTTCCCAAAAGCAGCAGCGGTAAGATGCCAGAATGGAGCGGGTGATTGGTGACGTGCTGGTGGGCTTGATAGCCTTGCTTCTGGTGGCCTCCGTGACTCTTCTGCTTCCCAAAAGCAGCAGCGGTAAGATGCCAGAATGGAGCGGGGGTGGTCTGTGACGTGCTGGTGGGCTTGCTCGCCTTGCTCCTGCTGGCCTAGGTGGTTCTTCTGCTGCCAAAGGGCAATCTAAGCAGCGGTAAGATGCCAGATTGGAGCGGGTGATTGGTGGTCTGTGGCGTTTCAAGGCAAATCCAATCTCAATCAAAGGTTCTGTTGCTTTCACTTTACCATTGTTTCTCACCCTGTTGCAGCAGGCACATCATCGATTGTTCCTTTCACACCGTCCCAGGCAGAAGCTTTGAGATGTCTCAAATTGCTGAGACATTCAACAGGTTCTGAGACGTCCCAAACTTGTTTCCACTTTCCCATTCTTATCCCCCACGTGCAGCAATCGCATCAACCGTTCCTTTCACGCCGTCTCAGGCAGATGCTGGAGCAGATCCGGATGTAGTGGTCGGAGCAGCAGCACAGGCGGCTGTAGCAGGAGAGGCCGATGCTGTAACAGCTGCAGCAGCAGAGACACAGTCAGCAGCAGCAGCTGAGACAGCTATAGCGGCAGAACGGGCGGCGGCAGAGGTGGCAGCAGCAAACGCAGCAGCAGCAGAGGCAGCAGCAGCAAGCGCAGCTGCAGCAGAGGCAGCAGCAGCAGCAGCAATGGCAGGAGACGAAGCAGCAGCCTTCTCTCAGCCAGCATGGCGCTATGCCGGATCCCCGGGAGGGAAAGGAGGAAGTGGTACTGGCGCTGTGGCGGCTCAAAAGGCAGGTTACCTGTTTGGGTGGGCAGGGGGGGACCTGAGCTACCGCATGGGGTGGGGAGAGGAGGACAGGGCCGCTTGGCCTGTGGTGGAAGCAGGCAGGCGAGCAGCAGACGCTGCTGCTATGGGAGAGAAGATGGGAGCAGTGGAAGCAGAGAAGGGTGCTGCTGATCCGTTTCCCCCAGGCTCACACAGAGCAGGGGGGGTTCTGGGGCGCAAGGGGGTGAAAGCCGTGGCAGCATCGGGGCACACGCTAGCAGTGACAGTAGACGGAGCACTCTACTCATTCGGCCGAAACTGGGACAGTAGGCGGCGGAAAGCGGGGCAGCTGGGGCGGAAGGGGCCGTTTGGGAGGCCTGGGAGGGTGGCGGGAGTGGCGGGGAGAGTGAGGGCGGTCGCTGCTGGGAAGTTTCATTCGGTGGCAGTGACTGAAGAGGGGGTGGTGTACACGTGGGGGTGTAATGGGAGGGGCCAGCTGGGGAGACAGACGAGGAGCATGGTAAGCGGTTTTGAATGGTGTGAGGGAGTGTAGGTTGACGTTTGAGTTTACTCAGATCTGCCCTAGCCGTGACAAAGGAGGGGTGGTGTACACATGGGGGTGCGATGGGCGGGGACAGCTGGGCTGGCAGTCAAGGAGCATGGTAAAAGTTATGCGAAATAGGTTGAGGGCTACCCTATCTCGCCCTTTTGCCCCCTCTTCCAGGGATCATACCCTTTCACCTGGGGGTCCTAATGTCTGCCCTCTCCGTTTTCCCTCCTCCTACCTTCCAGGGCGACAGGCACAAGGCGGCGCCAGTGAGGGGGCCACTGGAAAACGTGGTGGTGGTGGCGGCAGCAGCAGGGCCGCACTACTCCCTCGCCCTCTTGCCCTCTCTTCCAGTGGTCAGCTCTACACCCCGGAGCTTCAACCTCTTATCTCTTCCCCTCCCTCTCCCTCCTCCACCTCCCAGGGCGACAGGCATGAGGCGGCACCAGTGAGGGGGGCACTAGAAAACGTGGTGGTGGTGGCGGCAGCAGCAGGGCCGCACTACTCCCTCGCGCTCTCTGCCGGGGGGCAAGTCTTCACCTGGGGCCTCAACCTCTTCTCGCTCCCTGCTCCCTGGACCCACCACCATGACCTCTGCCATACTCCTACTGCTGCTTCTTCTTCTGCTGCTGCTGCTGCTGCTGCTGTTGTTGCCGCTGGCAGCGCCGGCAGCAGCACCAGCACCAGCGGTGGATTAGAGAAGGAACTAGCAGCAGCACTGGCACTGGCAGCAGAACCAAGGAGGGTGGGAGGGGCGTTGGAGGGGGAGAGTGTGGTGGAGATAGCAGCAGGGGAGGAGCACTGGCTGGCGCTCACAGATAAAGGCCTTGTGTACGCATGCAGGTGAGAGAACATGGGTGGGAGAACACGGGGTTTTGAGAAGCAGACAGGGGGGAGGGTGGGAAGGGCGTTGGAGGGGGAGAGGGTGGTGGAGGTAGCAGCAGGGGAGGAGCACTGGCTGGCGCTCACAGATAAAGGCCACGTGTACGCATGCAATGCAGGTGAGGCACATTTTAGAGGGTACGAGGGAGGAGGGCAGGCGATGCAAGTAAGAAGATAGCAGCAGGGGAGGAGCACTGGCTGGCGGTCACTGATAAAGGCCACGTGTACGCGTGCAGGTGAGGGAGAGGAGACGAGAGGAGACGAGGGTCGAAGCACGCACATCTCAAAGCTCGAGTATGGCGTGTTGAGAAGCAGACAGAGGGAGAGGTGGGAAGGATGATGGAGAGGGAGAGGGAGAGGGAGAGGGAGAGGGAGAGGGAGAGGGAGAGGGGGCCCTGTCTGTACCCCTGCTGAATTAATACAACGGACCATTTGAGAGGGGGCCCTCAGGTGAGAGGGGAGGGGCCCTCAGGTGAGTAGGTGCCCTCAGGTGAGTAGGGGCCCTCAGGTGAGTAGGTGCCCTCAGGTGAGTAGGTGCCCTCAGGTGAGTAGGTGCCCTCAGGTGAGTAGGTGCCCTCAGGTGAGTAGGTGCCCTCAGGTGAGAGGGGAGGGGCCCTCAGGTGAGTAGGTGCCGCTGACTTTCCATCGTCTCGCTCGACTCAAAAGTACTCTCTGCCTGCCGCTGACTTTCCATCGTCTTTTGAGGCGCCTCAAAAGGTGCCGCTGTCTTTCCTCAGGTGACTTTCCATCGTCTCGCTCGACTCAAAAGTACTCTCTGCCTGCCGCTGACTTCCACCACCCGCTCTTCTCCCCTCTGCAACACCGGTTTCAATGCCAGTGGCGTTCGAGTCAATCCGGCCCTCCACGCCCCCCTTCTAGCCCACCCCATCCCCCCTCCCTCTTCCTCCTCCTCTTCCTCCTCCTCCCACACCCGCTTCTCCCTCCCCCACCGCATTACAGCCAGTCCCTTGTCTTCCGAGCGTGCATCAACCATTGGAGGGGCAGCAAGCGCGTCCTTTGCCTTGTCTAAGCTCAAAACTCTTTTTGTGCTCCTGCCCCGTTTCCTTCCGTCCACCCTCTCTTCTCCTGCTTGCAGCACCGGTTTCAACGCCAGTGGCGTTCGAGTCAATCCTGCCCTCCACGCCCCCCTTCTAGCCCACCCCATCTCCTTTCCTTACTTCCCCTTTCTTCATTCCCACCTCCTTCCCTCCCCTCTGCAGCACTGGTTTCAACGCAAGTGGCGTTCGAGTCAATAAGGCCCTCCACGCGCCTCTTCTAGCCCACCCCGTCCCCTCTCCCTCCTCCTCCTCCTCCCACACCCGCTTCTCCCTCCCCCACCGCATCACCGCCGGTCCCTTGTTTTCCGAGCATGCATCAACCATTGGAGCAGCAGCAGGCAGGTGCGTCCCTTGCAATAATGAATGTACTTTCTTATACGCCTTCTCTTCCCCTTTCCACCCCATTTCCTCCCCCCTACCAGCACCGGTTTCAATGCAAGTGGCATTCGAGTCAATCCGGCCATCCACGCGCCTCTTCTAGCCCACTCCTCCCACTCCCGCTTTGCCCTCCCCCACCGCATCACCTCCGGTCCCTTGTCTTCCGAGCGTGCATCAACCATCGGAGCAGCAGCAGGCGCATCTTTTGCTGTCATGGCATCCTCGCAGCAGCTTCTGTCGTGGGGCTATGGTGGGGGGAAACGAGGACTAGCAGCAGCAGCAGCAGCAGCAGGAGGAGGAGCGGCAGCAGCAGCAGGATCTGTGTTACTGGGGCGAACAGGGGGAGCAGCGGAAGAGCCGAGTGAGGTGATGGGAGAGGAGGAGGAGGGGGACGGGGGATTGCGGTTGGGTGGGGTGGTGCAGGTGGTGGGGGGTGCGTCGTTTGTGCTCGCCCGGACCAGCACTGGACAGGTCTTTTCGTGGGGTCACAACAACTACCATCAGCTTGGCCGCCCAACGTCAAACTCCGCCGACCCGCTTCCCGGCCTCGTGGGCGGCCTGGCTTGTCTGCACGTGGACACTGTAGCAGCAGGGTCGCACCACGGGCTTGTTTTCGGGCGGGCGGAGCGCGGCAAGGAGTTGGAAGTGGTTGAGATGGAACAAGTGGTTAAGGAAGAGTGGGAGCGGGTACATAGTGGGGAAGACAAGACAGGAGGAGGAGGCGGAGCAGGAAGAGCAGGGGGAGAAGGTGCAGCAGGGGCAGGTTGGGGGGAGAGAGGAGGAGGAGGAGGAGGAGCAGGAGAAGGAGGAAAAGGGGCGGTGTTTCCAGTGATATACAACGAGCACCACAGGGGCGAGATCATGCAGGTGGCAGGGGAGTGGTTCGCCCAGCTGCCGCAGTCAGGGTTCGACCCGGCCTTTCGCAACCCCTGCTGGAAGGACGGGTCCGGGTTTCACTGCCTGCCCTATTTCCTCGTTATCGGGGCTATGAGGTAGGAACACCCACCACGTCACCATGCCTTACAGCACACCCTATGTGAGAGTGCTTCGCCCAGCTGCCTCCTTCGGAATTCGATCCCTCATTCCGCAACCCCTGCTGGAAGGACGGGTCCGGGTTTCACTGCCTGCCTCCCTTCATACCTCTCGACCCTCTGCCCCCCATTCATGCCAATCCTGCCCCTTCACCCCACCTAATTTTGTGCTTCTTATGCTACCAGGAGTGGCGCTCGGGACTTTTTCCATCGCTTGACCATGGTGCACCCGACTGCTGTGCTGCTTGCAAGCCCCTCCCTTACACACCTCTCGCCCCTCTTCCCCCATCCCCTCTTTCCATGCAACCAGGAGTGGCGCTCGGGACTTCTTTCATCGCTTGACCATGGTGCATCCGACTGCTGTGCTGCCTGCTTCTATGACCAATCTTGAATGGTCAGTCTTCCCTTTATACCGTGCTCCCTTTATCCCGCTACGCCTTGCTTCCTCAATTCCTTTCTGCCATGCTCCATCCATTCACCTACTTCCATTGGTTGACCATGTCCCATCACCCTGCCATGCTGCCTTACTCTGTGGTCTAGTACAACACGAGATTGATGGAAGTAAGGCCTTTGCAGCCCACCTGTCCTCTCTTGACAGCCCCCATTCACCTACTTCCATTGGTTGACCATGTCCCATCACCCTGCCATGCTACCTTACTCTGTGGCGAACCTTGAACGGTCACTCTTCCATTTCTATTTCTCTGCTCGCGAGGTGACTTTTGAGTCGAGTTAAAAAGGTGACTTTGAGTCGACTCAAAAGCAACCTTGAACGGTCAGTCTTCCATTTCTGCCTCTCTGCTTGCGCAGCACATTTCTGCTATGAGCTACCCTCCTACTTCCATCGGCTGACCATGGCCCACTCAGGCATCTTGTTCACTCTTCAATTCTCCATACATGTGTGTGTGTCCTCACCAGGTGGGATATGAGGGAGTATGACCCCTTAGACTGGTACACAAGAGAGGTGACTCCCGCACCGTTGATTCTCTTTTCACTTCCCATGTGTGCGTGTGCCTATGCCTTCACCAGGTGGGACATGAGGGAGTACGACCCCCTAGACTGGTACACGGGCAAATTCCAACCAGCAGGGGAGGTCACATAGCCACGCACCCAGCCGCAATCGCAGGGGAGGTCACCCCCTCGCTGCCCACCCACTCGGGCATCTTGGCCCTCTTTTCACTACCACGTGCCTCCTTTTGCTCCTCCCTTCTCTCTTCCCTGCCCCATGTGTGTGTGTGTGTGTGTGTGTGTGTGTGTGTGTGTCTGATCCAACCAGGTGGGACATGAGGGAGTATGATCCCTTCGATTGGTACACTGAGAAATTCAGCCAAGCAGCAGCGCACATAGCCACGCATCCAGCCGCCATCGCAGGGGAGGTGACCCCCTCGCTGCTCACCCACTCGGGCATCTTGGCTCGAGGGCCACATGCGCGCAGCTTCCTGCTGCCAGAGCTGGTCTTCTCACTGCTCCCCCATGCGCGCTTCATCGTGCTCCTCCGCAACCCCATCCACCGGTGAGTCCACATTTCACTTGGTACCAGGTCAGGCAGTGAAGGGGGAAGGAAGGGGAATGTTGTGCCATCCCTCCCCTCCTCCTCGCTGCTCACCCACTCGGGCATCGTGGCTCGAGGGCCACATGCGCGCAGCTTCCTGCTGCCAGAGCTGGTCTTCTCACTGTCTTCTCACTGCTCCCCCATGCCCGCTTCATCGTGCTCCTCCGCAACCCCATCCACCGGTCAGTCCACGTTTCTTATGGTACTGACCGGTGGATGGGGTTGCGGAGGTAGTCGAAGGGGGGAGGTAGAGAGGGGAATGCCACGCCTTCCCTCCTCGCTGCTTACCCACTCGGGCATTCTGGCTCGAGGGCCTCACGCACGCAGCCTCCTGCTCCCAGAGCTAATATTCTCGCTGCTGCCTCGTGCACGTTTCGCCGTGCTCCTCCGCAACCCCATCCACCGGTCAGTCCATTCCCTCGAAATAAATTATATAGGAAAATAAATGGAAACAACACACTCACACACACACACACCCTCACACACACACACACTCATGCACGCACGCACACACACACACACACACACATGCACGCATGCCACACGCACACACACACACACACGGGCACGAATGCCGCACGCACACACACACACACATGGGCACACACACACACACACACACACACACACACACACACACACACACACACACACACGCATACACTAACGAGCATGCATAGTTCCGCTAGCAATGACATGACCCCGTGCACCTCTCTCCTCCTGGAACGCACGTTTCCTGGGTAATCGAAACAAGCACCCTGGCAGTGTAAGATGGTAGAACATAAAAAAACAGAAACTTCAAATACTTTTTATTATTGCTTTCCCTCTTTCTCTCTCCTTTTCCTTGCGCAATTCCTACCAGCTGGTTCTCGTCTTTCCTGTCGCTAAGCAGCAGGACGACTCTCACATCACATTCGACAGCAGCGACTGCAGCAGCAGTTTTTTTTTTTTTTTTTTTTTTTTTTTTTTTTTTTGGCCTGTACGACTCCGTCGTAACCCCGGACCAGGACAAGCCTGGCCAAGGTAGCCCCGAAGAGAACCGCGCCCTAGGGATTGGGAAATCACTCCTAGCCCCAGGAGGAGCAGCAGCAGCAGTGCAGCGGATGATTTTTAGCTTACTAAAAACTTTCTCCCTTTCTCTCCCTCCCCCGCCCCCTTTTTGTGCAATCCCTACCAGGTGGTTCTCTTCCTTCCTGTCTGCGAAGCAACATGACGACTCTCACATCGCTTTCAACAGCAATGACAGCAGCAGCAGCAGCAGCAGCAGCAGTGCAGCAGAAGCCTCCGAATCTACTTCAAAATCTTCTCCACCCCCCTCTTTGTGTGCAATCCCTTACAGCTGGTTCTCTTCCTTCCTGTCTGCTAAGCAGCAAGACGATTCTCACATCACCTTTTACAGCAACGACAGCAGCAGCAAAATATAACCTTTCTTTTTAATTCCCCCTCCCCCTCCCCCCCCCCCCCCTTTGTCTTTGTCAATCCCTTACAGGTGGTTCTCTTCCTTCCTGTCGGCGAAGCAACATGATGACTCTCACATCGCTTTCAACAGCAACGACAACAGCAGCAGTGCAGCTGACGCTTTTGCGAGACACGTAGATGTGGTGTTACCCGCAATTAAAGGGTGTATGGTGGACCATTCCCCTGTCTACTGCTCCCGCCTGCTCTTCCACTCCTTTCCGCATGTGTGCCGCAGCATGTATGCCTATTTCCTATCGGTAAGTTGACGCACCTCTTTATTCCCACCGCTCTCTGCCTGCCTCATTACCTTCCGCATATGTGCTGCAGCAAATATGCTTGCTTTATTTCCTCTGTCATCACTCCATCGTCTCCCTTATTTCTACGGCAGCACACACACCTACTTATGATCCTGAAATTACACCTGCATTCGTCCTTAAGCCTCCCTACTGCAAAATCAACTGCCATGTGCCTTGAGAGCCACTTTCTCTGTTTGATGCACTTGCTCACTCTTTGGTGTCCCTTTGGCCTTTGGCAGGACTGGCTGGAAGTCTACCCCCGAAAGAACTTCCTCTTTATAAATTTTGAGGACTATATATCAAACCCGAAGCTACACCTCATTCAAGCCATGAGGTTTCTCCAAGTTCCGTCAGAAGAAATCGATAAAATCCCAGATGACGCATGGAGAGATGTTACGAGCCAGGAAGTTGTGGGTGCTCGGGCGCAAGAGCAAGGGCAGGGGCAGGAGATGCACCCTAAGACTAGAGAAGCGTTACAGGATTTCTTTCTTCCTATCAACACAGACCTGGCTAGGTTGTTGCGGGATGGCAGTTTCTTGTGGAAATGAAAGTAATGCTGCAATATTGCTTCGCACAAGGGCAGCATCTGCTGTGGATGCAAGTACCAGTAGTAAGTAAACATTTTATTACACAACTAATTTACCACAAGAAGCAGGAGAGTGAGTAGTGACTGCTCGTCCAGTCATATACCACCAGGCATCTTAGAGCATACCGGTACAGAGCTCGACCTTGAAAGACCCAGCTGCACTAACTAGAGCACAAGCAGGCACGAATTCGCACGAATCACGGCTCTGTTTTCTTAAAATCATGCTGCTGCTGCTGCTTCTGCTGCTGCCGCTGCCTCGGCTTTAGCCATTCACCCAACAGTTGCGTCACTTCTTGATAAGCATGAGAGCATCTGATTGGTTTGGATCGTCTAATCTGAGCGCGAGAAGATATTAGCGGGAATTAAACGACTGATCTGAGTCAGGAGTCGTCGGAGCGACGGGGGTGTGCAGCTGTGGCAGTGAGATCCCCGTTGTAGACGGATTCGTTAACAGATCCACCTGCTTCTCCCCCCGTCTGAGAAGGTACTCAATACGTCCGATCTCCGCCCGTCCGACCGAATTCGCAGTTTTTCTGAATTCTGACGTCAGGTACTCCCGCAAAGCCGCGGATTCCGCGGGTGGTTTCGATCTGGCTACGCGTAACAGGCGGCGGTAGAGAGAGAAGATCTCGCGCTGAATTCCGGAAACCCGCATCGGAACGTGAATTGGTCTAATATTAAACGGTCTACTCCTGTCACCTGCTGAACATCCGCGCGTCAGACGGCGAGAATACAAATCGGGTAAATGTGATTAAGGCCCAGCATAAACGAATTCTAGCGCTGACTCTTCTTGCCTAGCTGGTCCTGCCCAACCCCGCCAGACCAGAGAGTCGATGCTTGGCAAGGCAAGGCAAGAGCGTGTACTCGTTACAAGGCAAAAACAAACAGGTGAAATGAGCACCCAGCATCTGTAACCAGCTGTACACCCACCGAAAAAGATGTGAAAGCTGCATAAAAAAAGGGTGTGCTGTTGCAATGACTGGCTGATCTGAAAATGTTACCGTATTGTACCGTACTCAAACTCATTGCAACACGGATTACCATGTCAACCAATCGTCAACACCATCCACCTCCAATCCCTCCCTCAAACAATCAGTTCACCCAAATCCGACGAGCGAGCCCGACAAATCCGTTTCAAATCTAGTAGGTAGTAGAATCAGAACGATTGAAAACGCTAAACCACGTTGAAGTAGGATATGGTGGGTTACAAAGTGGTTCTGGTTCTGAGAGAGCCCAACACCACATCGTCCCACGCCATCTCACACCCTTTTTCCGCTTTTCACGCTTCTAGTCTGCATACGGGCATCAATAACCATCACAGGGCGGCAGTTGATGGCTGGATCGGCATTACGCACAGAGCAACCGCCGCATTCTCTGGCTTACAGATCCCGTTAGAATCAACTTTATTGCTCAGGATACTTCTGTATGTAGCTAGATTCTTTCATTCCCTTTTTTTTCTCGTTCCCAATAGTGAAACCCTGATATCGCAGCGACCGCCATGTTCTGGTCAACGCGCCACGACTATCAGCCAGTCGCGACCAACACCGAGGATGGCACCGCTTCGTCCGCATCCTACGGCGGAGAATCCGGAAGCCCGTCGCGAGCCTCACCGGGGACTGTGTCGCCATCAGCGTCATCGCCGCCGCCCAAGGCGCAGCAGTGGGTGGTGGTGCTCATCGCCGTGATTGGCGGGCTTGCACTGGCGATGACATTAGCGGCTGACGTCATGCGGGTGAAGGTGAGACGCGTAGCGAGCCAAGAGTATCGCAGCCGTTCGTTACCGTTCTTTACCGATCGCGGCCGCTCGCAGCCGTTCATTACCGTTCGATTCCGTTCCTACTCGTTCGCATGCAACCCCATGGCTCCCTAGGCCCTCGATCGCCAGGGCAGGCACGGTCTTTCTCCGCTCCCCTCGACTCGGCACTCACGGCGAGTTGCAATGCTGCGCCGGTCGCCAATGCAAATTCTCAAAAGCATCTCCGATATGCACGGGTGCAAGTTGCAGTGCTGCGGTCGCCTTTGAGGGGCGAGTTGCATTGCAAGTTGCAAAAGTGCTCCCCTCTCCCTCCGGCATGCAAACTCATTTCCCCTCGGCTTGGCACCGGGGCGAGTTGCAAATACACAGCGCTTCCCTCCCCCATCCTGTCCCCTCTTCCCCTTCCCCCACCCCTTCCCCCACCCCTTCCCCTTCACCCCCGCCAGCAGTCCGCCACTCACATGCTCCACGCACAGAACGCCCTTCACTGCGTTTATCCCAGCAACCCTCTTGTATCCCCTCTATCTCCCCCGCTCCGCCCCTCCTTCCCCCCATCCACCCCCCCCCCCCCAACGCGCACTCTCTTTCACCTGCCAGCAGTCATCCACTCACATGCTAGACCCACAGAACGCGCTGCATTGCATCGGTCCCAGCAGCCCTCATGTACCCCCCCCGCTCCGCCCCGCTTCCCCCATCTTCCGCCTCCCCCCCTTCTCTCTCCCCTCCGACAGCAGTCCGCCACTCACATCCTCGACGCACAGAACGCGCTGCATTGCATCTACCCCAGCAGCACCCCCATATTGGTATGACTTTTGAGAATTCTCAAAAGTCATACCAATATAGCAGCACCCCCATATACCCCCTTTGTATACAATGCAATGCATCTGCTCCGTTGCCTCTGCTGGGGTAGATGCAATGCAGCGCGTTCTAGATTCCCATATACCCCCTTTGTATCTCCCCCTTCGTTGCCCCCCCCGCCCCTTCCCCCCACCAGCAGTCATCCACTCACATGCTCGACGCGCAGAACGCCCTGCACTGCATCTACCCCAGCAGCCCCTCGGGGGGCTACGCTGCAGCAGCGGCGCTGCTGCTGGTGGTGGCTCAGGGCTTCGCACTCCGGCACGGGGGCACCCACTGGTGCCAGGCCTCCCGCCTCGACACACGGCGCAATCGCAACCTCTTGCTCGTGGTTCTCCTCACCAACCTGTGAGTTTACCAATCGGGGGCCTCGCTGCTGCTGGTGGTGGCTCAGGGTTTCACTCTGCTGCACGGAGGCACCCACTGCTGCCAGGCGTGCCTTTTGAGGACCCGGGTGGGGGCTACGCTGCTGCAGCGGCGCTACTGCTGGTGGTGGCTCAGGGTTTCGCTCTCCTGCACGTGAGCACACACTGGTGCCATACCTCCCGCTTCGACACTTTTGAGTCGACTCAAAAGGGTTTCGCTGTCCTGCACGTGAGCACACACTGGTGCCATACCTCCCGCTTCGACACGCGGAGGAATTGCAACCCTCTGCTGGTGGTTCTCCTCGCCAATCTGTAATTGTACCAATCGGGGGCCTACGCTGCTGCGGCAGCAGCAGCGCTGTTGCTGGTGGTGGCTCAGGGTTTTGCTCTCCTGTGTAGGGTAACCCACTGGTGTCATGCCTCCCACCTCGACACGCGGCAGAACAGAAACTTTTCACTTATTGTTCTCCTCACCAATCTGTATTGTGTTTTAAGACGACTCGAAAGGGTCTTCCTCTATGGCACCATACTCGTGCTCTCTTCATCATCCTTCACCTTCCACGCCTCCTCCCAACCTTTGGTTCCTTCAATTAACCCTGACTCTCTGCTTTTCAACCTTCGCCTCCCTTAACAGGATCTTCCTCTGTGTAACTATCCTCGTCCTCTCCATCTCTTCTCTCTCCTTAGATTCCTTCAACTGACTTTGTTTTTATATCCAATACCCTTCATACACCTCCCCAAACAGGATCTTCCTTTGTGTTACCATCCTCGCTCTCTCCGTCTCCTCCCTAGACAACGCCCATCCCGGCACCTACGCCCTCCGCTCCACCTCCCCCTCCTCCGCCTCCCTCTCCCCCAACCAAACCCCCGACCCCTGCCCAGTCGCCGACTCGGCTCTCTTCCTCTCCACCTCTCTCCTCTGCCTCTTCACCGTTCTTCTCATGGAGGCGTATTACCTCGCTGCCATGCGCACGCGGCAATACGCGTGGATGATCTCCCGCTATTGCACTGTACGCTCGGTGCATCTCGAGGCGTTTCAGCGCGAGGCCATGCGGGCGAGCGTTGTGCCGGTCGGATCGCCGAGATCGGATCTCGAAGCAGGAGAGGAGATAAAGGAGGCCTAACACTTTCTACTACCAGTTATTTATTGTTGAAACATGCAAAATACACATATTGTAGCACATTGCTAGCTCGTTAAAGTGTACCAACAATATTGCCAGTTGTATTGTGCGGATGATTTCCCGCTGCCACTATTGCACCGTGCGCTTGGTGCGTCTGGATTCTGGAGGCTTTTCAGCGCGAGGCAATGTGCGGGCGAGCGTCGTGCCGGTCGGATCGCCGAGGTCGGATATAGGAGCAGGAGAGGAGATCAAGGAAGCCTAGCATTTTCTGGTGATTATTTATCTTGAAATATACAATAAAATAGTTACTGTAGCACGTTCCTAGCTCATGAAAATGTACCAACGTTACTACCTGTGTATTGCGTGAATGATATCCCGCTATTGCACCCTGTCGTGCCAATTGGATCGCTAAGATCGGATCTAGAAGCTGGAGGAGGGCAAGATCTAGAAACTGGATCAAGCTGGATCTAGAAGCAAGGTCTAGTACGGTACTGATGGTACAAGATCCAAGCATCCCATTGTGCTGTTCAAGCTAAACTGGTACAGTACTGGTATGCAGCTCTGCTTTCATGAAAACAGGTGGTTTTAAACATCACATTACACTGCATGTAGTGGATCATTTTCCAAGTGGAATATAGATACTACGGTACATGGGCTAGCCTAGCAGTCACACAATCCAGGCAATCAATAAGAATAATAAAAAGCTAGGAGTCGCCTCTTCTGCTGCTAAGGCAAGACACGAAAGGGATTCACGAAGGCAATTTAGAAAAGCAAGTCAAGTCGGTGCCAGTGTCAGTTTCAGACGGTAGGCTAGGAGGAGCCTGGTGGTTACTGAAGGTAGGGGAGGGAGGTTGAGGGAAGATACAGGCAGCGGAAACGCGAGAAAGTCGGGGGGTAGGTGAAGCTGCAAGGGATGAGAGGCAGGGAAAACTTACATCTGTAAGGCAGGGGAACAGTAAGAGGAAAGTGTGGGGGAGACGAGAGGTGAGTTGGTGGAAGGGGGGGAGAGGGCGAGGAGGATGAGGGATGGGTGGGGTGAAATATGACGGGTGAGCGCGGGTGGAGATGATGGGGGATGGGGGGTGGGTGGGAGAAAATGGGGGGTGAATGGGAAGGGAAACGAGGGGTGAGCGGGAAGGGAAAGGAGGGGTGAGCGGGAAGGGAAAGGAGGGTTGAGCGGGAAGGGAAAGTAGGGGTGAGTGGGGGAGGGAAAGGAGGGGGAGAGAGCAGATGAGGGGTGAATGGAGGATGGGGTGCGATGAGGGGTGCGGCGGGGAGATGAGAGGAGAGCGGGGCAGGGAATTGGGGGGGGGGGGGGGGGGGGGGGGGGGAGGAGGGGAGGGGTGGTGACGGGAGATGGGGGAGACGAGAAGAGGGGAGAACGGGGAGATGATGGGAGAACTGGAAGGGGAGATGAGGAGAGCAGGGTAAGTTAAGGGGAATGCGGAGGGGAAATGAGGAGTGACGGGAAACAAATGAGGAAGGATCGGGGAAGGAGCAGGGGGAGATGATGGAAAGCGGGGGGGAGGAGAGAGGAGAGGGGGGGAACATGCAGGGAGAGCGGGAGGAGATGAGGAGATGGGGAATGTCCCCCCCCACCCAACTGCACCCCATCCCCCCTCCCCATCTCTACCCACCTCCCCTTCCTCACCCCCCACCACCCCACCCCCCCTCCTCCTCCACTCCCCTCCCCCCCCTTCCCCCGCTCACACGCCCCACCCCACCCCCCTTACATTTCCCCTTTTCACCTTTCTGCCGACTTGCCTGCTAGCGGACCTGCAATCACCGCGTTTGACGCTTGACTTGCCTAACGCGATCGAATCGTCGGCAGCTCGGAATCTAACAGGTGCGAACCGAAGCTACTAATGCGTCCGTATCGAAAGTTTCCGTAAATCGACGGTGGCCGCCAGGTCGATGTTAATTAATCCGTCCGAAATGTGTCCACAAATCGACACGGTTAATGTGTCCGCAAGTCGATGTTACTAATCCGTCCCGAAATTTAACGTCGAATTCCAGCCGCACTGAGTAAGTTCGAAAAAATGGAGCGACTACTGGCTGCCTTATGTAATCTGAAGCGCGCAACTGTCGGTACATATTCACTAAGATCTGATTATGGTAAGAGTTACTGGCGGTGCTCACATCATCACGTGAAGCGACTACTTTAGAACTACGCATAATTTCAGCGACTGACACTATCTACGGTGCTACGCCTTGGGTCGCGTTCAGATCTATCGGAATGACAACAAGAAGCGACGGTGGCGCGCCTAGATCTACTAACAAGGAACAAATACAAGTAATGGAAGTGCATCACTGAACTAGTAGAAGGTGCGAGGTGTTGGTTGAAATGCCAAGGTGGTAGTACGATGGGTGACCGAAACACCCTCGACTCCGATTGGCTCGCATGACTGTTTATATCAACCACTCCAAGCTATTTCTGCTGCCCGAACCTGGTTCACACGCAGCGAAGGTACTTTCGAGAGCAGCTAAACTTCCTGAGGATTCAGCCAAACATTTTTCTTACCACATTCTACACCACACAATCCCGCGCCTCACGCGGGCCTCACTAAGTAAAACTCGTGGTCCTTTTCTAGCAGAGTGTGCCACGTCAGTTTCCTCCTAAAAGGTTCGAGCCTGCCCCAACTCCAAACCTGGGGTGCGCACCAAACCCATCCACCTGCGATACGCGCCCCAAGAAAACTCGTTTGCAGCAAACCAATGCAAACCAAACTGAACAGAATTCTCAACTGAACATTGAAGTGTTCAGATCGTATTGCAATGGAGTTTGAATGTTGTGTACTGTACACACTTCAGCCGCCTCCAAATTATTCCGGCATTCCCCGCAGACATTATCCACGCGGGGCCCTCGAGAAAATCTCCACCGTAAAATAGCGGCTCCATTGACAGCTCTAATCCATCTTTACCGTTGACGGAGACTATGGTAATCCAGCGCATCAATTCAGCAAAAACCAACCAATGCCAGCCCTTCCCGCACTTCAGGCAGAAAGAGCTGCCGTGTCGCACCCCACTGCACCCAGCAGCACATCACTTTTTGAATTTAGGGCGCGCTCTGCCGCGCGGGGCGGCCTGCGCCCAACACCATGCTCGAATGGAGTTCATCGCTGCTTCATCTCCTGCCTGACTTGATCCTCTTCTGGAGCACCTGAAACAGCCTTCTCTGTCTTCTCCTGCAGCCTCTTCGCTCACAGCGAGCATCCCATACCTCCCAACCAAAAAACAGTCAAGTAGAATCAATAGACCAATTTCAGATTTATCCTTCGCGATTACATTTGAAGGATCTTAATCTGAACACAGTTTCGGGATCTACAGACCAGGAGCTGACTATCGACACCGACATTATGTCCACACAGCGGACATTGGTTGATCGAAGCTGCTTCTTAAAGTTCCCGTGTTTTCAGGTTAAATACTTTCAAGCTTCAGACATTGCTAAAGATGCTCCGACGAAGAACATAATGGCTGGACACGTTTTAAGTATTCACCAAAGAAGACAGCACGGGAAATCTAAGTTCAAACAAGTTCGTCAACGGAACATCTTCCGTTTATCGTCATTTGCTGCCATTCATCGACAACCACGTTTATCTCATGAAAAGTCCAAGATCTTTACTTCGATGGCTTCTAAAGTGCTTGATGATGAAGTCATCTTCCTTTCTGAAACGCTTAAGCATGAAGATCTAGACAAGAAACTCCAAGTTTTTTATGTTCAACGAGAAGACAACGCCGACAATGACAATGACCCTGAAACTCATACAAACATGGATGACTTTGGTGACACTAATAAACTACAAGATGCGCATCTGCAGCTAGAAGATGATGATTCATGGCGGCAATGTTCTAAGGAGTTCTCGTCCGTGGGAGCTGTATGTTTTCGTGAAGGAATCTTGTTTCATGGAGTGAACATCAGATCTGAGTTAGCAGCTTCAGCTGCTGCTGCGACATCTCGTCGTCAGTCCCCGCATCGAAGATTGGGAGCCGTTCAAGCCAGTTTGCGTCACCCAAAACGTCCGACCACATATGCCATTGGAACCGGTTTTCACCGCATTCGTGCTAAATTGGCTTTCACAGCAACCACTCCTTTCGTCTTTCGCCTCAAGAAGGTGAAGAGTGCAACCACCCCAACCTACCAGTTTCGGCAAGGCAAGTTCGGCACCTGTATGAAGCAACAAGTACAGCATGTGGGATGCTCCAAGGTGTTTCTGCCAGGAGTGAGAAATGTCAAAGGCGTGAAGAGAATTCTGAACGGGCAGATTGCAATATTTAGGCACCTGACTTTTAAACCACCTTAGATGTTTCCGCGAGGGTACGGTACAATTGTACCCAGGCCCTCTAGCCCGGTTACGACCGTGGATGGTGTTTTTTGCATTGTATAATGTGATTTCACCTCCTTCAAAAAAAAAAAAAAAAAAAAAAAAATTGAAGGATCTTCACAAGAACTTCTCCTACCTTATACGGACTTTAGGCTACAAGCTCCACGGAGCAGTTTGTGATTAATGAAGCCAACCGGCTCGTACAAGAGGAAGCACTTGGCATGCTGCAGCTGGGTGGGATGGGTTGGGTAGCTTAGAGAGTCGTAAAAGCTGCGCTGCCTCGAGCTGATCCTGGTACGACGCCGAGGTTCTCGCGGCATGGTCTCCGCGAGAACTCCCGTTAAAATCCCGTGTGGGCTCCAATCCTGTGTGGGTTCCAATCCCGTGTGGTCTTCAATCCCGTGTGGGCTCCAATCCCGTGTGGGCTCCTATCCCGTGTGGTCTTCAATCCCGTGTGGGCTCCAATCCCGTGTGGGCTCCAATCCCGTGTGGGCTCCAATCCCGTGTGGGCTCCAATCCCGTGTGGGCTCCAATCCCGTGTGGGCTCCAATCCCGTGTGGGCTCCAACCCAGTGTGGGCTTCAATCTCCTCCCGTGTGGGCTTCAATCTCCTCCCGTGTGAGCTTCAATCTCCTCCCGTGTGGGCTTCAATCTCCTCCCGTGTGGGCTTCAATCTCCTCCCGTGTGGGCTTCAATCTCCTCCCGTGTGGGCTTCAATCTCCTCCCGTGTGGGCTTCAATCTCCTCCCGTGTGGGCTTCAATCTCCTCCCGTGTGGGCTTCAATCTCCTCCCGTGTGGGCTTCAATCTCCTCCCGTGTGGGCTTCAGTCTCCTCCCGTGTGGACTCTCGCGGAGGTGAGTTCAGTTTATCTCTTCTCTTCTCGCCTTAACGTCGTCACCTCGCTTCTCGCCGCTCATCTCGGTAAGTTCAATGTTCCTTTCTTCTCGCTCACGCATTGCGACCTTGGCGCTTCACGCGGTGGCGCCGATGTCAACTTGATGGTTTGACCATCGGTAATGGAGCTTCAGTTTCAACTTGGTAAGGCACCCGCTTTATTGTTCTTCGTCGCTTTAATGATCCTCGCTTTACATCCAAGTTTCTAACCTTGTTTGTTGTTATATGCAGTAAAAGAAAGCGGCCCGTTGGTGGACCTTCACACCGCGATTGGCGTCGCTTCCGTGGTGCGGTCGCATGGCGCTTGGCGACGCTTCTACCGTCGCTCGGCGCTTGGCGCACTTCTACCGTCGCTCGGCGCTTGGCGACGCTTCTCCCGTCGCTCGGCGCTTGGCGACGCTTCTCCCGTCACTCGGCGGTTGGCGACGCTTCCCCCGTTGCGCGGCGCTTCGCGCGGCTCTCGGCGACGCGTCCCGTCGCATGGCGGCACTTCTCTTTTTCGTCGTCGTCATTTTCTCGTTTTTGCTGTTTTCTGTTTAGCTTTTTTATCATTCAATTCTGACCGTGGTCGTTGTTACCTGCAGTTAGTAAAGCGGCCTGTTCTGGAGCTTCACACGGCTCTTCGCGACGTTTCTTCCTCCGTGGAGCTGCGATTGGAGCGGCTCTTGGCGACGGCTCTCCCACCGCACGGCGATTGGCACGGCGTTCCGCTTGACGGTTGGCGACGCATCCCGTCGCTTGGCGGTTGGCGACGCTTCTCTCGTCGCTCGGTGGTTGGCGACGCTTCTTCCGTCGCGCGGCGCTTCGTGCGGCTCTCGGCGACGCGCCTCGTCGCATGGCGGCACTTTTCTTTTTCGTCGTCGTTTCTTTCTCGTTTGTTGTTGTTTTCTGTTTCGCTTTTTTATCATTCGGTTCTGACCGTGGTCGTTGTTACCTGCAGTTAGTAAAGTGGCCTGTTTTGGAGCTTCAAACGGCGATTCGCGACGTTTCTTCCTCTGTGTAGCGGCGATTGGAGCGGCTCTTGGCGACGGCTCTCCCACCGCACGGCGATTGGCACGGCGCTTCGCTCCGCGGTTGGCGACGCTTCTCCCGCCGCTCGGCGGTTGGCGACGCTTCTCCCGTCGCTCGGTGGTTGGCGACGCTTCTCCCGCCGCGACGCTTCGTGCGGCTCTCGGCGACGCGTCTCGTCGCATGGCGGCACTTCTCGTTTTCGTCGTCGTTTGTTTCTCGTTTCCTTCGTCATCGTTTCTGTCTCGCCTTTTTATCATTCGGTTCTGACCATGGTCATTGTTACCTGCAGTTAGTAAAGCGGCCTGTTTTGAAGCTTCACACGGCGATTCGCGACATTTCTTCCTCCGTGGAGCGGCGATTGGTGCGGCTCTCGGCGACGTCACAGCGATTGGCACGGCGCTTCGCTTGGCGGTTGGTGACGCTTCTCCCGTCGCGCGGCGCTTCATGCGGCTCTCGGCGACGCGTCTCCTCGCATGGCGGCACTTCTCTTTTTCGTCGTCGTTTTTTTCTCGTTTATTGATGTTTTCTGTTTCGCTTTGTTATCTTCAAGTTCTGACCATGCTCCTTGTTACCCGCAGGTAGTGTAGCGGCATGTTTGGCACGGCGCATCGCTCGGACGCTTCTCTCGTCGCTCGGCGGTTGGCGACCCTTCTCTCGTCGTGCGGCCCTTCGCACGGCGGTTGGCGGCTCTTCTTCAACCACCCTCCCTGGTAAGGTGTTGTTTCAATTGTACTTAATTGTTTTCTTCAAAATCACTAACAGTTTCTGTTTATCCTTGTAGCAGGAGCAGTAGCGGGAACGGGAGCGGGAACGGCAGCAACTTTTATCATAGTAAGTTGTCGTTTCAGTTAAGAATGTTATTTCATTGCTTACTACTAACATTCTCTGCTTGCCCTTGTAGCAGGAACAAGAGCAGCAACGGGAGCGGGAACGGCAACAACAACTTCCAGGGTGAGGTGTCGTTTCAGTTTTAGTAGTTTTTTACTTTACCTTTACTAATTCATTCTGCTTGCCCTTGTAGCAGGATCCGCGAGGAGCAGAGGAACAACGGATCGTCGGCGGAACGACGGTGGCGCGGATCGACGGCGGAACGACGGTGGCGCGGAACGACGGTGGCGCGGATCGACGGCGGGGCGTCGGAGCAGCGGAGTGGCGGCGTGGCGATGAAGCAGAGCGGCGGATCGGCGGACCGGCGGACCTCCGGCGGAGCCGCGCTGGAGTTTGACTCCTTCCCCCTTCCCCCTCCCCCGTTCCCCCTCCCTTTGCAGGCAGGAACTAGCGTTGTCAGCTAGGACGATTAGGAACGATAGATTAAGGGAGCTAGTGGTGGGGGGTTGGGTTAGGTCCGGTTTACCTCCTCCTCCTCTTCCCTCTCCTCAACGGCCGTCTTCACTGCTCTGCTCAACCTGACAACGGAAGAGAGATCTTCCTGAGGCGTCGCTCTCATCTCAAATTAAAACCCGAAGCCTGAATTACAAATCTGAGTCAACGCTAGGTTCGGGTTGGGTTCGGTTTGGGTTGAGTGAGGTTTGTAAGAATCGCGAAAGTAGCGAGCTAGCGAAAACAAAATGCGACAACACGAGTGCTGGAGTAGAGTGAGAAAATGTGCGACAGCACGGCTAACAACTCATTCACTCACTTTTAGATTCTGATGATCGCACACCACTAGGGTTTTTTAGTGAGCACATTTCAGACAACCTGAATTAGTAGGTGCAGCGCGTATATGCAATCGAAGGGAAACGCAGGCGCAAGATGCGAGTGTCAAGCACGGAAAAAATGGGCACGAGGAGATGAGAAATTAGCACTTTGCCGACCTCGCGACCCTCGACCGTCGCCCTTGCTTTATCCGCCTACCGCCCTCGCCTCGCCCGTCGCCCTCGCCGCCCCGCCGCCCGTCGCCCCCTCTTCCTCTGCCCGTCGACCTCGCTTTCCCCCGCCCGTCGCCCTCGCTTCCCCTCCCCATCGCTCGCCCCATCGACCTCTCCTCTCCCACCTGTCGCTGCGTCGATGTCGTTCTCATTCCCGTCGCCCATGCCTACTCCCCTCTCTCGCGCCGACGCCCTGGTTTTCCACCCCGCCGCCTTCTCTCCTCTTCCCATTCGAACACCTATTGTCCCTTCAATCGCTGCTGCTTCCTTTTTGCGGAGGCCACTTTCCCCCTTCTCATTCTCCGTTTTCAGTCGCATCATCTCCCAATCCGCCCACGTCGCAACTTGCATTCTAATTCATGACGAGCTCAGTTTCCCCCCCGGAATGTGCTCAGTTTCCCCCCCGGAATGCGCTCAGTTTCCCCCCTGGAATGCGCTCAGTTTCCCCCCCGGAATGCGCTCAGTTTCCCCCCCGGAATGCGCTCGGTTTCCCCCCCGGAATGCGCTCAGTTTCCCCCCCGGAATGCGCTCAGTTTCCCCCCCGGAATGCGCTCAGTTTCCCCCCCGGAATGCGCTCAGTTTCCCCCCCGGAATGCGCTCAGTTTCCCCCCCGGAATGCGCTTAGTTTCCCCCCCGGAATGCGCTCAGTTTCCCCCCCTGAGCGCTCGGATCCCCCCCCTGATTGCGCTCAGTTTCCCCCCCTGATTGCGCTCAGTTTCCCCCCCTGATTGCACTCAGATTCTTCCCCCACCCCCCCCCGATTGAGCTCAGTTTCCCCTGAATGTCCTCCGTCACCCCCCTGGTTCCCCTGTTTCCCCCCCCTGGTTCCCCTGTTCGTTTTCCCTGGTTCCCCTGTTTTCCCCCCCTTGGTTCCCCTGTTCCCGCCCCCTGGTTCCCCTGTCCACCCCCTTCTTGCCTTCCACGCTGTCTAGGCCAGCATCCTTCCCGCCTATCCTCTTCTCACTGTTCCTCTCTCTTCTTACCCCCTTCTCTTCTCTCATCCCTTCCTCCCCTCTCTCATCCCTTCCTACCCTCTCTCATCCCTTCCTACCCTCTCTCATCCCTTCCTCCCCTCTCTCATCCCTTCCTCCCATCCCTCATCCCTTCCTCCCTTCTCTCATCCCTTCCTCCCCTCTCTCATCCCTTCCTCCCCTCTCTCATCCCTTCCTCCCCTCTCTCATCCCTTCCTCCCCTCTCTCATCCCTTCCTCCCCTCTCTCATCCCTTCCTCCCCTCTCTCATCCCTTCCTCCCCTCTCTCATCCCTTCCTCCCCTCTCTCATCCCTCCTCCCCTCTCTCATCCCTTCCTCCCCTCTCTCATCCCTTCCTCCCCTCTCTCGTCCCTTCCTCCCCTCTCTCATCCCTTCTTCACCTCTCTCATCCCTTCCTCCCCTCTCTCATCCCTTCCTCCCCTCTCTCATCCCTTCCTCCCCTCTCTCATCCCTTCCTCCCCTCTCTCATCCCTTCCTCCCCTCTCTCATCCCTTCCTCCCCTCTCTCATCCCTTCCTCCCCTCTCTCATCCCCCCTCCCCTCTCTCATCCCTTCCTCCCCTCTCTCATCCCTTCCTCCCCTCTCTCGTCCCTTCCTCCCCTCTCTCATCCCTTCCTCCTCTCTCTCATCCCGTCCTCCCCTCTCTCATCCCTTCCCCCCCTCTCTTGTCCTTTTTCAACCCTGTTATTGTCTTCAACAAGCATGTAACTCGAAGAGCTGGAGTGGTTTCACGACCCTGTGACTCACCTGCATTCCCTCCCTTCCCTGTTTCTAATTTCCCTCTCCAGTCCTTCCCACCTTCCCTCTCTTCACGAGCTATGCATTGCAGCATGGAGCAACCCAGTACGATTTGATTTCAGTTGAGGCTGCTGTGTGTCCTCATTGTGACATCCAATGGCATCTTACACCATGTTGAAACTGTACTCAAGTCGCTGTTCATGCTGCTGTTATGGTAGCCTCTGTTAGTTTTCTTTGTAACCCGTTTCACTGTAGACCGGCATACAAATCAAGCGACAACATGTACCGGTAAACGTTTAGACCCACATATATTTTCTTTGAGATGTAATACACATGACATAAGCTTGCATTATCAGTATAGAAGACCAAGCTCGAACCATTGCTATAGTCTTGTGTGTTTCCATCTTCCTGTCCCTTTTGCAATGTGGCTCGTCTGGGCCTTTGACATGCTGAAAACAGGAGCAAGCGAAGGCAGCACGTCCATGCAGGTCGTCTGGGCCTCTGTCATGCTCGCCTGGGATGGGAGAGGAGAGGATGGGGAGAGGAGAGGATGGGAGAGGAGAGGATGGGAGAGGAGAGGATGGGGAGAGGAGAGGATGGAAGAGGATAGGATGGGGAGAGGAGAGGATGGGGAGAGGAGAGGATGGGGAGAGGAGAGGATGGGGAGAGGAGAGGATGGGGAGAGGAGAGGATGGGGAGAGGAGAGGATGGGAGAGGAGAGGATGGGGAGAGGAGACGATGGGGTGAGGAGAGGATGGGGAGAGGAGAGGATGGGGAGAGGAGAGGATGGGGAGAGGAGAGGATGGGGAGAGGAGAGGATGGGGAGAGGAGAGGATGGGGAGAGGAGAGGATGGGTGTGCGTCAAGCAGAGCACAGCACAGCACCGCAGAGCCCCAGAGCAGCGCAGAGCACCGCATCTCGCGTAGCTGTGCACAGCAGAGCAGAGCACCACACTGCACAGCACTGCAGAGCAGAACAGAGCTCACAACCGCACAGCAGAGCATGTTGTGTTGTGGGTCACCTGTAGCACGAGCACAGCAGCAGCTGTAGCACGCGCTTCCGTTTGTCCCTGCAGAAGATGGTGAAGGGGCGGGAAGGGGGTAAACAGGGGAGAGGGGGCTGGGGGAAAATAGGATCGAGGCTATAGAGGGAAATAAGGGAGAGGGCGATCGGGAAGGGAAACAGGGGGATCTTGTTGAGACGGAATGGAGTGAGGCGGAAAGGGTTGGGGAGGAGATGGGGTGGGGCAGACTGGGTTGGGGCGGAATGGGGTGGGGCGGAATGGGGTGGGGCGGAATGGGGTGGGGCGGAATGGGGTGGGGCGGAATGGGGTGGGGCGGAAAGGGGTGGGGCGGAAAGGGGTGGGGCGGAAAGAGGTTGGGGCGGAAAGGGGTGGGGCAGAAATGGTGCCTCCCACGTTGTCGCGGCGCCCCCGACTCAGCACGACGACTCGCCCCCACTCCTCCACCTCGCGTCCACCCCATCCCTGAGGGCAGGGGATGGGATGGGGTTGACGGGGGAGAGGCGGGGATGGTGACGCGGGGAGGGGCACACAGGGCGGGTTTCCGCATCATTTACAGCAACAGCAGCAAGGATGGGGAGGTGAGGGATGGGGAGGAGAGGCATGGGGAGGTGAGGGACGGGGAGATGCGGCATGGGGATGTGAGGGATGGGGATGTGAGGGATGGGGATGTGAGGGATGGGGAGGTGAGGGATGCGGAGGTGAGGGATGGCTCTGCACCTGGAAATAAACCGTTGCCCTGTCGTACGCTGCATGCGCTGACTCTAACTCCAGCCTGAAGGGAGAAAGGGTGGAGATGAGAAGGGAGAAAGGGTGGAGATGAGAAGGGAGAAAGGGTGGAGATGAGAAGGGAGAAAGGGGACGGGAGAGAGTGAGCGAAGGCGACGGGAGGGGGGTGAGCGTGGGCGACAAAAGGGAGTGAGAGCGTGCGACGTACGGGCAGTGAGCGTGGGCGACGGATGGGGAGAGAGCGTGCGCGACGGGGAGGAGTGAGCGTGGGACGAAGGGAATTGGCCGTGTGCGACGAGCGGGGGTGAGCGTGTGCGACCGAAGGATTGCGCGAAGGCGATGGGAAGGGTGTGAGCGTGGGCGACGGGAAGGGAGTGAGCGCGGGCGACGGGAGTGAGCGCAGGCGACGGAAGTGAGTGAGAGTGGGCGACGGAACGATTGCGCGAAGGCGATGGGAAGCGAGTGAGCGTGGGCGACGGGAAGGTCTTGGGCGGGGGCGGCGGAAGGGAGTGCGCGCGGCGGCACGGAGTGCGCGTGGGCGACGGAAGGAATTTGTAATCCGCAACCCTGGGAAGCGAGCGTGCGCGACAATGGGGATTGCGCAAAGGAGACGGGAGGGGAGGGAGCGTGCTCGTTGGAGCGAGGATGCGTGAGCGATGGAGGGGAGTGCGTGTGTGGGACGGAAGGGGATCGGGGAGAAGAAGCGAATGGGACGAAGTAATAGAATAAAATCTTTGAAACGCGGACAGAGAGGACGCTGCGGCTATGAACAGGGGCGACATCGATGCGGTGGGCGATGGTGAGGTGCAACCAGAGCGACGAGCCTATGTGCATCCATGGGCACGGCTAGCTATGTCGATCGAGTAAAAACGTGCCCTAGAATCCCGAAAAGTTTATCCCTGGCATTTACGGAATGGAGTAATAGTCCTAAAGAGTAAGGCGGAAATAAGAGACCTGGGGCTGGAATGGGGCTGGAGCCTAGCTGTTCTAAGCTATGGCTGCGGCTCTAGCTGATCAGACTAGGCAGTTTCTGTCGACCTGAATTACATATTTCGAGTTTGGTGTGCACACCTCGGCCAGAGTGGTTGCGCAGGAACCGAGCGACCTCCCTGAGCTGCCTGCGACTTCATCACGTTTTGCAGGTGAACAACTGGTAACCACCCTGGTTCGGGAGGGAAGGTGTTAACACCTCCCAACTTTTTTTGTAATTCAGGCTGCGGGTTTTAACCCGAAATTATCGTCCCTCCCTTCCGAAATTATCGTCCCTCCCTTCCGAAATTATCGTCCCTCCCCTCCCAAACAGGTGTCCCGAACGAATGACCTCCACCTCAGCGCGGTGTTCGGGTGTAACGCTAGAGGCATTTGCCTCTAGCGGCCAAGAGGGGTCAAGGGTAAGTGGAAGATCGAGCGGCGACGGATCTGCGGAGGAGGCGATGTTCAAACGGCGGCGGATCTGAGGAGGAAGACACTCCGGAGGAAGACGCTCTAGCGATGCATTTTGGAATTGTATGGCTTGTACTTTATAAATCCAATTGTTGTACTTCATAAATCCAAGTGCTGTTTATGACTTTTGTGAATAATAAGGTTTAGGCATTAAACAAACCATCCTGCATACTCCATGGAGCTCAGGCTGCCGCGCGCGGCATAGGCGACTCAGCTTCAAATATGTTTCAAATATGAAGTCACGCTGTGTGTAGTCAGGTGCGACACGGCCGCTCCCTTCTGTGCTAAAGAACGGGCGAAAGTTGAACGCATGGCAGTGGATGATCGTAGCCGCAGTCAACACTGGAGACCACCTCGCGCTGTGGGATGGAGCTGGTGGTACAGTACAATTTGAACACTTTTAGTTTTTGGCTTAGAGATACTCAGGGAGTGAATTGCTTGTGGATGGTCTTTGTCAGCTGGCTACGCAGGTTTGGAGCTGGGGCAGGAAGTGTTGCGAATAGCACACGCATCACGTGCTACCCACTTTGGCACTCCAACCCCTTCTCCTCAAAACACTATCGTAACTTTCCTTCCTACCTTCCCGAAGTTACCCAACCCCTCCAAACAAATTCAAATTACCCAACCACCAAGACTTTCCTTTTCCAACTCATCTTTTCCAAGCCAAGCCCACCAATTCCTCCTTAACTATCTCCAACCACCATAGCATTTCCTAGTCCAACTCAACCAATATTTAAACCAACTTCCCATACTCATCCTCAAGTCCCACCATAAGGCACATGACTCCTCATGATTTTCCATGTGTTTTCCTTTCCTACTCATTAAAGTTTACCCAAGTCATTTACCTCCTCCAATTATCCTCCTCCCATGTGCCTTTAAGCACATGCTTCCACTTCCTAGTCATCAACCTCCACATGCCTCTCATTTATTCCTTCCTTCCTTCCTTTCCCAAGTCACCAAAGTTGCCACCTCATCCCTAAGGACTTCACGATTATCCCATCACCACCTATTCCAAGGCAACAAAGCTCATCATCTTCTCCACTCATACTTATCCTACTCACTAAGCTCTCTTCTAACTCAACAAGGCTTACATCTCCAACTCACCAAGTGCTCAACTACCACCATATGCTCCAATACTATTCATCTACATCAAGCATCTCTACAACTTCTCAAGAAGGTTCTTCAATGACAACAATGCCTCTCAAGCTTCTTCATCAAGCTCCTCTCCAAGCTCATTCCAAGCTTCTCCTTCAATCTCCTCTTCAACTACAAAGGCTCCTCACTAGCAACCAAGTTTCAATGTCTCCAAAGTTGATATTCTCATACTACTCTCTTCTAAGGCTACCATTGATGGTTACTCTTCTATGCATGCCTATGTATCCTTCATGGATCTATAAGGCTTGTACTATACTTTCTTTAATATAAGTTTATGCTCATAAGGCTCTCTCTCACATAGTCTGCAAAGTAGTTATCAAGTGAAGAGTAGTCTACCTCACACTCCTTAAGAGTATAAGGAAGCTACAAGCTACAAGCTCAAGGAAGGATCTGTCAGAATCCCAACAGGATCATCATCCAACCCAAGGCTTGAAGTCACTCCCAAGTAAACCATACAAGTTCAAGTTCTTCTTTCAAGCTACTTCTACAGCTATCCCTAGTAAGATTCACTTAAGTAAGTGTTTATTACCTCTCTCATTCTCTCAACAAGCTCACACTCTTCTTCTCTTTTGAGTTCTTACCCCATCAAGCATTCCACCCTACACAAGTTTCTCTTTATAAGCACAAGTTCTAAGTATCATCTTCTCTTCTATCAAACACATCCTCATATGCTACAGTTCTACTGTTCACTCTTGTCTTATTCTAGTGTGCAATCATACTCTTTTGTCCTTATCTCATTTTTCTACTGGTATCAGAGCCACTTACCTCCTCGCTTTCGCTCGTGTCCTCTTAACAAGAGCTTTATACCCGCTCTCCATGACTCCCTCTCCCAAAGGCTCTAAGCCAAAGAGTGCCACTTCGCAAGGAGAATCAAGCTCCTCCGAAGTAAGCGGCAACACGGGAGGAAAAGACACCTCATCATCCCCTACTCTTCCCTCTCTTAACCCCTAAGCTAGAAGTGCCACGGTTCAACGGAAAGGACTTCCAAACGTGGCGAATTCGCTTCCAAATGGCCTCCACTCTCCAAGAGTGGTGGCCTGTTTACTCTGGTTCTCTCTCTCCTCCTACCTCCGAAGCCCCTCCCACAGAGCAAACCGCGTGGATCAAGAAGAATGCCGAAGCCTACCTCTACCTCCCCAACTCCGTCCAAGATCAATATGCCAAGTCGTTGCTCACGTGCGCAAGTCATTCCGACAGTGCCAAGCGCGCGTGGGAGAGGCTCACAAGGCTCCATCAACCTCGCACCGAGAGCACCAAGGCGGAAATGTGGGGCAAGATCTCCAACCTACGGATGGAGCAAAAGGAGACGATTCCCGAGTACTTGGAGCGCGCGGAGATTCTTCTCAACGACGCCGACGTCCTCGAAGTCACCGTTCCCGAGAAGCTCTTCATTACTATTCTCCTCGCCGGGCTTTCATCGGAATGGATTCAAATGAGGAGCACGATTCAAGCTTTTCCCGAGAAACAAAAGACGCGCGACTTCATCTTCAACACCCTTATCAACGAGCATCAAACGCGCGAGCTAGCCAAGGCAAAGGAGGAGAACAACAAACCCGCATGGTCGGCCGCCGTTTCTACTCAAGGTCACGGCAACAACAACAACAACTACAACAACAACAAAGGCAAGAATCAACGACAAGCAAGTAAGCCTTCTAACCCATCTATCATTGGTCGCTACCCCCCATCAATTTCATCGCCCAATCAACCTTTCTCATCTAATCCCTCTCAACCCGCTAAGCCCCAATCGGGGAAATTCAATTTCACTTGTCATTTTTGTCATCAATGGGGACATCCATGATTCAAGTGTCCTCGAAAACCTCCCAATTGGACCCCTCCACCTCACCTTCTTACTTCTAAGGGTCGAGCCGCCCTATCTTACGCAGTGAGCTCTCAAAATGAGACTCATCAATTCCCTTTACCCCAACTTCAATCATCCCAACTCTACCCAAGTCAACCTCATCCCTTTCCCTATTATCCCACACAACCAATGCCTATGTTCTACCTCTCTCCACCACAAGGCTTTACGCCTTTACTACCTCAAGCTTCCCATCCTTCTCCCCCCAACTCAACACCCTCTTCTTCCTCCCAAAGCACCCCACAGGGCATAAGCTTCCTTCTCAGGGACCCCACAGGGAGCGAATTGCTTGTGGATGGTCTTTGTCAGCTGGCTACGCAGGTTTGGAGCTGGGGCAGGAAGAGTCTAGGAGAAATCTAACGTGGCAGTTCTTGTTTGCGTAATGTGCGGAATGTTGTAAGAAGTGGAGCTGCCACGAAGTTGAGCTGCCTCTGAACGAGGTTCTGGCAATAGGGATTGAGGGTGATTTGGTCCACTGTCGCACATCCACCAACCAGTCTTTACCGACCGGCACCTCACACCTTTCATTCACTTCAGTGATGCACGCCTGTCATCTTCGTTTCTATCTTTTAGGTCTTCAGTCTCTGCTAGATTTAAGCGCTACGCGCTTTACTGCCGCTTTCTGCTTTTCATCCCGCATTCCTTCTCGGAGCTAAGCACAATTGAAGTCTTAACACCGTGGTTAGTGTGTGTCGCGGTTAATATTTGCCGTAGATTAATATTCGCCGCTTCACGTAGCTTCAAGTAAGTACCGCCAGCTATACGATTTTTGCGTTCATCTTAAAAGTTGCGTTGCGGCCCGAGTAATAACGTTCATTTGCAGGCGGACTAATGACGCTCTAGCACCATTTGCGGACGCAATAGTAGTACCGATCTGCGAGCACATAGATCCGTATGCACTTAATATGCGGACGCGTTGATAGCTTCGGTCCGTAGGCGCGTGCACATTGAAGCGGACCGTTACCACGCAAGACGGTAAAACAAGTGAAAGCTGAGCAGTAAGGGAGCATGCGGGGTGGGTGAGAAGGGCTGAGAGGGAGAGTGGCGGGGTGTGGTTGGGAGTGGTTGGGTGGGGAGGGATACTCTCATCTTCTACCGCTCTCTCCTCGTTCCCCCGGTTCTCCCCCATCTCTTTCCGCTCATTCCTCATCTCCTTACCGCTCACCTCTTTGCTCTTTGCTCAATTCGCCCTACTCTCCCCTCGTTCCCCCCACCCCACCTCCCCTTTTCCCCCCCTCCCCGGTTTCATCTCGTCTTCTTATCGCTCACCCCTCATTTCCTTTCTGTTTCCCACTCAGTTCTCCCCGCTATTTCCTCCTTCCCATCACTCTCTTCCCCGCTTTCATCTCCTCTCCTTACTGCTCACCCCTCATGTCCGCTCTGCTCGTTGCTCAATTCTCCCTGCTCTCCCCCCTTCCCCGCACTCCTCCCCCTTCCTCCCCGCTTTCATCCCGTCTCCTTACCGCTCACCCGGCTGGTCCCCTCTGTTCTTACGTGATTTCGCCCTGTTCTCCCCTCGTCCGCACCCCTCTGTATGCCCGTCTCCCCTCCGCTCTCCTCTCACCTCTCCCCCCCCCTGTTCACCCCTCATATCCCCTTCTTTACATTTATTTCTCTACCTCCCCTCCTCATTCCCCCCTTCACTCTTCCCCCGCTCTTTCCGCATCTTCCCCCGCTCTTTCCGCATCTCCCCCGCTCTTTCCGCATCTCTCCCCGCTCTTTCCGCATCTCCCCCGTTCTTTCCGCATCCCCCCCTCCCCCCACCTCCCCCCCCCCCCCCCCTCCCCCCACCTCCCCCCCCCCCCCCCCCCCCCACCCGTCCAACCATTCAACCATGGTCTCTCCCTCCATCTCCCCCACGTTTCCCTGCTCTCTCCCCTCTTCACCCCTTTTTTCCTTCCAACCATCACCTCCTCTTCCCCCCAACGCTCCGCCTCACCGATTATATTAACTTCTTTCCCCGCTCTGCCCTCTACGCCCTCCGCTCTCCCCGCATTTCCCCCTCCTTTCACCCCTTATCCCCCCCACCCCCCCCTCCTCGTTTGTTCGATCCAGCCTTCAACTGGCACGAATCTTAACCTAAATCAGGCGCGTGTGGTGCTGGTGTTGCCGTTGCCAGAGACTTTTGAGTCGACTCAAAAGTCACCCGCATTTCCCCCTCCCGTTCACCCCTTTATCCCCCCCCCCCCCTCGTTTGTTCGATCCAACCTTCAACTGGCACGAATCTTAACCTAAATCAGGCGCGTGTGGTGCTGCTGTTGCCGCTGCCAGAGACTCCAATGGGGCATCAGATGGCGGGAGGGTGCAGCAGATGGGGGGAGGGTGCATCAGATAACCGCCGGTAGTGCGCCTACTCGAGGTCGTTGGGTGATCAAGAGAAGGGAAACAAGGAGATGACGAGAAGGCACATTGAAGCGGACGTTACCGCGCAAGATGGTAAAATGAGAGAAAGGTGAGCAGTAAGGCAGTGCGCGGGGTGAGGAGAGAGGGAGGAGAGGGGGTGTGGCGATGTGTGGTTGGGTGTGGTTGGGTGTGGTGGGGTGTGGTTGGGTATGGTTGGGTGGGGAGGGCATCCCTCATCTTCTCCCGCTCTCTCCTCGTTCCCTCCGCACTTCCATTCCCCCCGTTCCTCCCTCCTCCCCATCTCTCTCTGCTCCTTCCTCATCTCCTTACTGCTCAACCCTCAGATCCCCTCTGCATTTCGCTCCATTCTCCCCGCTCTCCCCCCTTCCCCCCTCCTCTCTCCCTGCTTTCATCTCATATCCTTGCCACTCACCCTCAGGCCCTCTCTACTCATTTCTCTTAATTTTCCGCTCGTGTATACCACAGCCAGGGAGCTTCTTCCCTTGGGCAGCAGCATCGTCAGGAGCAGCAGCATCGTCAGGAGCAGCAGCATCGTTAGGAGCAGCAGCATCAAGAACCTTGGATCATTGCCCTGTCTTCAGGAGATTCAAAGCTTGTGTTTTAGGATATTCAATAATTGTCTCCAAAAAATCAGGAACCTTAGATCATTGCCTCAAATACAACTCCACAAAGCTCACAGCCAAGTATAAACACAAGTGTCTTCAGGAGGCCTCCAGTCATGCAATACAGAAGGGCAATATTAGAATCCTCAGCTCCCCACAAGTCACTGCCTACACATTTTCTGCAAATTACTGATACGGGTGTTGGGCTGAACGCCCTAGGATCTTTAGTAGAGTTAAAGTCTGAGTAAATGATGTAGTAGCGGAAGCGTTTGAATAAAGTCCTTGAACCACCTTGCGCTAGTATGTGAGGGCAAAGTAAGTTAATTAAAGCAAAGAGATACAGGAATATATATATGAGTACAGAGAATATGAAGAGACATAATTGTAACTGTTTTACTGTTGCGGTTCGATACAGTGCGACTCGGGCAACTGCTCAATGTCGAGTCAGTTGTGTGTCCTTGCTGTCGCGCTGCGTCAGGTCAAAGGTCGCTGACCTTTGACTTTCTCGTAACCTCCAGTGGTTACGTTAACCTCCGAGGGTTGACTCGCGGTGCTTCGATTTGAGTTGCTTCGCTTGTGTCTTGAGTTTCGACACGACAGAGGCGCTTAAGACTAATTGTTCCCAACAACGGGAAACTGCTTTAACTCAAGCCAGCCGCAACAAGTGTAGCATACTGTATATAACTACCGTATTACTGGCAGCAGTACCATGCCTAACACAACCAACCGACCGACTGCTAATCGGCCATCCTCTCCCAATCATCTTCACCATCAGCCCCATCCTCTGCCACTCCACCAACCGCAGCAGCAAGTGCAGCAGGTGCAGCAGCAGCAGACGCAGCAGGAGCAAGAGCATGAGCAGGAGCAGCTGCAAGGGTGGGTGATGCTGCAGCAGCTGACACTGCTGTAACAATGGTAGCAGCCATGGCAGGCGCAGGATCAGCTGCACCAGCCACACCAGCAGCGCCATCATCACCCCCCCATGCCTCATCCAACAATGCATGCCCAACCCCCGTTTTAATCACGGCTGCGCCGCCCCCTCCTCTCCCCCAAGCCCCTCCTGCAGTCCCACCCGCCCCAGACCCACTTCCCCCAACTCCCACCCCTCCTGCTCCCCAGCCTCTACCCGAACCTGCACCGGCAGGCCCGGCCGAACCTCTCCCACCCCAACCACCTGTACCTGTTACTGCAGACCCACCTGCCCCAGGTAGACCCCACGAACCTGTCCCACTCCCATACTGCTGCTGCTGCTGCTGCTGCTGCTGCCCGTGCCCAAGCCCCTGCTGCAGCTGCTGCCCCTGCGGCTGCTGCAACTGGTACACACTCCCGCGAGCAACAGCACCCCAGAACGGTCTCGCATGATCCAGAAAACGCATGGCCGTGGCTGCTCGCCCCGGGTCCTCAAACACGGCCACGGCATTCCGATCGTCAATCCACACGAGCTCACACTCTCCTCCGAACCTCACGAGTTGGGTTGCCACGTTGGAGTCTCTGGGAAGGGATAGCAGCGCCACCACACGAGCCGGGTTGAGGTCGATTTCCGGGTCGAACGGTGGGGCAGGAGCAGTGAGAGAAGGGGAATACCCTGGGCCTAACGGCACTAGGTTGCTCCCGATGCCGCCGCCGCTGCCGCCGCCGCTGCTGCCGCTGCTGCCGCTGCTGCTGGTGCTGCTGGTGCCGATGCTGGTGAGAGGAAGCTTCCTGGTGGGAGCGCGGGACTTGGACGTGGTATACACGAGCGTGAACCGGTGCGGTTCGGCTCCCTTGGAAACGGTTTCTAACCGCCACCGACCCGCCATCTGATGCACCGCCTCCCGCCTCTCCCTCCCCATCGGCCTGAAGATATGCAGACGAACACTGTCCCTCGGCCACCCAGTAGCCGCGGCTGCTGCTGCTCCTCCTCCTCCTCCTCCTCCTCCTCCTCCTGCGACTGCTGCTGCTCCTGGTGAGGTTTTGGAGGTAGGACCAAGAACTAGATACTGTAAGCGGGATTCAATGTCTGCAGCCCAACGGGGGTCGGCTCGAATAATCTCCATTACCGATAGAGACAGCTCCCCAGTGGTCCCAACACCACTACCACCGGTATTGCTGCTGGTGCCGCTGCTGCTGCTGATACCGCTCCTGGTGCTGCTGCTGCTGGTACTGTCACGGCTGTCCCAAATACTGCTACTGGTGCCAGTGCTGCTGGTAATACCGCCCTCTGCTGCTCCAGCCAAGGGATGGAATGCCTCTGCCAAAACTTTCCTCCTCTGAATCTTCTCACACTCTTCATTGCACGCCAGCTTGCACTGCCCGGGCGGAAACTTTCTCGCTGACCGGCCGCCACCCCCCGCCGCCTCCACAGGCTGCACCAGCGCAGTCGGCAGCCCGGGCAGAATAAGATTCCCAGTCAGCCAATCAGAATCTTTCCCGCCTGCCCCGCACGGGACTCGGGCGGAGAGCCGGCCGCAGGCGCAAGTGATGGTGGCAGGGGTGGTGCAGCGGGTTTCGGGACAGGGGGAGCCTATGTGACAGGTGGATGTGCAGGTGTGCTGGCACTCCCTTCTAGGAGCACCGCAGGGCTGACCACAGGAGAGAGGGCCGGTGAATCGCTGCTTCTGCTTCTGCTGCTGCTGCTGCTGCTGCTGCTGCTCCTGTTCCTGCTCCACTTTGCTCGCAGAACCTTCTGAAGAATCCTCACCAGCAGTTACAGAGGCAGCACCAGCAGCAGCAGTTTCAGCCGCAGCAGGAAGAGTGGGTCCCGGCTCATCACAAGGCCCCACATGACACAGCTTCAAGCAAGCATGCACCCCACACTGCCGCCTCTTCCCACACACATTACTGCACCGGATATCCTTACTACCGCACGGCACCCCTCTCAACACCACATGACCGCCCACACACTCCTTGGCCACTGCAGAGGAACACGGCGGACAATCCCCGAAATGGCAGGGGTGATCCGGATCGTGCCCGCAATCTCTCGCTTTAGAGCAGGGCTGAGAGCAGGAGGGAGGGGAGGTGCCGCAGGGGACTGGCGGAGGAATAAAGGAAGAGCCGCAGGAGCAGGAAACTTCTGTAAAAGAAGCTTCTAGACAAGGCGGACAGTGGCCGGAATGACAAAGCTCCATGCAGGAGTGCTTCCCGCATCGAAGCTTCTTCCAACAGACGAGCATGCAGAGATGGGGGTCTGTGTCGGATGCGGCGGGTGGTGCTTTGTTTTTAGGGTTTTTCGGGCAGCAGCTGGTGTTGCAGCGGTGCCGCCCGCAGTTCTTCTTGGCGTTACACTTGCGGTTACAACGGAAGGGCTCCGAGTCAACACCTCCTGCTGCTCCTCCTCCTGCTCCTCCTCCTGCTCCTCCTACAACTGCTGCTCCTTCGGCTGCTCCTCCTGTCACAGCTGCAGCAAATTCCGCTCCTGTAACACCCTCATTAACGCCACCACCAGCACTACCAGCAGCGTTGCTGCTGGCATGAGTAATCAACGTTTTATAGCACGGCACCGTTCTGACAGACTCCCCACACGCACACCGCTGCTCCACTGGCTTCTCACAGGGGGGGCACTCGCCCACGTGGCACAGACTGCCACACATGTGCTGGCCACACGCCAGTAGCTTGCCACACCCGCCACCACACGTGGGTATGGGGTCTAGACACGAGGTGCGCTGTTTTTTCGCCTGCCCGGGTTTCTGGAGAAGGGCGGTGATTGGCTGCTTGCCGCACGGGCAGGTGTGCACGGCGGAGGGCGAAAATTGACAGTCACCACATGAGGAATCGGCATTGGTGCTGCTGGCGTTGCTGCTGCTGCTGTGGCAGCGTTTTTGGCAGCGGTGGTTACCACACGGAAGCAGCTTGTTACACACAGATTCGCAGGAGAATGCATCTTTGACGAGGTAAACCCCGCTGCTGCCGCTGCTGCTGCCTGTTGTGCTGTCGCTGCTGGTTGTGGTGTTGCTGGTGATTGTGCTGCCGCTGCTGGTTGTGGTGTTGCTCTCTTCAGAGGAGGAAACAAGAGGAGTGGAAAGGGGAGGAGTGTCAGCAGGAGTAGGAGCGGAGACAAGAGGAGGGTTACTTGGTAACAGACTAGAACACCGCCTCTGCTGCTCCTCCTTCCCACACACACACTGTGCCACCACCACCTCCTCACACTCCCCACACTCCCCCTCATGACACACCCTCCCACACACATGCCTACCACACCTCAGCACCGCATTACACCGCTCTCCACACGACACGCCCCCGGGCTTCGCAGCAGCCTCGCTGCACCGCCTCTGGAACCGCCGTCCCCCACAAAAGCACGACTCAGTATTAGCCATAGCGCTGCAAGGCGGACAGGGCCCCGGGTGACAAATCAGCGTGCACGAATGGGGGCAGGACGAACCGGGTAACCCTAGAGGCTTATGGCAGGTTTCGCCACAGGAATGGGGGACCAGGTAGGGATCGAACTGGGGATCTTCCCGCTGCCCACAGAAGCAGAAGTAGCGGAGTTGAGAGGGAGGGGTTAGCTGAACAGCCTGGCAACCCGGACACCTCCAGCCTTCGCCCCCAGCCCCTCCTGCCCCCCCTGATCCTGCTGCTCCTCCTGCCGCTCCTCCCGCTCCTCCTGCTGCTCCTGCTGTGTTTTGACTCGCGCTCGCGTTCCCGCCCGCGCTTCCGGTCGCATTCGCCGCGGCGAGGTCCGGCGCGGCGCCGGAGGACGGCGCCTTGGCCCACTTGCGCGTGCAGTGGAGGTGGAACAGGCTGTAGCAGCTGTGGCACGTCCAGACGGCAGCGGATCGCCCCACGGGGTCGTAGCAGATCATGCACTCCACCTGCCCGCTCCGCAGCCGGTTCTCTATCTCCTGTAGCAGGTGCGGAACTTCCACTCCGTCTCTTCTGGCGCCACTCGCGGCGCCTATCACGGCGTCCGTCTTGGTGCCTCTCGCACCTCGTTGGTCGGAATTGGAGCCGCTAGAACCTGGAATTGGTCTTCGCTGCTGCTGACGTGGCTGGTGTTGGTAAGGCTGCTGCTGTGTCCACTGTGGCGGTTGGTTGAAATGCTGCTGCTGCTGCTGCTGCTGATGGCGAAACGGCTGGTGTGAACCCGAAACTGGGGCTGATGCTGGTAACCCTGTTACCTGCTGCTGTGACTGCAAGGGCAGCTCTACCTCCCCTCTGTCTCCACGCCCTCCTCCCCCCCTTCCCCCTTCCCTGCCTCCTCTCCTGCCGCCCCCTCCCCCCCTTCCCCTTCCCCGCGCGCCTCCCTGCTGTGCTCGAGCATCTGGCGGGGCAAGAAGCGCGGGCAGGTCCAATATTCCAGGACCTGCCCGCGGTTGAACTGGCTGCAGAAAATCATTAATGTTAATAGGATGCGCAGCTGTCCCCCTGGACTGATTCTCCAACGGCATATTCCCCGCGCTAATCCCGCTCCCACGCATGCTTCCGTCAGCATTAACTAACACCGGCTGACTTGCCGGCTGAGGAGACTGGCCGGTCAGATCTGCCGGCTGATTAGACTGCCCGGCAGGCACCAGAAACGGCCGGTAAGGTTGGGAATAACCGCGGCGAGGCTGAGCGAAGTCCTGCGTCTGACGATCTGCAGACACGCCGTACAACTCTAGAAGTGTGTTGGCAGATCCGTCGACACCGCCTCCACCTCCGCCGCGACCACCGCCGCGGCCATCGCCGCGTCCGCCGCCGCGATTTCCGTCATATCCGCCACGAGCAAAATTATCGTCTGAGCCTCGGCCGCGACCTCTCCCTCTGCCCCGGCCACCATAGCCTCCGCGGCCGTTAATATCCTCCGGAAACCGGCCATTAGCTTGTGAAATACTGTCTTGGAAATTTCGGTCTTGAAAATATCGATCCCGCCCTCTGCCTCCGCCCCTGCGGCGGCCGCCTCTTCCGCTTTGCCGATCAGTACTTGCGGACAAAGATTCTGGAGGCTGAGAGTTGCGGTTACTGGGAGAATCTGCCTGGGCGTTATTATCCGACATGCTTACGTCGGGAAGACGATCGACGAGCGGCCTCTGAAGATTCGTTGGCGCGTGAGCTCGAAAAAAAATAAAGAAAACGAAAACGAAGGTATGGCGAGAGCCTGAATAGAATGCGGGGGTACTGAATATCTTTCTTGCTGTCTGCTTTTGTCGCAAGAACCAGACGATACCTGCTCAAGACTACCTACTACCTACAATGACCTTCAGGCAAAGCTGCTACTCACTTCAGAACTACGCAAAGCCGTCCTCAAAACAGGGATGTATGATTTGAATCCTTGCCGTGAATCGTGCTGGTGAGGTATGTTAGTCATCATTGACAGAAGAGCAGACCCGAGTAGAGCCGAGTAGAACCGAGAGGAAACAAGAAGCACCACGCGAACTCGTTGCGGTGGCACGCACTCAACCAGGGGAAAGGAAGAACCGCGCGTGCCAGGATGGTGGGGTGGGGTTTCGGGTGGTTGTGCGGTGTAGGTGTTGCGTGTGCACGAAGCAGGCGCGGGGTGGAAACCTCGAGGTTGCGCGGACGAGCAGAATTTGGTGGAGGAATCTGGGTTTCTGAAAACCCTGACACGCACTCGTTACACGAGCTGGGATTGGTTCTGGACTATTCGCGAACTCGCAATGGGAATGCTTAAAATTTGTGGTGTTACAGCTACACGCAGCAATTTCGCACTCGGTGTAGGTAGACCGATATTCTACTATCAGCTGCCTACACGCCCTTGATGTCGTCGCTGAATGGCACGAGCTGAAGCAAACCAGCGCCTTCCACATCAGCGGCGAACCGACTGTTCAGAGAGCGCCGCGTGGAGCAAAGCAATCCCAACGCCTGGCTAATCCCAAGCCCCGAATTACGATGGGCTAGTGGGCTCCCCTTTGGAAAGTGGGAATTTATTCCACCATATTCAATCTCAGCTTGTGTTATCAACCGTAACGAAACGTACAAGTTCAGGACTAGTCTCGTTTGCTGTTTATTAGCTTGCTCACTCTATTTTCTCAGGAATGCGTTTGTGGTATCACACTCGTGTTTTCAGGAATATGAGCTGCTCTTCGTTTTCTCGCTATCTCTTCTTTTTGAACGTGCGGCCATGCGTAAGAGTTTAAGGACCTTATTACCTACGCCTTAACGAGTCTGAGGGCCTAGCTGCTTAGTTGACTAATATCCCTTACGCAGTTCAGTCGGCGTTTGACTCAAACATTCATCGCGTAGGAATTGCCATTGTTGTGCTCAAAACAGAATTGATTTAGGCCAGAAGGCGCGATCCAACTTCTGAATTTACTCCAGGAGTGACGGCGATATGAGGCCGGTTGTCGCGCCGCATCAAGCGCTACTCGCCGGCAGCAGGACCAACCTCGCAGCCGCTTCCGCAACCACTTCCGCTTGCGCCTCCGCCTGCGCCTCTGCCGCTTCCGCTTCCGCCTCTCCCTGCGCCAGCGCGGCTTCCGCCTCCGTCTCCGCAGGCGGCGTTTCTCCCCGCAGGAGGAGCGGATCGTACGCCAGAGCCGTCCGATCTCCCACGAGGGCTGTCCGAGCCGGCAGATCTGCCGTGGTTCCCGGCGCTGATTGCGGCGGGCCGATGTATCGTCTCGCTGCCGCAGCAGTGGCAGCTACAGCAACCTCAGCGCGTAGACATTCCGCGACAGCCGTTAGAGCAGCTACAGCGGCTGGTACGGATTCAGCCGCGAGAGCAGCGTCATATGCTAGAGCAGCTACAGCTGCTACAGCCACTAGAAATGCTACAGCCGCTACAGCGGCTACAGGCATTAACACAGCTACAGCGGCTGGAACGGCTACAGCCGGCACGGACCAGGCTAGTCGAATAGCCTGGAACAGACCGGCTGTAGCGCAACGTGATCTGAGCTGTAGCGCGACGGTATTCCTAGTTTCCCAGCCGGCTGTAGCTCGTTCAGCTGCTCCCCACCCGGCTGCAGCTCAACCAAATGTAGGTCGAAGGATTACGCCTGTAGCGGGTGCCACGTCACCGGGTGCTACTTATTCGTCCACGTTGCTTAACGGCAGTAGCAGCGGTCGCATCAACAGCAGCAGCGGGTGCTTTGCGGCTGGATTCACGAGCAGCAGCCCTCCCTGCAGGAAAGGTGCTGGCGGCGGTAGCGGCGGCGGCGGCGGCGGCGGTGGTGGTAGTGGTGTTGGTGGTGGCTGTGGCAGCAGCAGTGCCTTCAGTGGGAGTAGCAGCAGAACAGCAAGCAGTAACGGTGGTAGACAAATCAATAGGCTTGTACAGGCCGCAGCTGGTAACGCAGCGGCTAAAAGCGGAGCGGGCAAGAGCGGAGGAGGCTCTTTGGGTGAGAGGGTGAAGAAAGGCGCTCTGGTGGAATTCGAGAAGGAGCAGCAGAGGCACGTGGTGGGGGTGGTGATGCGACCGGAAGGAAAGAAGAACTGGATCGTTATGGATCAGGTACGTACGCGTTATATGCATCGAAAAAGGACAATCAAGAACCGAAAATTGAGAAAATTGATGCGGATTGGTTTACTAGAATGCTTGTGTCGTTTACCTAAGAGAACTCGAGCCCAAAATCCGTAACTCCGAAATTCCTAAGTCACATAGTCACACTGACGAGACACACTGATGAGTCACACTGATGAGATGAGAAATGGGAATGGGCATTGCCTTCCGTCCCCTCTCTTCCCCTCTCCTCACTTTCCTTCACTTCCAGTCTTCTCCCCTTCTCCGCCCCCCGCCCAACCCTTCCTTTCCACCATGCTTGAGAGACTTTTGGAGGCGTCTCAGATTTTAACATTCTCCTCCCCTGCTTCCTCCTCCTTTCCTCTCTGCCGCTCAACTGGAGAATTGCAGCACTTTCTCTGTGAAGCCGCAGCAACTGACATTTGTGGAAGTGGATGAAGGATAATTTCTCCCTTCTTTCCCTCACTTCCGCCCCCACTTCATTCCCTTTTTCCACCACATTGCGCCACAACAGAACGGCAACACCTTCTCTGTGAGGCCGCAGCAGCTGACATTCGTGGAAGTGGGGGAGGAGGATTTCATTCTCTCGTCTCTCCCTCACTCCCCCCTTCCATTCTCCCCCCCCACTTCATTGCATTGAGCGATGACAGAACGGCAACACCTTCTCTGTGAGGCCGCAGCAGCTGACATTCGTGGAAGTACGGGAGGAGGACTTTAACGCTGCCGATCTCTCCTCCTTCCTCTCATCTGTTGACTCACTAACGGTCAGAGACCCAACATTCTGCTATTGTGCAAAATTTCCAAGTTTCTATATGTCTAAACTCCCTTTTTGCACCATCTTAGCAAGAATGCTAAGAGAAGTCTCGGAACTCTTCTTGCGTTGCTTTTCGGTTTCCAGTTTTCAGTCTTACTCCGTGTTTCTGCCGTCTCTCTTTCTCTTTTGAGTCGACTCAAAAGTCTTTCCAGTTTTCAGTCTTACTCTGTGTTTCTGCCGTCTCTCTTTCGCTCTCCCTTGTAGCTGTCTGTGTCACTTTGCTGCCCACTGACAAGTTTCAATTCATAACCCTTAACCCAAAACCCCTGATCTTAAACCCTGCTTGTCCCCTAAAATACCAGGCTGATGGCTCTCTCCTCGAGATGGTGTGGGAGATGTTCCTTTCAGAGCAGCCCACAGTCACCACACAGGAGTTTGCAGAGGTAAACCCACACTCGTCTTGTTTTAAATTTATGCTCACTATAATCATACCTGGTAACCACCGCCACCACCACCGTCGCAACAGCATAGGTGTGGGAGATGTTTCTTTCAGAGCAGCCCACAGTTACTACCACGCAGTAGTTTGCAGAGGCAACCAGCATGTATTAACCTTGTGTTGACCTTGTACTCGCTATAAGCATATCTCTTCAAGCAGCCCACAGTCACCTTTATCCTCCTCCTCCTCCTCCTCCTCCTCCTCCTCCTCCTCCTCCTCCTCCTCCTCCTCCTCCTCCTCCTCCTCCTCCTCCTCCTCCTCTCCCTCACCCTCGCCCTCTCTACTCTACCTCCCAGATCGCCTTTGGAGAGGCTGAGGATCCGCTAGTGCCGCACTTTGCCGCCCATCGAATGCTGACTGCCGACCGCATCTTCTTCAAGAGAGTCCGCGGCGCCGCCCACTCCTTTGAGCTGCGGCCGCCCGTGCAGGTATCATTTTGTCTTGTAGTAAAGCTCATCAGTGCATGTATTATCAGTCTTTTAGTCAGAGGTAGAGCCTTCCCCTGCTCGGGTATTACCTGTAATTAAAGCCCAGGCCAAAAGCCCTTGTCCTTACAGGCGAATGTACTTTTTACTCCTCTCTCCACCCCAACAGGTGGAGCAGCTGAGGAAGCAAGCAGCAGCAGAGGCAGCAGTGCGAGCGGAGCAAGAGGAGCGAGAGCAGAGAGGGCAGAGGGAGCAGGAGGGGGGAGTGAAATGAGCGAGATCCAGCGGGTTTGTTTATCACTGCTCTTTTCAACCCCAACTCCATCAGGTGGAGCAGCTGAGGAAGCAGGCAGCAGCGGCAGCAGTGAGAGCGGAGCAGGAGGAGTTCGTACCCAGCGTTGGAGAGGAGAGGCACTACGTTGAGACACTGGCTTCACGACAAAAGCCCTTGTTCTTACATGCGGATCCGTTCCTTACTCCTCTCCCCTATCCCATCAGGTGGAGCAGCTAAGGAAGCAGGCAGCAGCGGAGGCAGCAGTGCGAGCGGAGCAAGAAGAGTTTGTGACCTGCGTTCGAGAAGCAATGAGTTGAGATTGCCCTCCTCAGGGCAAAAGCCCTTGTTCTCACAGGCGAATTTGCTCCTTATTCCTCACCCCTAACTCAACCCTATCCCAACAGGTGGAGCAGCTGAGGAAGCAAGCAGCAGCGGAGGCAGCAGTGCGAGCGGAGCAGGAGGAGTTTGTTACCTGCGTTCGAGAAGCATTAAGGATGCCTCCTGCCCAAAAACCAACACCGGAAATTTGGAGAGAAAGGATAGAGGGGACGGAGAGGGCAGAGAGGGCAGAGGAGCAAGGAAGGGCAAGGGAGGGGGGTGAAGGAGGAGGGGAAGGGGAAGGGGAGCGGCAGGGGCATGGGGTTGGGGGAGGACGTGGCGGCCCGGGATTGGCTGCGAGGATGCAGGCACTGTTGGAGTATGCAGAGGAGAAGCCAGGTGGCAACTCAGCATTGGCTGAGGAGGTGGGTGCGGAGAAGGCAAGATGATGGGAGAGGGTCTCGGGTGTGCACGCATGCCCATGCCCATGCCCATACTTCTGCCATGCTCCTGCCCATGCCATTGCCCATGCCCATGCCCCATGCACTGTGCCCACGCCCATGGCCATGCTTTGAGACGTCTCAAAACACTTCTTCAAACCTGTTTCCACGCCCATGGCCATGCTTTGAGACGTCTCAAAACACTTCTTCAAACCTGTTCCCACGCCCATGGCCATGCTTTGAGACGTCTCAAAACACTTCTTCAAACCTGTTCCCACGCCCATGGCCATGCTTTGAGACGTCTCAAAACACTTCTTCAAACCTGTTCCCACGCCCATGGCCATGCTTTGAGACGTCTCAAAACACTTCTTCAAACCTGTTCCCACGCCCATGGCCATGCTTTTGAGTCGACTCAAAAGCACTGTGCCCACACCCATGGCCATGCTCATGTCTTCCCGAATCCCCCTTTTTTGTGAGGTTTGCAGTATTTGTAACGCCTCGTCTGTGTGACACTCGTGGAATCTCCAAAGCAGCCTGCGACCTGCTCGTTCGTGCTGGCGCCCTTCCACTCCACTTCCACTCCTTCATCTCATCTCTCTTTCCGGCCCTCTCTGCCCGTTCCTCCCGCATTCCCCTTCTCCCTTCTGCTCCCTCCCACAGTCTCTGCAACTCCTCGGCTGTGTGAGAACGCCAGAAGCAGCATGTGACCTGCTTGTCCGTCCGGGCGCCCTTCCACTCCACTTCCACTCCTTCATCACATCTCTCTTTCCGGCCCTCTCTGCCCGTTCCTCCCGCATTCCCCTTCTCCCTTCTGCTCCCTCCCACAGTCTCTGCAACTCCTCGGCTGTGTGAGAACGCCAGAAGCAGCATGTGACCTGCTTGTCCGTCCGGGCGCCCTTCCACTCCACTTCCACTCCTTCATCACATCTCTCTTTCCGGCACTCTCTGCCCGTTCCTCCCGCATTCCCCTTCTCTTCTCTGCTCTCTCCCCCAGTCCCTGCAACTCCTCGGCTGTGTGACAACGCCAGAAGCAGCATGTGATCTGCTCGTCCGCGCAGGAGCCCTTCTACTGCACTCTCACTCCCTCTTCATGTCTCCTTTTTCCTTCGCTTTGCCCATCCCCCCCCGTTCATTCCTTTGCCTCTGAATCTTACAGTCCCTGCAGCTCCTCGGCTGTGTGAGAACGCCAGAAGCAGCTTGCGATCTGCTCGTCCGAGCAGGCGCCCTTCCCCTCCACTCCCACTCCTTCCGCCTTGCTGCCTCCGCCATGCCTGCAACCTTCCCAGCAAGTGTCGCCGATTATTCTGCTAATCTCGCAGCTAACCCCCCACCAGACCCTGATCAGGTAGACATATTGTTCTTCTTCCGCGGCTCTTCCTTGCTGCTTCTCCCTACCCTTTAGGAAGGAGTGTTGTGAGACGTCTCAAAACAGCTACCTACGTCTCAAAACAGTTCTTCTTCCGCGGCTCTTCCTTGCTGCTTCTCCCTACCCTTTCCCCTCCCCATTACCCACTCCCACGCTATTTTTTTACCTTTGAGTATATTTGTCTCAATCGGTCTTAATCTGCTTCTCTCGCCTTACCTTCCACCCCGGTCTGATAGTAGAGGGTTAATGGGCCATTAATATACCTCTCCCCTCTCTCCGCTCTCCCCTTGATACTTCTCCCTCTGTTTCCTCTCCCTCTCATTCCTCTCTTTGTCCCCTCTCCTCCTTCCCTTCCCCTCTTCCTTTCTCTCTTTCTTCAGAGCATACGTGTCGATCTGACGCATCTCAAAGTATACACCATTGACTCATACGATACAGTAGAAGTGGACGATGGGTTGATGCTCCTTGCACCAATCTCATTCCATTCCCTCCCTCCCCCCCTTCCCCTTCTCTTCCCATTCCCCCTTCAGAGCATACGCGTCGATTTAACTCATCTCAAAGTATACACCATTGATTCATAGGATACAGTAGAAGTGGACGATGGGTTGATGCTCTCTGCACCAATCTCATCCCACTCCCTCCCTTTTCCCCTTTCCCCAACCTGTTCTTTCCTATTTACCCCTTCAGAGCATACGCGTCGACCTAACTCATCTCAAAGTATACACCATCGACTCACATGATACAGTAGAAGTGGACGACGGGTTGATGCTCCTGCACCAACCTCATTTCATTCCCGCCCTCTCCCCCGACCCATTCTCCCCTATTCCGCGCTGCAGGGCATACGAGTTGATCTGACGCATCTCAAAGTCTACACCATCGACTCATACGACACGGTAGAAGTGGACGACGGGTTGAGTGCAGAAACCCTCCCGGACGGCCGGATCAAGGTCTGGATCCACGTGGCTGATCCGAGCCGCTGGATGAGGCTCGGCGACAGGCTTGACACGGAGGCTCGGAAGCGAGCCACGTCCGCGTATTTTGCTACGGGAGCTGTGCCTATGATTCCGTTCTCCCTGGCCGCGGGTCCCATGAGTCTCTCTCTTCCTCCTGCTCCTGCTGCTGCTCCTGCTGCTGCTGCTGCCGATGCTGCTGGTGCTAATGGTGGTGCTGCTACTGGGGACTCTGCTTCTGCTGTCGTCTGTGCGGTCACTGTAGTAGTCACACTGAATCCCGATTTCAGGTATGTGTTTGGTGGTTGAGGGATGGATCAAGTGAATTAATGAGCTTTGAAATGTCTCGGTTCTGTCATTTCTAACGATATGTATGTTCCGACAAATTCATGCATTTTCCGTATCATTCTCTTTCCGACTGTTAACCGTTGTTCTCCTCCCCATCCCTCCCTCCCCCACCTCCCCCTTCCCCCTTTTTTTTCTGGCCCTCAGCATCGATGACGTGGACATCATGAATTCCTTCATCTGCCCGACCTACCGACTAGCCTACGACCAGCTTCCCGAAATGCTTGCAATGGCGGGCGAACACGAACCGGAGCTTCTCCTCCTATCAGACGTTGCTGCCGGCCGGTTACGTTACCGCATGCAAAACGGGGCAGCAAACATCTCAATCCCCGAATCCGACATCAAAGTTTTTTCCGCCACGTCACACTGCCCGGAAATCTCGGTCAGCACGATCGACCAGTCCGACCCGTCCCGGAGGCTCGTGTCCGAAGCTATGGTTCTCTGCGGCGAGGCTGTGGCTAGGTTCGGCGCCGAACGTGACCTGCCGCTGCCGTACCGAGGCCAGGGCCCTCCGGACCGAATGACAGATGAGGATGAGGAGGATATGCAAGCGCTCCCCGAGGGGCCATGCAGAGCGGTGCATTTGAGATCGTTTATGAGTCGCAGTGAGATCAAATGCTCCGGGCCGATTCCGCATGCTGGGCTGGGGCTGCAGGGGTACGTGCAGTTCTCGTCGCCCATCAGAAGATACTCCGACCTGCTCGCGCATTATCAGGTATGTGATGTAGTGTAGCTTGTGTGTTTGTGCAAGCATGTGCCCCCCTACTACCAACACCAGGTATGCTGGGCTGGGGCTGCAGGGGTATGTGCAGGTCTCGTCACCCATCAGAAGATACTCCGACTTGCTGGCGCATTATCAGGTATGGCATAGCCTATTCTGAGAGATTGCTCGCTGCTCATCCCGCCACCTCCCAGCGGATCTCACTGCACACCCGTCCACCCCCCAGCCGTATCTCACTGCACACCCGTCCACCTCCCAGCGCATCTCACTGCGCTTCTTACAAGAGATTGCTCGTCATCGTTCCGACCCCCCCTTTTTCCCTTGCTCCCTCCCCTTTCCACCCCCTCTACCCCTCCCCCCTGCCCGATTCTCTTCAGGTGAAGGCGCTTTTACGGGGTGAGCCGCCTCCGCTATCCGTATCAGATCTCGACACGATCGTATCGCGCTGCACCTCTTACAAAGATCTCTCTTTCTGGTATTTTGCCCTTGATCTCTTCAGGTGAAGGCCCTGTTAAGGGGTGAGCCGTCTCCGCTATCCGTATCAGATCTCGACACGATCGTATCGCACTGTGCCGCCCGGCAGCGCGAGGTGCGGCGGGCAGAAGGGGCGGTGGAGCGCTACTGGCTGCAGGAGTTCCTGCGGCGGCTGTTGACTCTCTCACACACAGACACAGATTGCTGCCTCTCACACAGAGTGCTCCTTCCTGATCGCCTCCCTCGTCGCCTCCCCTATTACCTCCCTTTTTGCCTTCCTGATTGCTCCCAGGTGAAGGCACTACTAAGGGGTGAGCCGCCTCCGCTATCCGTATCAGATCTCGACACAATCGTATCGCACTGTGCCGCCCGGCAGCGCGAGGTGCGGCGGGCGGAAGGGGCGGTGGAGCGCTACTGGCTGCAGGAGTACCTGCGGCGGCTGCCGGCCAATACCGTGCTGACAGCTGTCATGCTCAAGTGGCTCCGGGCTGATGGTAGCCCTCTGGCGCTGATGCTGGTAGAGGAGGTGAGATTGGGGGGGTTGGGAGGGGTACGGGTGGATGGGTGGAGGAGTGAGAGAGGTCAAAAGGCAGTGAGAGATGGCTCAGGCCATCTGGCAGCCTGCTGGCGCTGATTCTGGTGGAGGAGGTAAGGGTGTTGAGGGGGTGGGAGGGATGGGGAGGCCGTGTGGCAGAAGGGGTGGATATATTAAAGGGAGTGGTGGCTCGGGCCATATGGCAGCCTGCTGGCGCTGATACTGGTGGAGGAGGTGAGAGGGTGTGCGTGCGTGCGTGCGTGCGTGCATGCGTGCGTGCGTGCGTGCGTGCGTGCGTGCGTGCGTGCGTGAATCAGGTGATGACGGAAGAGGCAGACCCTGATCCACCCCCTCGTGTTCCCAAGTGACTCCGTGCTGACCCTTGCTTCTGCCCTCTCTTATCTGCACCCTTGCTGTCCCATTCCTGACGTCTTTTCTCTTAACGTGTGGGGATGGAGACACTGACGAAGATGCAGCGGGATGTGCGGGTGGGTGACTCGGTGGATGTGATTATAGCAGAGGCAGACTCTTTTTTCTTCTCTATGTTTATTCTTTGCGTTTTCTTCCCACAGGTGGGGATGAAGACGGTTATGAAGTTGCAGCGGGACGTGCGTGTGGGAGACTCAGTGGATGTGATTTTAGCGGAAGCTGACTTTCCTTTCTTCTCTATGTTTATTCTTTGCCTTTTCGTCCCTCAGGTTGGGATGGAGACAGTCATGAAGATGCAGCGGGACGTGCGGGTGGGAGACTCAGTGGATGTGATTATAGCAGAGGCGGATCCTGCAAGGGACAAGCTGCGGCTCGTGGAAGCACCTCCGAGTTTCAGAGAAGCTCAGATGAGAGGTTTGGCGTATGGGGAAGGAGAGGAAGGTGGGCTGGAGGATGGTGGGGAGGAGGATAGGAGAGAGGAAGGGGAATTGGAAGCTGGGGAGGGGGAGAGCAGTGGAGAGGCATGGGAGGGTAGCGTGGATGTTGAGATCCAGCCACTTGCAAAGCTATGATGCTGCTGATGGTGATTGTGATGATGGTGGTGATTGTAATGATGGTGATTATAGCAGAGGCGGACCCTGTGAGGGATAAGCCGTGACACGGCTCCTTCGAGCTTGAGAGAGGCTCAGATGAATAGCTGGGCGGATGGGGGAGAGGTGAGATATGCCGCTGATACCTGTTGCCCTGCCTTTATCGCACTTGAGTCGACTCAAAAGCTCCTCTGAGCTTCAGAGTGGCTCAGATGAAGAGCTGGGCGGATGGGGGAGAGGTGAGATGTGCCGCTGACACCTACCGTCTCGCTCCGTCTTTATCGTAGAAGAGAACATAGCAGGGGTATTGACAGTGGTGTTTGGCGCTCTCAGCACTACTCCCATGAAGGGTTCCTGACGTTCCTGGATTGAACTTGTAACAGTAAAAGAAGACCGGGGGAGAATAAATGTGCCTGGTAAATGGCAGATCATTACCAGTGTATCCTAACTTACCCACATTGTAGCATATAGCCAGCATATTATGAGAACGTAGCAGCATTGTTCAAAAACAATGATTTCGTGTAACATTCAGCTTTGCTGTCATTGGAGTGACCTTGTGAAAGCTGTCAGCTATATTTTTCGAAATCCTCGCTGATGTTCGTCCGCCAGCTCACTCGTCATCAGAACTGCCTACGTGTTCGCCAGCACTTTCGCTACCCTAGGTTTTTTTCGTCTCGGCGATTTTTTTCTTTTTTCTTTTTTCATTATGAATATATCCAAATATACCGAAAGAGCAAGCGTATAGGCCAGGGCTGACGATATCAGGGTAATTACCCTGATTTCAGGGTGATTACAGGCTTCTCACTTGGTGGACCCTGCAATTTCAGAATTTCTGACTTGTGAACACTGATCCATTCAGAATAGTGCTTTAGCGAACCCTGAAATATTGTATCTAGGCTCAGAGTAGTGTTCTTACTGACTCTGTCAATGTAGAGTACGCGTTCTGTGGACCCTGAATTTGACCTTATCGGAAAGAAGTTTCTCGGACATTTCTTTCCGATAACCTCGCCTTCGGATTGGTCGTAGTACAGCAACAGCGAAAGCATCGCGCGGCAACATGTCTGACAGGTGAATACACTCAATGTATGTTATTGTTACAGAAGTCGAAGATGTTGGTCGTATTGTCGCAATTACGTGTGCGTGAAGTTTTCAACACAATTTTTGCGTTTCGCACAATGAAGCTGGCGAATCGCGAGTAATCAGCGAATAGGAAATCTTGGCACATCTTTGGTACCGAACTGTTTGGTGGACCGAAACTGCTCGTTTCTTCCCCGCGCTAAAACGTATGGAGATATACTAATTAAATAGAAGTAACGGGTCAGAAAGTAAAGCGCACAAGGTGTGCACGAAATGATGTCGCGTTGTGATGGAATCCTGCGGGGTGAAACTTTTTCCCCCTGTAACAAAGGGCGCGTTACTACTCTGATCCTCGAGTTTCGACCCTGAACAATCAGAGTTATATACTTTTCAACCCTGAGCAATCAGAGTAGCATTATTCTGAAAAATGTGCACTCATAATAGAGGGGAAAATTTTTCCCCGGAATCAGGGAGGCCTAATATGAAACGTCAGCCCTGGTATAGGCGATATATGTCAATCGTAACTGAGCGTGGGAGGCCGAACCCACATGGTGGCCTCACGTGAGGCTTCTAAGGCAGATGCAGAGCTCCCCTTGCCAGGCTCCAAAGCGTGCCGAAACTGTGCGTCCACTTCCAACCTTTCACCGTCATGCAGCGAATGCGGCCAAGTAAACCGTCCTCCTACTCCGCCAGCGCATGAGTTCTCCTTTGTCCCTTTGAACCACCGCTGCTGCCAGTCTTCTTTCCCATTGCTCGCGTGTACACCTTCACATGCAGCCGAAAAGCTGCCTCGATGCGCCTGAGTACCCGCCCAGATCTGGTGAACGGCAATTGCAGAGAGGGTCGCTTCAGGAAACGCTGAGGCCGATGCTGCCTTTCCGAACAGTCGGTCCCCCAGGGCCGACACTTGCTTCGCAGGGTTCAGCATGCGCATGGACCGCTTGACTGCCACCACCACCTGCTGGATGCGCGGGCAGCTGAAAAGACAATGCTCCAAGGTTTCAAACTCCCCACAGTGCAGGCAGACCGGCCTGCCACTTAGAAAGGAGAGCATCTCCCCTACTTGCAGGTTGAGGCTGTGAATCCTAAGCAACACGTCACGCGGCTTGTTCGGTGTCACCAGCGAGTCCCGAACTTTGATAACTTTCTTCTAGTCAATTTCCCCTGACCATCTTCCTGCCCAAAGCTCCCTCTTAGCGGATTGACGCTTCTGCCCCTTCCAACATCCCTTCAGCTCTTTCAACGACGCCACCTGCCCATCCTTGAACAATGCCGATTTCTGAAGGCGGGGAAACAGAGGCGGAGGTACCAGTTGCTCGGCAGACAATAGACTCTCCTTCCAGGTCTGTGGTACCGCTTCCCAAGCCCGTAGTGCCAGCTTCGCTTGCTTAGAACCTCCCAGCTCCCTTGTCAGGGTTTTCACATCTTTGACCTTCCGTCCCCCCACGCCATCCGGTAGCAAAAGATCACCCAGCCGGAGCTCCCACAGCTTCGCCGCAGCCTTCTGACCCCCCACTGGAGTCCTGCTGTTGAGCAGGCTGTTGCTGTTAAAAACAATCCGCTCCGCTACAATTTCTTCCTTCGTTAGGGCCGGTAGTAAGTCTATCAGCGGCGACTGCATAAAGCTCCCGTAGGCCAGCTTCCATCTCTCACTTTTCCCACGCCAGCACTTCAGAAGCTTCACGTGAGCGACTAAGGTGTCCGTCCCCAGCGGCAGGTCCGCCGCTACGAGCATAATCTCCCGCTTCAGTTCACTCGTCTCGGTGAGCAACAGTCCGATGCGCCTGGTTGCAAGACAGGTGAGCTCTATTTCCGGGTCCCTCACCCCCACACCGCCATCGGCCCTGGCCGTATATAGTAGATCCCGGCTCCGTCCTGCATGCCTGTTTGTTCAGGTTACACCCCAGGGGTAAGATGGATGACTTCTCTATGTTCGTTGCCAACCCCGAATCTGCCTCGAAGTCTGCTAACAACCGCTCTGCTTCCGCAATCTGTACTTCTCCTTGCAGGACTAAAGTCATGTCGTCAGCATACCCCAGATACGCCAGCCGCTGCTCCCCCTTTCCAAGACCAAGTTTTCTAGCAGCCGCCTGCTGGGCCAATGGTTCCACCGCACACAGGAAGAGGTAAGGCGCAAGCGGACAACCCTGCCGCACCCCAGACACCACGTCAACCGCTTCCCCCATCCAGCCGTTGATTAACAGTTTGGTCCGTGTATCCTTGTGCAGGCCCCTAACCCAGTCCACGAGACGGCTCGGAAAACCCATCCGCTCGAGCACCGTGAACAAGAAGTTCCTCGAGACCGAGTCGAAAGCTTTTCTAAAGTCGACCAGCAGAAGATACCAGTCATGATCCTTGTTCTTCGTGGCCTCGATAGCATCCGCAACCAAGCCCACCGCGTCCGACAGCCTTCTACCAGGCAAGAAATCGTACTTCTCCGGAGAGATGACTTCATGCAACACTCTTTTCATCCTGTCTGCCACCACCCTCGCGATCACTTTGTAGGTGAGGCTCAGAAGGGTGATCGGTCTGTAGTTCTCAAGCTGCTCCCTCCCCCCCTTTTTGTGTAGCAGGATGGTAACAACGTTATTCGTACTCGTCGGCAGCGTCGCCGTAGCTGCGAAACTGTCGACCAGCTTCATGAAATGTTTGCCCAAGATATCCCAGTGAAACTCGAACAGCTCCTTCGGCAACCCATCCTTCCCGGGAGCCTTATCCTTCGCCATCGAACGAAAAGCAGCTTTCACTTCTTCCTCCGACCAGGCCGCACACACCGCTTCCGCCGACTTCTGCGACAGAGACCTCCCGTGAGCAGGAGACCAAGCAGACACGGCCTGCTGTATGTTGCTTTCGAACAGCTCCTTATAATACTGTGACGCTGCCTTCATGATAGCTTTATTGTCATTCACCAGCTTCCCGCCTGCGTTTAACTCCGTAATCTGCGTCCGCCCCTTTCTGGCTTTGATATTTGCCGACAGGTGCGGGGAGGCCACTTCACCCATGACTTCTTCCTTTAACCCAGCCATTAGATGAAGTCGCTCCTGCCGAACCAGCTGGTAGCTCTTCAACTGCGCCTCTCTTTCGCCAAGCAAGGTTTTCAGCCGAGCACACCCCGGGTCACCCAGCCACGCATGTTTTAGCACCGCAACCGATCGCTGAAGGTGAACCATCGTAGCTCGGACCCTCTTCCGCTCCTCTTTCGCGTAAGCTCGTAGAGCAGTATTGAGGCGGGAGATTAGAAGCTCAAAACCGTCCCCACACAAGTCCGCTTGCCGCTCCACGGCTTCAATCACCTTTCTGACCCCCGGTCTGTCCAACATGTATGCAGGAAGCCTCCAAAGCCACGGGCCCAACTGCACCCGCATGTTCAACCTGAAAGCCGCCTTCACTGCAAAGCTGTGGTCAGAGATGGGGTCAGTCGGCATAATATGTGAGACGAACTCAACATGCGCCAGCAAATATTGCGAGATAAGTGCTCTGTCTATACGCGAACTGAGTAGAAAGTGAATTCCCGCCTGTATGGATGTAGAACTCTAAAAGCATCCGAGAGGTGAAAGGCGCCACAACGACGGTACAGCTCCTCATTCTCTTTCGTGGACCCCTTCCGTGATGTCCTATCTAACAGTGGATCTTCTACAAGATTGAAGTCCCCCATAATGAGCAGATGAGAACCCGGCGACACCGTGTCAACCACCGGACCCAGCACTCCGCGGATGAACGCCTTACGTTCAGCAACATCAGCCGGGAAATAAACCGCGACCAAGGTGATGTGAAAAACGCCAAGTCGAACTTCAGCTGCTACCAGCCGACTAGATGGGTGGATGAGGGTGTTATGCAATGACAGTTCGTGCCTCCGACAGATTAAAGCAACCCCGCCGGCTTTAGCGGTAGGAGAGGCTACCAGGATCTGCGGTTGCCTAGGCGAGTTCCAGTAAGGGTGATAATCATTGAGCCTAGAGTCCAACAATACGACGATATCTGCTGCCTGCTTCAACCAGTTCTTTGTACGCTGTTGCTTGTTACCATCCCCCAGGCCGTTGACATTCAGGCCTGCAAATGATATTAAGCTCTTTATACTGATTTAAACACTGCTTGAAGGCCCCCTTGCATCCACAGGCCGGTGATACAGGATACTACTACACAAGAACAGGCAACAGCGACAACCACACAGCTCCTCTTCAGGTGTCTGGACCCTGATCTCAGATTCCATGATCTTTGCGGATGACGTGCAGGCTCAACTTCTCCAGCGAAACACGCGTGGCCACCCCCAGCTTTTTGAGACCTAACAGGTGACTTGCCGATGTAACATGGTCCGCAGCAGCCATGAAGGTCTTGCCATGAGATTTCCCACAGCTTTCCTGGGTGCACAACCACTCCTCCCGGTTGCTTCCAGTGGAGATGAGAACAAAAGCCGCATCCAGCAGAAGCGGGGTAACAAGCGGAGAAGCGCAGAGAGAAGCAGCTGCGAGGGACAGACGCGACGTTAGCGACCGACGACGGTGAGTACAATAAACGACTGCAAATCCAGAAAGCAGAGTTACCGTTAATCCTATGCACCCGACCCACTGTCAAACTCCACTTCCCTATGTTATTCTGACGTTCCGTGACGAACGCATTATGAAACTTGTCATAATGGTGCCCACCACAGAGCGAGCAGGATAGCAGGGGGAAGTGGGCCAGCAGAGTCGTGCCACCCAGCAGCTGATGACGATATTCGTGACGCCAGTGGTGCTTGTCGCCAGCGTGCTGAACAACCAGCCCCTTGATCTTGTCCGTGTCAGCGCCGGTCACCGGATGAAGGACGCGGTGAAAGCAGTGACCTTCGCTGAAGGCCGACTTCTTCCGGATCTTGAGCGGATGCTTCACCATCACCTCCAAAACCAGCTCCGGGGGAATGTCAGCGGGGACACCTTTGAAATACACCTCCAGCATCTGCGGACTTGTCGCCTTCATACGCAGGTAAGCTGGATCCTCCTGGTGCAGCCAGAAACAATGAATCGTAATTTCGTTGGGACGCTTATGATCCACCGATGTCTGCTTAATGTTCACAACGTCGGACTCTCGCAGGAATGACACTTGGAGACGATTAAAGCGGGTCTTGGCAACAAAGGCGGGAAGCAACTTCACCGTGGCCAAGACGTCATCAGAGAGGAGGTTTGCCCAAACACGCTTCATAAGCGTTCGCACAATTAGAATAACATAAGCGACTTCATGTGACGGGATCACTGGAAAAATCAGAATCACCGTCGAACGCAGGTGAGGGGAAAATCCTTTCCTCGCATCAATCTCCAGCTCCTCATCAGAGTCATCTTCGATAATTGAGTCGTCAGCAGCCACCGTGGCCAACGCTTTCAGCTTCTCCTCGACAGAAAGGCCTGAGCTCCCAGCGGTAACTTCCGCTTCGGACGGTAGATTAATGTCCACATCTGACCGCTTGCTTGGCGCTGACTTGCTCGCAGGATCAGAACCACCAGCACGGTTGACCAAGGCAGCATCAGCCACTGCCTTGCGGGAGTTCTTAGGAGGCATCGTGCAATGATGACAAGAAGCCGGCCGAAACTCTGACAGACGGAGTTGTTGAGAACAATGAGCCGGTAGTCTGAGCACATCACTGTTAAATAGTAATCTTGCCAAAGCCTTAGCCCAGTGCTCCTGACATAGGTGTTGCTGGGCCGCAGTGGGCAGCAAACGTGCCGTCTCATGTACAATTGTTGGTCATGTCCACCCTTTCAGTAAAATGCAGTGTTACAACTCCAAATGTGGTAACAGACAGGATTTATGAACGGTAAATGTACGCGCTGGACACGCCCTTATGTTTGCGGGAAATGCGTTTCGGAGAAGCCCCAGATGTGTTTATGTGAGCTTAGCGTCAGTTCCGGGAATGTCAGGTGCCCAAATGTGACCATCCCTAGCGTCAGATTCGGGCTCGTCAGGTGCCTCTCCAGATGTGACCATTCCTCCCCCGCGCCGCCGAGTTGGCCGTAGCGCGAATTGTATGTGCTGGTGCATGGATGACATGTCGTGCTGGTGGCACCGTCATGGACATGTGAGATATTTCTTGAAATATTTCTTTGTTGGGACTCGGAAGTCGGGACGATGACTTTCAACTGCCCTAACGAGCCGCACCCCGCCGCATAACTACTAGCAACATTTTTCGCTGTCGTTGAACAACGTCACGTTATCTAGTCCCGCCTAACTCGCTTCTGAAACCTACATATTTCACGGCCACTAGAACTATCAACGGCTCGTCTCCTTGACTTTCTTTATTATGGAGCGAATTGTGCTTTGCTGGGTACTGATATGTGAGCGCCCACAGACGCCTTCCGCAACTGCATCCACTGAGTCAGAATCTGCCGTTCCGAAACGAGTGATGTTTGAGTCAAACACCTTCTGATTAAAGCTCATCTTGGGTGTTATTGTCCCTTGTGCAGTTGTAACACTATTCACGGCTGGTGCAGCGCGGCCTGCAACGTCGTCGCTCCCAACCGATGATTCCCCCTCAACGTCACCTTCAGAGCCCCTCGCAGCATTCCTCCCCGCCGGACAGCTGCCTGTCGCGTCCTCTGCTCAGGCCGCTCCTTTGGTGAAAGGGAAGATTTTCTGTAAGTGCTCCCATTGAGCCTGGTTCCCAACCAACCCCCCCCAACGTCACCTTCAGAGCCTCGCAGCATTCCTCCGCGGCGGACAGCTGCCTGTCGCGTCCTCTGCTCAGGCCGCTCCTTTGGTGAAGGGAAGGTGTACGTGTTCCCACCCGAGCGTGTTGTTTTTTTCGGAATAATTTTTTAGAACGCGTCAAGTGCCATGATAATTCGAAAGTTTCGTTGAGTGACTCATATGAAATCCTTCAGTTCTGTCAGCTTTCAGCGGCGAGGTTGTTGGGCTGTCACCCTTCCGTTACCACTCGATCCACCAGTTGCGTAGGGTAGGGTCCCACGTTCTTTGAAGCAACAGTAAGCCCCGTTCACGCACGTCGCGTTTTGAGACGTCTCAAAAGACGTCTCAAAAATTTTGAGACGTCTCAAAAGTTCTTTGAAGCAACAGTAAGCCTCGTTCACGCACGTCGCGAGTCAACGCACCTAGCTCCCTTGCACCAATCACCCAAATACTACCAAAAACGGAAACATCTTGGGTATCTAACTTTGTGCCTACCCTTCCCTTCCCTGCCCTGCCCTGCCGCCCTGCCCTGCCCTGCCCTGCCCTGCCTTCCCTCTTTCCAGTGCGATATGTAGCCAAGCTCACTCCCACTCGTGAAAATGGAACGGTAGTTGGCGACCTAGGAGCAACTGGATTATCAATTATACTGGGAGTGAAGTGAGTCCTTGCAAACCATAATTGGCTTTAGTGCAGCCCTGCAAATGGTGACACTGGTTAAGCCTTAACCAATTAAGCTCAACGCAGAAGAACAGGTTGCAATATGTGCTTTAAACGCGTCTAAGAATGTAAACGTGTCTTGTTCTCCTGTCTTCGCACAAATATAATGTGAGGATCCTTGAATCAACACACGTGGTGCTCCTGTCTCTCCCGTTTTCCCCTTTCCTCGGTGACAGGGCCTCTGCAAACGCCAGCTACATTATGCTCAACGCAAGAATCAACAACATCAAGTCTGGAGGGTCCCAGCTTCTCACGAACCTCTTTTGAGAATTCTCAAAAGTAATTTCCTTCCTTTTCTCCCTTGCGTCGGTGACAGGGCCTCTGAAAGTGACAGCTATGTTGTAATCAACGCACGCGTCAACAACATCAAGTCTGGAGGAGCCATGCCCCACATGAGCTACTTCAAATCTTGCCTTGCCGGCAAGTACAAGGAGACATTTGACGGCAACATTTGGGGGAACACCACGAGTGCCAGAGGTGGTAAGCCGAATCGCTACAGCTTCAAGTCCTCGTTTGTTATAGGACCGGTGGCAGAGGCAGATGCTCGGGAAATCATTGGATACCAGATTGGTAAAGCATCAGGCTTGTATACAGTCGTGACTCATCCGAAAAGTAACTATGCACTTTGCGGGAGGATGAAGCAGCAACCTGTTGAAGCATGACCATTTTACAGTGGGATTCTGGCATGGTAAAAACCGTAGTAGATAGGTAGGGCTGCAAAGAGCATTGCAGAATTGTACCGTACCATGCCGTGTTCTTGCCGGCATAAGTACCGTACTGTAGGTTCGAATGATCGTGTTACTGCATTGTGCAGTTAGCAGGGACGTGTGTTACGTGTTGTGGAGGAGCAAAAAGAATCTTAATTTGGTTGGAACCTTTGATGCAATAATGCGCGCCTGTGTAATGTAGGTATAACAATTAGGCACTACCGACAATACTACCGACGTTTTGCTTTCCCCGTGTCGCAGTGTTGTATGGTAGTTAATCTATACCAATCCCAAGATTTACTGCAGTAGTACGGTACCCTCTGTATAGTGCTGCTCTTACAGCCTAGCAAACCCGAGGTCTCCTTAGGGGGACCATGCCTACTCCCAATGAATGGTAGTCAGGTTGGTACCGTAGTATGTACGGTACGTTGGTATCACACCACACTACTTAAGCTTTCTAGAGTCTTGTACCTTCCATGAACACTTTGAGCATCAGAGTACGCATCATAGCATACCTTGCACACTCCTGCTGCTGCTGCCGTGCAAGGAAGCGTCGTCTCCTGACGTATCACTGTAGCAGCTGTACTGTCTCCTCCCTGCATCCTGCCCCACTTGTGTCCACCAGATGGCCACGTGGTCGGCACAGGAGCAGGTCGCAGCACCCAACACATCTGCCTCGCACAAATCGCTCCTCCTTGCTGCAAAGCACCCTGCCCCACTCAAGCACACCGATTTGTGGATTATTGTTCACACTATGACAGCCTTTGCACAGAACTGCTTAGCCTTTGCACAGAACTGCTTCCGTGCAAGGAAGCATCGTCCCCAGACGTGTCACTGTAGCAGCTGTACCGTCTTCTTCCAACAGCATCCTGCTCAATACGAGTGCGCCAGATGGCAACGTGGGCCGCACAAGAGCAGTTCTCAGGACCAATCACGTCTGCCACACACACATCACTTGTTAACGCATCTGTGCTGGTGGCAGCTGAACCGTTGGCAACAGCAGCAGCACCAGCAGTAGAACCTCCAGCAGCAGAACCGTCAGCAGCAGTTGCAGCAGCAGCAGTTGCAGCAGCAGCAGCAGCAGCAGCAGCAGCAGCAGTTGCATCATCATCATCATCATCATCATCATCAGCAGCAGCCTTAGCTGCTCGGCACCTCTCTCGACTCGCAACGAACTCCCTAACAAACAGATCAACCTTTTCCGGAGACACGCTCGGCATCACCACTGCATGAGCCACCTTCCCCTGGCATGCCAGCTGCCACCGCCTCACAAACGCCTCCTCCTCCGGCCTCTCAAACACCACCGTGCTGCTGAGAGTGTTCAGCATCGCGCCGAACCCCGCCGCCCGCAGCCGCGCGTGCAGGTGGAGCGCGTTCCGCAGGCACCGCTGCACGTCTTTCCGGAATCCGCGGTAACCCTTTTTGTTGAGGGTATACCATAGGAAGATGGGTGCGTGCCCGTTGCGCGAGCCCATGATGGTTGCATCGCGAGAGGCGAGATATTCGATGTCAGAGGAGAGAGCAGAGAGGTAGCAGCGTCGCATGATCTGCACCCCACAGGGCATGGGGCAGCCGACGAACTTGTGACCGGAAACTGACACGCTGCCGATTGGCTTCTTGAAGGTCACTCGAGGGGCCTGGTGGGGGTGAAATATGGGGCAGGATATAGGGGACTGGTGAGCGCATGTGCACAAGATCAAGGTATGGTGGAGGCATTGCGGCCATGATGGTAGCGGCGCGAGGGACGAGGTATTCAACGTCAGAGGAGAGAGCGGAGAGGTAGCAGCGTCGCATGATCTGCACCCCACAGGGCATGGGGCAGCCGGCGAACTTGTGACCGGAAACTGACACGCTGCCGATTGGCTTCTTGAACGTCACGCTGGGGGCCTGGTGGGTGAAAGGTGTGCAAGGGAAGAATGCGGATAGGAGAGATGGGGTTGATGCATACACATTGCACCCCACAGGGCATGGGGCAGCCCACAAACTTGTGACCGGAAACTGACACGCTGCCGATTGGCTTCTTGAACGTCACGCTGGGGGCCTGGTGGGTGAAAGGTGTGCAAGGGAAGAATGCGGATAGGAGAGATGGGGTTGATGCATACACATTGCACCCCACAGGGCATGGGGCAGCCCACGAACTTGTGACCGGAAACTGACACGCTGCCGATTGGCTTATTGAACATCACGCTGGGGGCCTGGTGGGTGAAAGGTGTGCAAGGGAAGAATGCGGATAGGAGAGATGGGGTTGATGCATACACATTGCACCCCACAGGGCATGGGGCAGCCGGCGAACTTGTGACCGGAGACTGACACGCTGCCTATAGGCTTCTTGAAAGTCACACGGGGAGCCTGAGAGGGGGGTGAATACGGGAGTTAAAAGCGGGAGAGGATAAAGAGGCTGATGAATAGTCTGCACCCCACAGGGCATGGGACAGCCCATGAACTTGTGACCGGACACTGACACGCTTCCTATAGGCTTCTTGAAGGTCACAAGGGGGGCCTGGTGGGTCGAAAGGTGTGCAGGGCAAGAAGGTGGGAAGGATAGAGGGGAGTGATGCGACTGATGCATACACGTTGCACCCCACAGGGCATGGGGCAGCCGACAAACTCGTGACCTGAGACTGATCCACTGCTGATAGGCTTCTTGAAGGTCACTCAGGGGGCCTGTGGGGGTGACGACCAGGGATGAGGGTTAGGTTAGGTGCTGTTGAAGTAGCATGTGGTGCAAGGCAAACAAGGTGAAAAGGCATTTGTTGCTAAGGCATACCTTCTTGACGAAGGGCAGCATGAGGCCAAAAAGAGCCCCGTCACAGTGGATGTAGCACTGTTCGTCCGACAGGCCTGCCTCGTGCAGTAACTCTCCTGGTACCAGCACACTGGTGTGCTGCATTGCACTACTGACAGCATACTCAGCACTGCGTACCTTCTTGACGAACGGCAGCATGAGGCTAAAGAGGGCCTTGTCGCAGTGGATGTAGCACTGGTCATCTGACAGGCCTGCCTCGTGTGAGTGACTCTCCTGGCACACCACACCAGCACCACTGATGTGCTGTATGGCACTGCTGATCGCACAGCACAGTAGCCACAACGTACCTTCTTGACGAAGGGCAGCATGAGCCCAAAGAGGGCTCCGTGGCAGTGGATGTAGAACTGCTCGTGTGACAGGAGTGCCTCGTGGAGTGTCTCTCCTGGCACACCACACCAGCACCACTGATGTGCTGTATGGCACTGCTGATTGCCCAACACACTAGCCACTAGCCACACCTTACCTTTTTCACGAAGGGCAGCATGAGGCCAAAGTAGCCCCCACCCCACCTCAGTGGATGTACAACTGATTGTTTGGCAGCCCCCCCTCGTGGAGTGTCTCTCTACTGGCACACCACACCAGCAAACTGCCGTGCTGTACTGTATGGCACTACTGAGAGCATAATAGGAACGACTTTTGAGGCGCCTCAAGAGAAGCTCTACTGATACACCACACCAGCACCACTGATGTGCTGTACCATATGGCACTACTGAGAGCATAATAGGAACGACTTTTGAGGCGCCTCAAGAGAAGCTCTACTGATACACCACACCAGCACCACTGATGTGCTGTACCGTATGGCACTACTGAGAGCATAATAGGAACGACTTTTGAGGCGCCTCAAGAGAAGCTCTACTGATACACCACACCAGCACCACTGATGTGCTGTACCGTATGGCACTACTGAGAGCATAATAGGAACGACTTTTGAGACGCCTCAAGAGAAGCTCTACTGATACACCACACCAGCACCACTGATGTGCTGTACCGTATGGCACTACTGAGAGCATAATAGGAAGAGCGTACCTTCTTGACAAAGGGCAGCATGAGGCCGAAGAGGGCCCCATCGCATTGGATGTAGAACTGCTCGTCCGACAGGCCTGCCTCGTGGAGTGACTCTACTGATACACTATACCACACCCTGCACACTGCCGTGCTGTACCGTACGGCACTACTGATTGCATACTACCCATGTGGTACCTGTTTGAGACGTCTCAAGACACACTGCCGTGCTGTACCGTATGGCACTACTGATTGCATACTACCCATGTGGTACCTGTTTGAGACGTCTCAAAACACAGTGCCGTGCTGTACCGTATGGCACTACTGATTGCATACTACCCATGTGGTACCTTCTTGACAAACGGCAGCATGAGGCCAAAGAGGGCTCCGTCGCATTGGATGTAGAACTGCTCGCCTGAGGGACCCGCCTTGTGGAGGAACGCTACTGGTACCGGCAGCACCCATGACCTGCTGTCTGCACGGTGCCCAGCCCGCCTCTTACCTTCTTGACAAACGGCAGCATGAGGCCAAAGAGGGCTCCGTCACAGTGGATGTAGAACTGCTCATCCGACAGGCCTGCCTCGTGCAGTGTGGTGATGACCAGATCCAAATCGTCCACTGCTCCCTTCACCGTGGTTCCTGGGGGTGGAGAGGGGGGGGGGGGTGAGGGAGAGGAAACAAGACGTGGGGACGAAGAGAGCCTCTGGGTATAGAACGGGTCACCAGAGTTGACTCTTGAGTCGACTCAAAAGTTGACTTTTGAGTCGACTCGGAAGAGAGCCTCTGGGTATAGAACCGGTCACCAGTCTGACAGGCCTGCCTCGTGCAGTGTGGTAAAGGCCAAATCGAGATCATCCACTGCTCCCTTCACCGTGGTGCCTTGGGGGGGGGGGGGGTGGTGAGGGAGGGGAAACAAGCCATGGGGAGGAAGAAAGAGAGCCTGGTGAGGGCAGCAAGCGCAGGTTGAGCACGTGTGATGGGAGCACACGTGGGGGGGACAACTGGTGGTCCGACAGGCCTGCCTCGTGCAGCGTGGTGATGGCCAGGTCAAGATCGTCCACTGCTCCCTTCACTGTGGTGCCTGGGGGGGGGGAGGGTGGGGGCAGCAAGCGTGGGGGGAGAAACTAGTGATCCGGTCAGCCTGCCTCATGCAGTGCAGTGTGGTGATGACCAGGTTGAGATCGTCCACTGCTCCCTTCACCGTGGTGCCTGGGGGGGGGTTAGGAACAGAGGCAGATGGGAGAGAGAAGAGAGGGAGCGGAGGGAGTGAGGAGGAAGAGAGCTCCTGAGTCAGTCTGAAAAGCCTGCCTCGTGCAGTGTGGTGATGACCAGGTTGAGATCGTCCACTGCTCCCTTCACCCTAAACCCTGGTTAGTAACTGAGATGTATGTCCCATGTGCTATATCCCCCCGTGCTTGCTTTGTACTTTCTGGTTGCTAATACATGGACCGCTTGAGAGGGGAGGGAGAGGAGGCCGTGAGACAGAAGCGAGCCCCCTGGGTGAGTTTGACAGCCCTGCCTCATGCAGTGTGGTGATGACCAGATCCAAATCGTCCACTGCTCCCTTTGATGTGGTTTTTGCGTGTGGAGCAGCGGGAGAGATAGGGCTCCATGAGGGGGAAGGGCAGAAGGGAGGAGGAGAGGAGAGGGCATGCGCATGCAATGAGAAAATTGGTCGTCTAACTTTATAATTTTCATAACAAGCTCAAGTCATCTATAGTCACACTCACCAATGATGACACTGAGAATTGCAGGTCAGCCTCTGTGCTTGGCAAGCTTGCCAGCCAGATCTCGGCAAATGTCCCCAGCCGCATGTGAGTCTTCTACTATTTACCTATCCACCCCTTTCTCTCTCGCTTTATTTTGTCCTTGCTAGTCGCGCACTCACCAATGTTCACATTGAGAATCGCAGGTCGGCCTCTGTGCTTGGCCAGCTTTCCAGCCAGATCCCGGCAGTCAATGTCCCCAGCCGTATGGTCTCCACCTTCTCACACTCCATGCCATACATGCGAGCTGCCTTGAAGACGGAGTAGTGGGATTCACTACAAACGTGCTAGACACATACTACATACGTACCAATGTTCACATTAAGGATTGCAGGTCGGCCTCTGTGCCTGGCCAGCTTCCCAGCCAGATCCCGGCAGTCAATGTCCCCAGCCGTGTGAGTGGCCACCTTCTCACACTCCATGCGATACATGCGAGCTGCCTTGAAGACAGAGTAATGGGACTCCCTAGACGCGTACAGCACCCCGTCTGGCAGGACCTCCCTCCTGGGAGAGGGGAGAGGGAGAAAAAGAGAGGCAAGTGCCATCTTGAGAAAAGCAAACCTCAATGTCCCCAGCCGTGTGAGTGGCCACCTTCTCACACTCCATGCGATACATGCGAGCTGCCTTGAAGACAGAGTAATGGGACTCCCTAGACGCGTACAGCACCCCGTCTGGCAGGACCTCCCTCCTGGGAGAGGGGAGAGGGAGAAAAAGAGAGGCAAGTGCCATCTTGAGAAAAGCAAACCTCAATGTCCCCAGCCGTGTGAGTGGCCACCTTCTCACACTCCATGCGATACATGCGAGCTGCCTTGAAGACAGAGTAATGGGACTCCCTAGACGCGTACAGCACCCCGTCTGGCAGGACCTCCCTCCTGGGAGAGGGGAGAGGGAGAAAAAGAGAGGCAAGTGCCATCTTGAGAAAAGCAAACCTCAATGTCCCCAGCCGTGTGAGTGGCCACCTTCTCACACTCCATGCGATACATGCGAGCTGCCTTGAAGACAGAGTAATGGGACTCCCTAGACGCGTACAGCACCCCGTCTGGCAGGACCTCCCTCCTGGGAGAGGGGAGAGGGAGAAAAAGAGAGGCAAGTGCCATCTTGAGAAAAGCAAACCTCAATGTCCCTGGCCGTGTGAGTGGCCACCTTCTCACACTCCATGCGATACATGCGAGCTGCCTTGAAGACCGAGTAGTGAGACTCCCTAGTCGCGTACAGCACCCCGTCTGGCAGGACCTCCCTCTTGGGAGAAAGGGAGCAAGGGAGGGGGGAAGAGCGAGTATGCTTATGGGTGTCTCCACATGACTTCTCACGCTCCATGCGATATATGCGAGCTGCTTTGAAGACCGAATAGTGGGACTCCCTAGATGCGTACAGCACCCCGGCTGGCAGGACCTCCCTCCTGGGAGGACGGAGAGGAAGAGAGGGAGTGAGTAGGGAAGGGAATGACTGAGTCCCTGTCTCCCCAGCGGTGTGAGTGGCCACCTTCTCACACTCCATGCGATACATGCGAGCTGCCATGAAGACCGAGTAATGGGACTCCCTAGTCGCGTACAGGACTCCTTTTGGCAGGACTTCTCGACTGGGAGAGGGGAGGGAGGAAGGAACAGAGGTAGGCGGAGGGGAGGAAGAGGGGCAATGGGAGGAGGAGAGACGCAAGGGGAGGGGAGGAAGAGGGCCAAGAGGACAAAGAAGGCTGGAAATGGATGAAAAGGGATGAGGAGAGGCGAACAGGGATGAGTGGAGAAAGAATGATGAAGTGGGGTGCAGAAGGGTGCAGAGGGGTGCAGAGCGGTGCAGACGGGCAAGACGTACCCAACCAGGATGCCGTGGAGATTCCCTTCTGTGCCGCAGTTGGTGATGTAGCCCCAGTAGTCGCCCTCGTCTAAGTCCCACAGGCGAGCAAACCAGTTAAGCACTCCCACCTGCCAGATGGGTAAAGGACAGTGATGAGGATAAATGAAGAGCGGTGCAGAGCGGTGGACAGAAGGAGGCCTGCTTCATTTATAGATGACTTTTGACACAGTTGGTGATGTAGACCCAGTAGTTGCCCTCGTCTAAGTCCCACAGGAAGGAAAACCAGATGAGCACTCCCACCTGGCATCGAAGGTGGGGGAAGGGGTGAAGAGTGGTGAAGAGGGGTGCACGGGGGGAAATGTTAGGATGCAGTTGGTTATGTAGCCCCAGTAGTCGCCCTCGTCTAAGTCCCACAGGCGGGAAAACCAGTTGAGCACTCCCACCTGGCATAGGCAGAAACACAGGAGTTGCGTGGAGTAAGGGAAGGTTTAGTGCCTAAGAAAAGAAAGCCTAGGGGCTTAACCAGGGTTTTGCAGAGGCAGAAGGAAATACCTCGAACGGACGGGAGTGCATGCCAAAGTTGCTCTCGATAAAGGGATCCCCGAGATTGTTTATGGTAAAAACTTTTGAGTCGACTCAGGTATACCTCGAACGGACGGGAGTGCACGCCATAGTTGCTCTCGATAAAGGGATCCCCGAGATTGTTAATGGAGAAGTGCTGCAGACCTATGAGGGCGCCATAGTCAAAATCCAGGTTGTATGGGTAGCCTGGGAGGAGAAAAAAAAGAAGACAAGAAATGGAAACGACAGAAGTAATCAGGTGCTATATATGCCAGAATCAAGGTTGTACGATGTAAATGGAAGGAGATAAACAGCAAATGGAAATGATGCAGTTCTCTAGGCGCTCTAGGCGCAATAATACAATCCAGCAACCACAAACGAGCACCGTGACAGTTGTTGCATACATATGCGCTCTGCCCCATTCTACCAACACCCTTCCCCTTACCAAGCTGGTTTCTTCGCTCTTGTTTCCAATAATTTCAGATAGTGATTAAACGTTAAAAATAACCGCCAGGCACAAACCCCCGGCCCCCCAATCTACCAACACCCTCCCACCACCTTCCCATACCGAAAGGTGAATGAATGCAAAAAAGTCAACAAGCTGGTAGCTCCGCGCTTTATTCATTACAGCTATACATAAAGCCCGAACACCCACACGCACCAAAGCGGTACTGAGTGCGTCCTTCCCAGCAGCTTCAGATGGGCATTAATGCATAATACCGCAATGATTCTACCTATCCCGACTGCCACTCTCCTTGCCTTCGCCACACCTTAAATACCGACATCAACTCCATTCTGACAACATCCCGACTCGCTTAAGTGGTACTGAGTGCGTTCTGGCACCACCTTTTGGTACACCTCGACCGAAGCCATGTAGCCTACTTTTCTCCCTCTCCTACTGCCTCAGAAACTCAACTCAAAACCAAATTTAAACCCCATTCTGACGTACCGAAGTGGTACTGAGTCCGTTCTTCCAGCAGCTTCTGGTAAGCCTCCAGAGTCGACGTCATGTACTTCACCTTCTCCCCCTCTCACTGCCTTCAAAAACCCAACTCAAAACCAAACATGAAGTCCATTTTGACGTACCGAAGTGGTACTGGGTCCGTTCTTCTAGCAGCTTCTGATAAGCCTCCAGAATCGACGCCATGTACTTGGCCTTCTCGCCCGTTTCCTTGTCGTCTCTCGCCGGTTCCGTGATCTCGAACCCACGCAAAACCGCGTCCCGTTGCGCGTGTAACCCGGCCACGTCAGCAGCGTCTACGGCACCGGATGAAGACGTCGCAGCAGCGGAACTACCGGCAACGCTGCTGCTACCGCCGCGCCGGTTGTCACCGGCTCTTTTGCCGGTTTCATAGAAGCTGTTCGCTACATCCGCTTGCGCGAGCCTAGCGCTCTCGCCGTTCGCGAGACTGTTCGCGACGTCGCCGTTCGCGAACGGCCTAGGGAACTCCATGCCGGGAAACATGGATTCCAGAAGATGCGGCGGCGCTACCGCTAGTGTCCCAGGCGCCGCTGCCATGGTAGATTCTGAATCGCGCTCGTGAGATTTTCCAGATGCTCCTAATCTGTCCGCTTTTTCTGAACCTCCTAGAAACGCTCTTCCAGTAGTTCCTTCTCGGTGCTTTCCCTGGTCTACCCCGTCAGCAGCTGATGGAGCGACTGCGTGTCTCGGAGCATAAGGGCTTGCGGTTGGAATCCCAGTGCGCTGAAAATCAGTCAGGAGAGTGTCGACGCTAAAAGACTTTCTTAGGTGCTCCAGAGGAATATCCTCAGGAAGAGCTTGCAGCAGCTCGGATTCAGGAAGAAGGAACTGGGACTCGAAATCTCCATTATTATAGTCTCCGTTTACGGCTGGAGGGTTAGCGGAGCCAGGCATGGGAACGAATCCTCCTTGCGACATCGTCTCGGGTCCTCTCGATTGAAGTTCGAATGAGGGAGTGGGGATAAGATCGAGGGATGCACGGGTGAACGACGACGCCTTGAGCAAAGGCCACCTGAGATAGGGTCGACGACGAGGAAACTTGGAACGGAGAGCTACTTGTGAGGCGTATCTGTGTGTTGTGCTTGTGCATCTGTATCAATCCTGATACTTGCGTGTCAAACTCCACGGCGCCACGTCCTCCCCTCGAAGGTTTGAGGTTTGATCTGCCTGGAACCCAGGCAGAAGAATTCCCCAAAAGTGACGAGGGACCAAAGAAATAAGTGAATTCTCGACTCGAGGTCGTGGAAGTCGGGAAAATTTCTCATTTGAGAATCCCAAGGTTCTGATGAAGTCAACCTCGGTGATGTCGACAACGGGATAAAGCTGAAAACATTATCTACCAATCACAGCTACGCCACGCGTTATTCAAACACAGGCCGTTATTGGCTCTTTGTTTCGGGTTACCTAGTTGCCTCCCAAGTTCTACGGGACTGAGCAGGCTTGGTGTATGCTTCTTTCCATCACAGAGCCTCTGCGAACGAACGATTTCGCTGATCATTTGCGTGAGCTCTGGCCTTTTCTCAAGTGTCCCGCAACTCTACTCTACTCTTCCCCATTCTCAACTGGAGGAGAGTTTCTCGTGGCAGGATTGATGGTGCGGAGAGAGGCGACGATGCCGGACGCCCAATCAGCTATCATCATACAATCGCACGAAACTGTATGAAACCGTATATCACACCTTCGAACCACTGTAATTTGAGGCGGTCTTTTAGCGAAGGACACCTATGCAACCCATGAATTCCAGAGCCAAGTGAACCTCCGCATTCGTCTCTTCACTTTAGCTACAGCAAAGTCACATTCGCTGCCTGCTAGTGCCAGTTACAAACCAGAGCCTTGGGAGAGATGGATGTCAGATGGTGCAGAGACATTGAAAGCGGTTCTTAGCGGTACAGCGTGGCTACCTGTCAATATTTTTACAAGCACCACATTCCCTTAGATGATCCTGGTCATCCAGGCTCGCCCTAGTCAAATGTATTGGTGATGTCTTCGCTCAAGTCACATGTAATTTATTACCAGCAGTTCTCTTTATTTATTGACAATGGTCATGTCCTTTCCTTCCAATCCCAGCTGCCTGCACTTCCGCTCCCCGTTAGCCACCACATTCGACTAATTTGGAAAAAGCACTGCGAAGCTCGTTCGCTGATGCTAGTAACAAATGGCTCCGCTAGCACGCACTACTGATTGACTGCAATTTCGTTTGCGCTAAAGCAGTCTTACAGTCACGAAGGCAGTGACGTAGCTCCGCGGTTCGTGATTGTTTTTGTTACTCGGAACTTCCTAGTCGGAGCGTAAACGCTAGATCGACATGTCGGCTCGGACACGGACAGACGACGAGGCCGTTGTTAGCATGAACAATGACAACGAGTCTCGACCAATGATGTCAAATGACGACGACCACTCCAGTCTAGAAACTCAGTCGTTCATCGATTCGGCGCAGCCTAAATCCGGGTCAATATCAACAGCTACAAATTTCTCACATCCTGCCCGAGCCTCCTTTTTCTTGATCATCCTCCTCCTCCTTATCCTCTGCGTGCTAATAGTTCTTCTGATCCCGCACAAAATGTATGATTCAGAATTGTTACCGGTCTCCACCTCCGGAAATGACGGCGAAGCTCCTGGCAATGCAGGGCCTGAAATGGATCAGCGCCGCATGGAAGAATGGGAGCGGCGGCTTGACGATTTCGTGCGACAGGGAGCGAATAACCGCGACGGCGATCTATTGGCTACGAAATATCCGGGCCTGCTGGACCCGAAAATGCGCGTCTGGCCCATGCCACGTCAGTTTAAGTCGTCCAATGGAAAGGATGTTGTCAGGCCGGCAATTTTTAGCCCATTTAGCCAGTTGACCGTCTCATTTGGTAAAGCCTCAGCGGCCGACGAGGATTCCTCTCGTGACCTTGTGACAAAAGCGTACAACCGGTACCATCGCATTATCTTCGCGCACGAGTATGGCGACGACTATTCCGAGCTCGACGATTCGTTTGCGAGTGGGACGTCGCAGGGGGGTAAAGCTGCGACCAACTCCCGTGCGACGGTGGTGGTGATAGAGCAAATCGATGTGCAAATAGCGCGGCCAGGAGAACCGGTGAGGATGTGAGGGGGCACTCTAACGAGGGAAGGCCAGACTGAGAGTGACTTCTGGCAGAAGTGCGTGTATCTGCTTTCGACGAATGCAGGAGGTTTTTTTTGTTAACTGAAAATACTCATTCTCTCTCTTTCCTCTCTCTAGCGTCCTGTCAACTCTCAGCTGGACGTAGGGGTGGATGAGAGCTGTACTCTCTCGCTTGGAGCACGAGAGAGCCAGGCGGCTCTCTGATTCAGACAACATTCGAGAAGTCTCAGAAAGTTATCGCTCTCTATCCCTTCACTCTTCGTGCCAACTTTCAGCTGGATGTAGGGGTGGATGAGAGCTACTCTCTCTCGCTCGGAGGAACAAGAGAGCCAGGTGCCGCTCTGATAAAGGTACGTCGATCTATGAGAGTTTTCAGGCCAGGTGGTGCTAGTCTTGTGCCGTTGCTGCTGCTGCTGCTGCTGCTGCTGCTTCTGCTGCTGCTGCTGCTGCTTCTGCTGCTGCTCCGTCCACCCACCACCCACCTCTCCACCCACTCCAACCCTTCCAGCCCCTCCAAACCTCTCACCACATTCCGCTTTCCCTCGTCCTCTTCGCTCCTCCCTCCCATATCCCCTTGCCTTCTCTTCCGCCCTCGTCCCCTTCCCTCCCCCGTCCCTCTTTCGTCAGGCCAACACATCGTTTGGTGCCCTCAGAGCGTTAGAGGTAAGCGTTGTTAGGGGCTGATACATTCAAGCAGGCAGGGTCAGAAGCAGGCGGGCGGTATAAGGAGGAGAGGGTAAGGCATATGCCGGTCGGTCCCTCAGACCAACACATCGTTTGGTGCCCTCAGAGCGTTAGAGGTAAGCGTTATTGGGGGCTGATACATTCAAGCACGTAGGAAGTATATCAAGCAGGTAAGGCTCAGGGGCAGGCAGGCGGTACCAGGATTGGAAGGTAAAGCATATGCCACACTCAGGTGAGGTCCCCTCAGGCCAGCACATCATTTTTTGCCCTCAGAGCGTTAGCGGTGAGCGTTGTTGGCAGGCAGGCGGTACCAGGGTAATGGATTAGAAGGTAAGGCATATGCCACGCTCGTGTCAGGCCCGTCAGGCCAGCACATCGTTTGGTGCCGTCAGAGAGTGGTAAAAGTTGCTTCCTGCTTCAATTTCATTTTCTCAACTGTGCCCCCCTCTTCTTCCTCCCACACACCCTCTTCAACCTCTAACCTCTGTCTCTGCATATCTCCTTTTGCCCTGACAGACGCTCAGCCAGCTGTGTCGCTACCACCACCCCTCACGGCTCGTGACTATTCATGGTGTGCCTCTCACAGTGGAAGATTCTCCCCGTTTCCACCACCGGGGGCTGCTCATTGGTGAGTGTGAAGAGATGGGTTTTTTCATAGACCCCATGAGCAGCAGCGGTGGCAATACCACCACCCATCTCGGCTCGTGACTATCTATGGTGTGCCTCTCACAGTGGCAGATTCTCCCCGTTTCCACCACCGGGGGCTGCTCATTGGTGAATGAAGAGCGGCAGGGTTTCTCATTGGTGGGAAGTGATGAGATGATGTAGGGCGCCTCGTAGGCAGCTGTGTGCTACCCTACCTATCACCACCCATCTCGCCTCGTGACAATGAACGGTGTGCCTCTCACAGTGGAAGATGCTCCCTGCTTCCACCACCGGGGGCTGGCAGGGTTTCTCATCGGTGGGATGGGAAGTGATGAGATGATGTAGGGCGTCTCATAGGCAGCTGTGTTGCTACCCTACCTATCGGGTTTTTTGGAGAATTCCCAAAAAAACCCTGCAGCGGGATGGGGAGTGATGAGATGATGATGTAGGGCGCCTCATAGGCAGCTGTGTTGCTACCCTACCTATCACCACCCATCTCGCCTTGTGACTATCCACGGTCGCCCTCTCTTCCCTTGCGTTGAGGAGACACGATTTGACCTTTTCTCCCCTTCCTTCTTCCTCTCCCTCACCCCCCACTCCCCATCCCCCTTGCGTTGAGCAGACACGGCGCGGCATTTCCTCCCGGTGGTGGAGATAGAGAGAGTGCTTGATGCCATGTCTTATGCCAAGCTCAACGTGCTGTGAGTGCAGGAATTGGATGGGTAGGTTGGAGGACTGGGTAGATGCAGGGATGGGTGGGTTGCATACATGCATACCCTGTGTTTACATCGCCTGATATTTGTACCTTTCCACCCATCTCCACCACTCTCCAGCCCCTCCGCAGAGCGGCTTCTTTCTCCCTTCCGCCTCTACCCCTTCCTACACCACCATGCATCACATGCACTTCAGTTCTTACATTCACACATCTCCATCCCTCTCCACCCCTCTCTCTACCCCTCTCCATCCCTCTCCACCCCTATCCACCCCTCTCCAGCCACTGGCACCTGGTGGACGCTCAGTCCTTCCCCATTGAGACGCCCTCCTTCCCTCGCCTCTGGGAGGGAGCTTTCTCCCAGGCAGAGCGATACACTCTCAAGGACGCCAAACACATTGTCAGGTGAATACTCAGGTGCTTTTTCAGGTGATTGTGAAAGGACTTCCTTTTTCCCTCTCCTCTGGGAGGGAGTCTCTCCCAGGCGGAATGATGCACACTCTGCTTGTGCTTTACTGCGCCGATATTCACGCCTCTTCACCCCTTTGCACTGCTCTGCACCCCTCTCCACCCACCAGGTATGCAGCAGCACGTGGCATCGTGGTCATCCCTGAAATCGACACTCCCGCCCATGCGACCTCATGGTGAGACATTTTGTCTGACTGGGCTACTGACCATGCCTTTTTTCATGAAGACATGTAGCGATCAGTCAAATCTTGACATGTTTCAACACTTGACTGAATCCTGCCCAGGCCATCCATGCGTACCCATTTCCCCCCTCCCTGCCCCAACCCATCCGTCCTCCCAGGGAAGTGGGCTACCCCGTGCTCTATCCCAGCCCAGGTCCCTCCCGCAAGGAGTCTCTTTATGCTCCTAGGCTAGGTTCATGACTCACACTTTCCCCAATCCTCCCTTCCCTGCCAGTCCCATCCTCTATCCTTACCCCATCTCATCCATACCCTCAGGGGAGTGGGCTATCCCGTGCTCTTCTCTACCCCAACACCACACCACCTGCAAGGGCCTCTCATTGTCCCTGCATGTGCCTAGAGACATGGCTCACACCGCCCGCCTCTGATTACACCTTCCCTTCTCCTTCCCCTCTCCCTATCCCATCCGTGCTCCCAGGGGAGTGGGATACCCGGGCTCTACCCCAGCCCCACCTGCAAGGAGTCCCGCCTGTACAACCTCCCTCCCTCTTATGCGTTCCTCAATTCCTGTCGCTGCCTCCTTACCCCCTGTCCCATCCGTCCTTACAGGGGGGTGGGCTACCCCGTGCTCTATCCCAGGCCCCACCCGCAAAGAGCCTCAGGGTGTGCCTGTAGAACCTCCCTGCCTCTTCTGCCTCACTTCCTGTCACTGCCTCCGTACCCTACCCCTCCCATCCGTCCTTACAGGGGAGTGGGCTACCCTGTGCTCTACCCCAGCCCCACCTGCAAGGAGCCTCTTGATGTCTCAAACGACTTCACATTTGAGCTGATTAAGGGCGTGCTCACTGGTACGTTACAACCTAACATGCCTATCCTCACTCACAGGAGCGCCAAAAGGCCGAATATTCATAGTCGACCCAAAAGTCACCCCAACCCCACATGCAATGCAAGGAGCCTCTTGATGTTTCAAACGACTTCACATTTGAGCTGATCAAAAGCGTGCTCACAGGTACGTTAAAGATAGGGCTTCAATTCCTCCTCGTCTTTCTCTTCTTTTTCCCTGTCAGTGTTTGCTGCCAGCAGCAGGATACACATTGGAGTGGAATTTTACCCAGCTGATTGCCCCTTCGTTCCCCTTCATTCCCGTTCATTTTCCTCATTCGCCCTCATTCTCCTTCGTTCCTCTTCACTCCACTCCAATTTTCTTCCATTCCCCTTCCCTTCTGCACTTTTCCCTCTTCATGCCCCACACCCCCAATCAACCTCCCCTGCAGACCTGCGGTCAGTGTTCACAGGCAGCAGAATACACATAGGCGGGGATGAAGTGAAGGAAGGTAGGGGACAGGGAGGGGGAGGGAGCGGGGGAGGGGAGGGAGTGTGAGAAGGAGGTAAGGGAGGTAGATCTATGGTCAGTGTTGGCAGGCAGCAGAATACACATAGGCGGGGATGAGGTGAAGGAAGGTAAGTGACAGGGAGGGGGAGGGAGAGAGAGATTGGGAAGGGGAAATGAGAGAGGCAGGATGAGAGAAGGGCGGGAACAGGACGGGGCACATGAGTGGCAGTGGGATGGGACGAGAGTGAGAGAAGGGAAAGGGGGTTGGGTTTAGGGTTATACTTATTTGAAATATTCAAACTCAATGAAATATTCAAAGTCGAATAGGTATAACCCTAAACTCGCCTCGCCTGTTCTCTCTTTCCATTGCCTCCCTTCCACCAGACTGCTGGACACAGTCTGAACTGATATTCCAGTGGTGTGCAGTGCATTCTCGCTTACCTCTTCCATTCTCTCCCCCGCTTCCCCCTTGATCCTGTACCTGCCTCCCTTCCACCAGACTGCTGGATACAGTCTGAACGGATTTCCCAGTGGTAAGCTACGAATTCAAGCAGCACAAGGCTTCCCAATGATTTTCTTGTGAAGTTGCTATGATGTATGTATCATTGTGTCAGTCAGTGATACCACAAGCTAGCTACGTATGTCCCTTGAGACGTCTCAGAAGAATGTTGAATCGTCATTTTGTTGTGAAGTTGCTATGATGTATCATTTTGTCTCAGACGTCTCAAGATGTCTGTTCTCTCTGCCCCACCTCTCACGCTTGCCCTCCACACCACAGGATGAACCAGCAGGGAATGCAGCCAAGGGATGCCGTCCGCTACTTCTCCAACCGAGTTCGATCCATTGCCTTGGAGTTGGGATGGGAGAAGACTATTGTATGGTATGTGTGCTGTGGTAATTATGGTTTCGTGTCATCTCATCCCATGGACTTCTCCCATCCAAGCTCACATGTCCCACGGTATTATGGTCTCATCTTAATTCTCTAGCCGAGTTGTTCACGTCTCCCTCCTACCCCTTGGCAGGGATTAACCTTGTTGTTTTCCTCCTCATTTCTTTGCTCCTTCCCCCTCTGCATCCAGGGAGGAATCCTATCAGGTTTTTTCAGAGGACCTAGTCAAGACGACCGCCTTCCTTCAAAACTTTTCAACCTTCTCCTGAGTGAACTTCTGAGGCACCTTTCTGCTTCTTCCCCCTCTGCATCCAGGGAGGAATCCTATCAGGGTTTCTCAGAGGACCTCATCAAGACAACCGCCATTCTTCAAAACTTTCAAAAAATTCTGGAGTGAACTTCTAAGTCACCTTTCTGCTTGTTTCCCTTCACATGTGCAGGGAGGAATCATACCAGGGTTTTTCAGAGGACCTTAACAAGACGACCACCATCCTTCAAAACTGGTATGATTAAAAGAATATCTATCTTAGGTCGATAGCAAAAAAATTCTCATGTTTAGAATACAAGAAAATGCCACGTTCTTCTCTTTTCTTCGTCTGACATGCTACCCTTGCTTCTGCCCTGGCTCTGACAGAATATATCATTGTTTCGCTTGTGTCAGGTTGAATGTTGACATCCTTGGAAGCATGGCTCGTGACAACTTTCGAATTATTTACAGCAATGTGTATGGCGGATGGTACCTCGACTCTATGGATGTGGTGAGCGGCTTATAACGAAAAGCTTTTTATCGAGGATAACATTGAGGGCATGATGCTTAAAGGGTTCCGAATAATCTACAGCAATGTGTATGGCGGATGGTACCCCGACTCTATGGACGTGGTGAGTGGCTTATGGCGAAGCACTTAAAAAAGAGGACATTGTTTGAAGCAGGACATGTGAAGTCTTCTAAATTAGCTGCAGCAATGTGTATCAGGAATTTACTTTAGCGGGTACATTATATGGGCACGAGAAGTGCTATATATTGGGGCACTCAATAATAGGAAACTGAGCAACAACCATCCATCCAGTAGCATATAACGAGGCTCTCACTACCTCCTCTTCCTTTCCCTGTCCGTTTCCCTTTCATCCTTTATGCAGGATTGGAATAGAGTGTACAGTACAGACCCAACACAACACCTTGTAGTGGATGGCTCTGTACCGGAGCATCTACTGGAAGGGGGCGAGGTGTGCATGTGGGGCGAGAAGGTTGACTCGTCCGACTTCATGCCGACCATCTGGCCACGAGCTGCTGCTGCTGCTGGTGAGATGAAGGGCAAGCTGCTGTACCATCATGTTGCAGTATGAAGAGCGTTGCACCCTGTTAGCTACTGGAAAGGGGCGAGATGTGCATGTGGGGGGAGAAGGTCAACTCATCTGACTTTTAATTTGTTGATGTTTTTCTCCCTCCCTCCTATCAGAGCGATTATGGAGCACCAAAGCATATGCCGATGCTGCACTAGCAAGCGGAGAGGCAGAGAAACGATTGCACGTGTTTCGATGCCTTCTGACCCGAAGGGGAGTTGAGGCTGCTCCTGTGAGCAATGCAGTTCCCCGTTCCAATCCCGAAAACCCCGGGGGCTGCCTTGATCAATAATAGAGAAAATGCCTTAAGGGTACCATGCGAGTATGGTCCAGCAGAAGAGTATGGTCCTGCGGAGGAGTACGGTACTGTGGTGTGGCTCATCACCTCCGTGTTCCGCCGGCCGGTTCCTTTTGAACCGACGAGGAGTTGAGGCTGCCCCAGCTAGCAACGCTGTGCCCTGTACCGCTCCCGACTATCCCGGGAGCTGTCCTGACCAGTAGAAAGTGCGTCACACAGCTGTTCCGCGCAGGCCCCAAAATGTCAGGGTAAAATACCCTGATTGCCCTGACTGGCGGCCGCTTTTTTTGGGGTTACCCTGACCCAGTCAGGCTCCCGGATTTCTTACCCTGACTCATAAAGAGTTAGAAGTTTTGTACCCTTATGAAATCCGAGTTATAGATTGTTTCCCCTGACTTTCATCAGTGTTTTAAACCTGTTACACTGATACCGAGTCTTTCGTAGCGAGGATACGGTGGATGTTGCGCAAAATGACGCCGGCGAGTAATGCACTACGCTTGCTTCCCAACAAGTTCGCCGAACTGGTGACCTTTCGCCTCACAGCATCAACCCTAACCAAGTGAGACATTTGAACTTGCTCTGTTCGCATAAAATATATCATTATTCATGGAATCCGAGGAAGTTTTTTTTTACCCTGTTTTCATCAGGGTGCGAGATTTTTTACCCTAGGAGTCAGGGTTGGCCCACCCTGGAACTCTGATTTGACAGGGTGGGCCAAACCAATTTTGGGCCCTGGTTCCGCGATTGCTTGTGATGTGGTTGCATGGGCAAACACAGATTGTTCCGGCAATGCAGTTGTACTGTAGCATTATTATCTTAAATCCAGTGGATGTAATTCAATACTGCACATGCTCCTGGACTAATGAAATCGCGGTTCAACCATTTCGTGTTGAACCAGCACGCGGACCAACCAGGGATGGAGTTGATTCTGCTCCTGTTAGAGATCTTGTGCTCCTAGCACAAATGAATATTGCCAAAAGTTGCCATGATTAGTGGCTAAAAGTTGCTACAATTAGCAACTACATCTCTATTATATTCCATCAATTGTGTCAGAGCCAGGAGACTTCACTCTCCTTGCTCCGCAACCAATGACTGGCTTGCACTACGTCTCCCACAAGATAAGATATGAATAATCTTCAAAAGAACCAATGAATAGGTTGTCTTTTCGAAATGATAAACCTTGTTAGCAGAACGAGGGCCATTCATGGGCTGAAGGCCACCACTGCCAGCAGCTCCCTCAGCCTCGCATCCTTGCACACCTGGTTCAAACGCTCCCGAGTTACCAGCCTAGTGTCGGGGAAGAGTGGATGAGAGTGGGAAGGGATGGGGAATGAGGAGTGGAATCCAGGGAATTTACGGGCTGAAGCCACCACTGTCAGCAGTTCCCTCAGCCTCGCATCCTTGCACATCTGGTTCAGCCACTTCCGAGTTACCAGCCTAGGGGGTGGGGGGGGCAGGGTGGGGGGAAGGTGTTGGAGGGGAAAAGTAGCAGGGGAAAGAGTGAAGTGCGGGCTGAGGGCTGAAGGCCACCACTGTCAGCAGCTCCCTCAGCCTCGCATCCTTGCACACCTGGTTAAGGCGTTCCCGGGTTACCAGCCTTCATTGCGCCTTTGAAAAACTTCAGAGGCAGTTGCAAGTGAGCTTCACCAAAAATGACTCACTTGCTTCGCGAGACCTTCCCCCAATACTCTGACTTGACCATGACTCGCTTCAGGTGCAGAGGCAGTTCCAATTGAGAATCTCCAGAGGCAGTTCCGATTGAGAATCTCCAGAGGCAGTTCCGATTGAGAATCTCCAGAGGCAGTTCCGATTGA